TGATCTAGGAAATTTTGAAAAATGACTGAGAAGAAATTGTTGTTAATTCAGAGAACTTTTATCTCCCGCACTTCACCAGGAAATGACAATTATGAAATTTTGAAAAATGATTGAAATGAAATTGTTGTTAAATTCAGACGAGCTTTTATCTCCCGCATTTCACCGGGAAAATGACAAGGTTACAAATAATTTTGATCGATCATTTTTTCTTATATATCAATAACAAAAATATTTTTTGTTTTTATCTTATTCTTAAATTTCCAAAAAGTAATAGAGAGATATTGATAGTGATAAAATGATTGACCGTTTTTTCTTTTATCTTCCATTTTTCTTTTACGTCATTAACCGGAAAAAAAGTTTCTCTTCAGGGAATCCGTTATGTTTTTCTTATTTGTTGTTGTTTGTTTATTTGATATACGGATGACGACGACGACGACGACGACAACGATTAATTTATTCTTTTCTCTCGTCTTCCGCTTTTCTTGAACTTTACAACTTTTGTTTATTTTTCATTCATATAAAAAATCATCTATAATTTCAATTGTTTATTTAAATTATAGTTTGTTTAAAATATAAATTTTAAAACAATGCAATTTACACTATTAATTAATAATATTTTCCATTCAAATAAAAGTAATTTATAATTTCAACTTTGCATATATTTAAATTATATTTAATAGTTAAGACAATGGCAATTTACACTATCAATTAATAATATTTTTCATAATTTGCATATATTTAAATTATTTGTTTAAATTATATTTAATAGTTAAAACAATAGCAATTTACACTATTTAATTAATAACATTTCTCATAATTTGCATATATATAAATTATCCATTTAAATTATATTCAATAGTTAAAACAATGGCAATTTTCACTATTAATTAATAATATATCTATTTGAAATATTATTTTATTTAGTTAATATCACTGTTATGAAAGCATTTTTGAAATGTATGAATTAAATGGATGGTTAAATTTTAAATTATTTTATAACTATAACACCTATCATAGTTTTGTTTTAGAAAAACGATCGAATATTTGAAGAGCGTATACTTTTTATTTTTGGTTATGCCACCCAAAAATTTAGCGCATTTCTCTCTCTCTCTCTGTTTATGTTTATGTAAAATATTTTGCATTTAATAAAAATTGAAAAGCATAAGTTATTATTAATTAAAATTAAAAATTTATTTTGAACTTCAAAATTAAAAGTTTCAAAAATTTTTTTTACCTTTATTATTAATTAGTTTAAAAAAATTTTCATTGAATTTTCAATTTTCAATTTTATTTTTTGAATTCTTTAAATTAACAATTAGAAAAGAGAGAGAGAGAGCGAAAGAAAGAAAGGAAAAAGCGATAAATGATTTTGCGATATATAAATGAGGTGGAATTCCTTTATTTTTCATTTTAGTCATTTAACTTTTAAAGTCGTAAAAAATTTTTCACCGATCATTGATCCATTCTTTTCTGATATGTAAATTATTTATGCAAAATTTATTTTATTGTTTGTTTCATTTATTCGATAGTAATTTTGATGGAATTCTTAAAAATGAAAACGATCACAGTAAAATTTGATTTAAATGAATTTTTGAATGGCTAAAAATAAAAGGCTTAAAAGTTAAATTTGTTGCATAAATGAATTAAATTTAAAATTTAAATTTCATAAACGATCAATGATCCGTGAAAATCTTCTTTTTTTAAAACCTTAAAAAGAAATTAATTAATTTGAAAATTTAAAACAATAAGAAATTAATTGAAAATTTAAAAAATTAATAAAATTCAAATTGAAAATTTCTATGAAAATTTAAAAGGTAAAAATAAATTCATAACGAATTTTTTCAAATTTTTATAAATCTTATAGCTTTGTTTTTTGACTTTACTATTATTTTATAAAATTTGATATTATCGTTAATAGCAATTTAACTATTTGTTAAGTATATGTTAAGATATTATAAGCGTTAAGCGCATTTATCGCATTAAATTAATGCGCATTTATCGCATTAATAGTATTCATATATTATCCAAATGACCTTTCATGTCATATAAATCTTTTACTAAACAAAAAAATTAATTATTAATTTTTTTTAAAAATGATAACACTCTTAAAATGAATAAGTTAATATCATTTAGCATATATATTTTAAGTAATTCATCCTTTTGTCCATTTGTCCATTTAATCAATTCAATTGTCCACTTTTAGTGCTTGCATTTGTGGTGTCACTTTGTGTTCCGAAATAAGATAACAAGACAAAGGATATACTATCGCTTACTTCCACAAGAGGCTTTCCTTCCACTTTCTTCAACTACTACTACCCACACTATTATTATTTACATATATGTGTATGTGTGTATGTGTGTGTGTGTGTGTGTATATATATATATATATATTGTTTATCTGTCCTTCATCATCATCCTTTCCACATTTCCACTCCTTTTATTATTTACGCTTCTTCACTATTGCAAGCTAACAAGTAGATTTTTGAAAGAGATTTAAAAAGAAGTTTTATATTTTTAACTTTTTCTTTTTATGTTCAATTTGCGCCCTGCGCAAATAGGCCGAAGTTTTTATTTATGATAAATGTTGAAAATTAAAAATATTTTTGAATTCATTCTATGTTATTAAAATGCGAGCATTTTTTTGTTTCATTAAATTAAATTTTTCATTTAATTTGATTTTTTCTTTTGGAGAAAAGAATTTCAAAAAATAATAAGATTGAATAGAAATTTATTAATATTATTTAATAGGAGGGATATGATTAGAAATAATTAATGCCAGCGGCGCTGATTAATTAAATATTTTATTTCAACAATAGAAAAGCCTGTTGTTGCTATTGTTGTTGTTGTTGTTGTTGTTGTTGTTGTTGTTGTTATTGTTGTTGGATGACTTTTTCATTGTTTATATCAACAATAGAATCTTTTTGTTTTTTTTTTTAAATAAAAAAGGTTAAAGTTTATTTTCATTCTGTTATCATTATATGTAAGCATTTATTTTGATAAGAAATTTTTAGTAGATTAAATAGAAAGGTAAATTTTAATTTAATAAGCTAAGATTATCTTATAATACATATATATAAAGCGATTGGTTATGTTGTAATATATATACATATATATATATCGGGGCGGATCATTGACAATCACCGCCTTACATTTACAACTGATTCATACCAAAATTCTTGTCACATATCATCATCATCATCATCTTCTTTTCTAGTGGTTATCATCACAGAACATCCTTTCTAATGGTTATCTAATGGTTATCATTATAGGAACATTTTATATATATCTTTCATTTTATACATTCAAACTCAAATCGTATTTATTACTCTAATCCGATAAATTAATTGTTCTTAGTTAATTACTATTACTATTTCGACCATTTTAATCCGATAGGTGAATTGCTCTAATTACAACTTCTACTATTGCGACCACTTCGTATATTCAAGTTCAAATCATATTTGTTGCTCTAGTCCGATAGATTTGTTCTTAGTTAATTACTACTACTATTGCGACCATTCCAATCCGATAGATGAATTGCTTGCTCTAATTATGACTACAACTATTGCGACTACTTCATACATTCAAATTCAAAGCATATTTGTTACTCTAATCCGATAGGTTAATTGTTTTTAGCTAATTATTGCTACTACCACTATTATTATTGCGATCATATCCTTATATCATTTTATCAATCCATATTTATCCTCGTTATTTCAAAAAAAACAAAATGACAAATTTATTCGAAAAAAAGAAATGATAAATTGATTTGATAGCGGTATTCCTTTTATTTCTCAATGAATATACGGATATATACATATTTCATTTTTATTTTCAAACAATAAATTATCATTTAAATGAAAGCGGACGAAATGATATGATAATTTGATGAGAGAAAAGGATATTGTGTAAATTACAATGTGATAATTTATTTATCAAAAGAAATTCTATTTGATAATAATATGTATAGTCTTTATTATTTGAAATTTATTGAATTTAAATTAACCATTTTATAAATAAATTTAATTAATGATTAATTAATTAGAAAACAAAACAGAAACTTTTATATATAAGTAATTATTACAAGCAATTAATTAATTAATTAATTCAATTTTAAAGTTAGTTGAAATTTCGATTTAATTTAATTATTCAACAAATTTTTCTTTATTTTATCAAATATTATTTGTTATAGGTAAGAAGTAAATAAATGAATTTCAATAATTTTTCTCTTTTGTTGTTATTGTCTTCTCAATTCCGATTATCTTTCTCATCTTTTTCTTTCTCTCTCTCTCTCTCTCTCTCTCTCTCTCTCTCTCCAAATTATTCCTTTTACGCTTTATTTCAATAGATAATTTGATCGATCCTCAACTGGTAGCAGAAGTTTCCCATTTAGGAAATGATTGCTTTTTCTTCTTCATTCTTCAATACCAATTTTCTTGTGCACTCAATTTACAGTAAGCCATTTCCGCTAATTTGCCAAAAAAAGACAAAAGAGGGGAGAGGGGGGAAAAAAAGGAATGATAGGACAATCTGTCAATAAAGAAGAGCAAATCGAAAATGCTTATTTTAAAATTTAATAGTTTTAAATTATTCTTTTGATTGAAATTAAATTTTAAAAAAATTTAAATAAAAACAAACAATTTATTAAGAAAAAAAATTAATTGCTATAATAAATTTAATTTTATGAAGAAAAAAAAAGAGAAGAACGAGCAAGTAAGTATCTCATAGACATTTATTGTTATATCTAAACGTTTGATCCTTTATCAGTTTTTATCATTAATCATTTTCATTCATTACAATCAATGTTTCGATTATCGCTTATGCTATAATTGATTGATTTTGCATTGAAAATACTGCAAATATGTCAGTTTTTACAGTGATCAATCAGGATAATGAATTTGAGACAAGGAAATATGATATTTGATAATTAAAATTGATAATATTAAAGCGAAGAAGATAGAGGGCTGTATGTTTTAAAGTGTATATAATTTTGGTGGCTAAAAATGATGTTCACAGTAACCGGTACATTTTCGCCCTCATCATCAACATCATCAATACCATCTTCAACGGTATCATTGCTCCCATTTATCAGCAATTATCACAGTAATTGATAATTACATAATCATAATATTTCTTAATATCATAATAACATTATATCATAATTATATAATTATTCTTTATCATAATATTTCTTTCATTTTTAATATCAAATATTTTATACATTTCATAAATGTTTTCATTAATATATTACATATTATCATATCACCTATATTCGTTACAAGAAAGATAACGATATTCGATTAATTCGTTCTTGAAATTAATGACGATAAAAGTATATGAATATATGAATATCAGCATTTGATGTTATCAGCATAAATTGATATTATCATATATTTTTTGTCAAATTGAATTTCAAATTGAAATCTTAAACTGCAATCGTTCATTTTATTTCTTTCTATTTTAGTATCAAAAATGGAATTCAACGATTTTTAACAGCAAAAATAAAGATCGTTTTCATTGAAATATTTTTTCATAAAATATAAAATTAACATCGTATTGAAATTTAAAAAATAGTTGAAGAGAAATTCCATTTACATCTTTCAAAATTTCTTTTCTATCTTATCAGAGATCATTTTTATCATTTAATCAATTTTACATTTATTATGTATTATTACTATTATTATTATTATCAATTATTATTATTTATTATTATTATTATATTATTATTATTATTATATGTTTTATCATTATTGTTGTTTGATTTAAGGATTGTTTTGATATTTGTATCATTTATTGATTTTTTCCTCAAGATTTATTATCATTTACTCATTAACTAATTATTAATGTATTTTTTACTCATTAACTTACTTTTTTGTTTACTTTAATTTCATTTTATTAAGTTCTATAAAGTTACATGCACGTTACATTGCATGCACGAAGTTTGTTTACTTATTTGCTTATCATTATTTTTTGGACTATCATATCAAACTTTTCATAATTTAATTCATAACTTTTTATAATTCCATTTCTTTTCATCTATTCCATATATTATTATCACACTAATTTGATTTATCAATGAATGATAAAAACCTAAAAAGTATTCTCCAATATTATATGATATTTTTAAATTATTTACATCATTTCTAATTAATTAATTAATTATATATATTCAATTTGTTATTTATATTAGTTAAAAAAATTCTTTATTGTTAATAATTTTAACTCTAACTTTTAATAATAAAATAGAAATGTGAAATATTACAAAATGACATTAAGTTTTTAAATGAAATTTAAGCATTCGTTAAATTATGTATTTTTAAAAATTTTAATTTTCCTTTTTCTAATATTTAAAAAGTGTTCAAAATTTTCTACTTAAAAATGATAAAAATTTCAGGTTAAATGTGATGCGAAGAAAATTGAAACATTTGGTGATATTGTTGATGGTACCACGAATGAATTAAACAATAGTAGCACATCAAATTCGACATTAACAACAGCAACTGTTCAATCAATTGATAAAGAAACAACATTAACAACAACAACAACAACAACAACAACAACCACAACCACAACTTCAACATTAACAAATAAGAATTTAAGTGGAAATATTGAAAGTGATGGGAAATCAGTACATGGAATTGTTGCATCATTGATACGTGCAGCTGAGGAGACACGTTTTCAGGCACCTGATAAACCAAAATCATTAAATCTTAATAATAAAACAATTGAACAGAAACATTCATCAGCAATTGCTATTACTTCTAAACAACAACGACAACAGCAACAACAACAACAACAACAACAGGTACTCTCTTATGATTCATACTTTTAGCAAAATTTTATCATTACCGATTATGAATTTTTGTTTTAAATTAAAATAATTATGAAAAAAGAATGATATAAACGAGAAGAATGATGATAAGAATGATAATGATAATGATAAGAGAATGATATATAAATAAATTATTTGTTTGAAAAAAATTTACGAAAATTAATTTATTCTACAGGGAATAGTGGGAAGATTAAATAAAGAAGGAAACTTTTGATATTTTGAAACAATGATGAAATTTAATTTTGAATATTTTACAACTGTTACTGTTAACTATTATCATAGTAATATCTTTTTGTTTGATTAAAACTTATCATTTATACATTTTCAATTTATTTTTATTTTCCTTTTATTAATTTATTTTTAATTTCTTCTTATCATTTCCTCAATGCATTGATGTTATTTTTGTTTTGTTTGTTTATTTGTTTAGCAAAACATTCATTTATTTTTATTTACTTTTTTTATTTACTTTTAATTATTTATTTTTTGTTTACTTGTTTACTTTTGAAAGTTATGGTATGATTTGAGAAGGAAATGATTTTAATTAATTATTTCAAATTCAGATGAAGGATTGATTATAAGATATGATTGGTGATCGTTGAAATTAAAATGTTACAACTGAATTGAATTGGATGGAAATTGATTGATCTGAAATTAAATTTGTAACTTTTGGGAGAGAATAAAATTATTATTGGAATTAGAGAAAATATAAATAATTTTAATTATCGTTTTAATTTCATTTCTTTTATTTTTACCCTAATGAATTTTAAATTAGCATAATTACAATACTTTTGTTCAGTTTGTTTGTTTATTACATTTATTTTTGTTTTTATGTTTATCAATAAGTTTGCAACATTTTTTTCTTTTTGTTTTTATTACTGCAAACGATGAAATTATCGATTGATTAATTTAAATTTAAATTTAATTTATTGCGAAATTGGGATGTAGTAGTAGTTGATGAAGTGAAGTTAACATCACATTTTTGGATAATTTCATTAATTGTTATACACCATTAAATGCGCCATTCCCATTTATCAGTTATTTCTGCCGAAATTACAACATTGATCATGTTGTAAAAAATGATGATTGTTAAGTTACGCCTTTTGAACTTTGAACTTAGTTTACATATTTTTGTTACGCTTTTTACTTTTGAGCTTTATAAGTTTTCCAACGTTTGCACTTTTACACGTGAAATAATATGTTACTGGTATGAAATTTTAAACAACTCACTTATAACTTTCATGAATTGTTATTTGTGTACATACACATACATACACACGTACGTACATTTATGGTTATGTAGACTTATCACACGCACGCACATACATGCATACATTTATATCGTTGACGTAGATTTCCCACTTGATGATTCTTCCTGTTGAATTAGCCCTAAAATTATCTGTTCGCTACTAACGATATCAATCATTGGATAATCTTGTTGACCTTATTGATCTTATACTTATCACATTTCTTTTTTTCACAAATTTGGAACACAATTTGATAATTGAAGTTTGATAAACGATACTACAAATTACCACTCTTCGTAGTAAAATTATATTTGAAAACTTTCAGCCATTTATTATTGTAAGATAAGAGCTGTTGAAAAAATTTCGCATAAAGTGTAAAAAAATATTTGAAAATTATTAATTGAAATTTCAATTTTTAAAAGATATTTTTCTTTCCATTTGAAATGAAACATGAAAATTACAGCGATCCCTAATTAACTTAACCTCTTAATGTTTGTGTTGACCTCCCTGACTAATCACTTGCGATCATTAAATTTGAAATTTGACATATTTTCGGTTTGAAAGGAAAATAATAATTTTTTAAAGGAAACTGGTACTCAAACAAGTCCATACTCGTTATCCAGATCAAGTTCATTCGATTGGATAAACGAATCATCCATTGATGAACAGTGCAGTGAGGAACTTATCATTACTTCAACTGAATCACAGGGAACACCCGAAGATCCTGAATATTCTTCATTAAATCGAGCTGTGAGTATTTCAGTGATTCTAATTTTAATTTAAGCTATTTATTCATTTGGAAAAGTTGTTTATAAATGTAAAAATGAATTTATAATTTCAATGTTTATATTGAAATAAAAGTATGATTAATTAAATTAAATTAAATTTTGAGATGAATAAAATTAACAAGTCATACAATTAATAGTCATACAGTCATACAATTAATTATCGAAGTATAAACAAATGATTTTATCATTTTCAACTTTAATTTAACACAGGCGAAATCTCATACTACTACTGATAAGGAAGTTCAAGGAATGTTGCGCCAAAATGATGATTTACGTGAAGAAAGAAAAATACAGTATGTTTTTCTTTTGAAAAAAAATACAGATATTTTACACCTGTAATATTTGAGAAGAACTTCTATTCTTATCCAGGAAAATCAAAAATTCATGATTCTTTTTTTTCTTCAAAATTAGGAAAAACAATTAATCATAAGATTTAATTAAAATTATCATCGTTGCAGATCGTCGGAAGTTATTGATGAAAGTATTGCAATGTTATTGGAATATGCTGAAGATATGGATATTGTACCAAACCAGAAATTGCATTATCCAGTTATCAATGAAAATTTTGCAAAAGTATGAAATAACTTTTTTAATTTAAATATTTCTAATTTTAATCTATTAATTTTTCATTTGAAATGAATGATAGCAATTTTTAAATTTGATAACAATTTAAATTACAATACTTTTTGTTTATTTTTACAGGTTGCAAATGATATACGCAATAGTGAATCAGTTTTAATGCCATCTGATAGTTCCAGAAACCGGATATCATCATCATCAACAAATAATCAAAATGGTTTGCTTATGTATCATTTTAATAAACTGTTTATTTTAAAGATCTAAAGAAAAATTTATTTCCCAATAGATAATTTTCGTGAAGCCTCTTTTATCTCTTATCATATTCGTATTGATATCATTAAGAGAGAGCCTCTTTTACCTCTTATCATATTCGTATTGATATTACTAAGAGAGAGCCTCTTTTACCTCTTATCATATTTGTATTGATATCATTAAGAGAGAGAGAGAGAGAGAGAGAGAGAGAGAGATTTGATCAAAAAGAAATTTTTCATAAATTTATTTTATGTGACATTACAATTATTAAAAATTTCTGCTTTCGTCGTTTTTTCTCTTATCTTCTATCTCCTATCGTATTGATATCATTAAGAGAGAGAGAGAGAGAGAGAGAGAGAGAGAGAGAGAGAGAGAGAGAGAGAGAGAGAGAAAGATAGATATGATTATGAAGAAAATTTTCATAAATTATTTTATACGACATTATAATTATTAAAAATTTCTGCATTCGTTGAATTTTTTCTTTTCTCACAAAATTATATTCAATTATTTTTAAATACAAAAATATTTGCCATTTAATTTTGAAAATGAAAAAAACTTTTTGGAATTGATTTTTTACATTTAAAGGAATTTTTATTTGAATTCTTTTTTTTTAAAAAAAAGAGAAATACCGAAAACGATGATAAAATTCCGATTCCGATCCTTTGTTTCATTTCTTCACATCTTTTTGTTTTTATATAAATTTTTTCCTACCAAATGATCAGTCAGTCAGTCAGTCATTCATTCATTCATTTACATTCTAAACAAAGATACACAATCACATATAAGAATAAGTTACGGTTAATGTTGAATCTATTTTTACTGATAAACATATGTTTACTGATAACTATCTTGATATCATATCATCCTTCAAAAATTCATTTCCTTCATTTAAATGATCCAATTTGTTGAATTGTTGAAATTAAAGAATTTTTAAAATTTCCAAATTAAAAAGATATTTGTGTATTTGTGTAATTTTATTTTAAAGTTTGAAATTATAAATTTAAAAGTAGTAAATAAAGTGTGAAGTGATTTTATATATGTAATTTTATCTTAGAGTTTGAAATTTGTAAATTTAAAAGTAGTAAATAAAAATGTGAAGTGATATTTTGGCAACTTTTAACTTTCAGTATACACCCTTTATTTCGTTGAAAGAATTGCAGAAAATCTTTTGATATTACCGAGAAAAATATTATGTTTAAAAATTTTCGAAATTTAAACACTTTAAGTTTTTCTTTTTTTGTAGACCATTATGTATCTTTTGTTGGGTGTCAATAGATGGCGCATATTGCTGACAGCGTTTTAGAAATTTCGTTATAGTATATAATGAATTTTACATAAAAAATAATTTCAAAATAATTGAATTTTATCAATTCTCTTGTTTCTTTTCTAAAACATTTCAAAGCCATGATAAATTCTTCTTACAGCTATTCTGTTTCTTTTCAATTTGAAATTCGATGATTTGCCTTTTTATCATTTTTTTGATTCGATTCACAAATTTGTCAACATTTCATATTTGTACAATATGCGCCACATTTACAATAAGCGCCATTATTTATATCATTTAGGCTAATATATCTAAAAAGAAATATACCGCTTAACTCTTATCAATGTCCAATATTTATTATCTCATTTCACTTATAATACCATCAAATGAAATTTCTCTATTGTTATCATAATCAATGATAGCAACAGCATTCACTGATATGATTATATATCATTTATCATTGTTATTGCTTGCTTTGCATGCTTTATCATTATCACACTATCATTCCTATTTTAGTGGCATTATTTATTTCATCAATACTTTCCTGCTTCCTCTTTTTTCCATCTGATGATCATTCGATTCATACAAAATCTTCGAGGTTATTCATACTTCTTTATAATTTTCTTTTTTTTCTATTTAATAATTTATTTTAATTATTCAAATTTTTTTTAATTTGCCAATTTAAAATTTTGATTAAACAAAGAGATTAATTAGAGGAAACAAAGCATTTCTACAAATTTAAATAATTTGAAAAAAAAAAATAAGCAATATACGATGGATGCATTCTTTTCATATTTTCCATCAATTTCATTGAGCTATTTCTATTGCGAGACATTTTCCGGATAAATTAAAACGGAAAAAGAAATGGATTATATTTATATTATTATGAAATTTTTTTCAGTTTTAAATATCTATCAAACTTTACGATACCTTTTTAAATACCTTTTATTTCGGATAAATTAAAACGGAAAAAAAGAGTTGATTATATTTACATTATTATGGAATTTTTTTTTTAGTTTCAAATATCTTTTCAAACTTTTAGATACCTTTCAATTACCTTTTCAATACCTTTCAAATAAATATTAAATATCTTTTATATATCTTTAAGTACCATTGCCAAACTAAATTCTTTCTTTTAGCTAAAATTATTTTTCAAATTGAAAAGGCATTTTAATTCTTTCAAATAGCAAAATTGTTTTTTCAACGAAAAGCAATTTTTCTGTCACATTAAATTTAAATGGAACAAAGTTGGAAAGCCATTTGGTAAGCTAACAAATGCATTGAATTGTTTTTTTTCTTTCTTCAACAAATTTTCCATCAAATTTTTGCATGGATTCTTTTTTCAACTTAATTTCTTAAGCTTTACGAAATTTTATATCGCAGCAATGTCACATATATCCGGTTAATATATATATCCGGTTAACATATATCCGGTTAATATATTTCCGATTTTTTAGTTTTATTATTATTTTCTTTTTCGAATTCAATATTTTTATTACTTTAGAAAATTTCCGTTTGAATTTTTAAAATTTTCTATAATAATTTTAAAATTTTAAACTTTTGAAAAATTTAAGCGAAAAATAGAAATGAAATGAAAAGTTTATAAAATAGAAAAGAATATAAAAATGATTAATTTTTGGTTAATTAAAATTTTTTTGAAATCAAAAAAGAAAAGCCGACATAGCAAATTTACTGATAAAAATAAGTTATACAAATGTTCATGAAATATGAAAATGGTTAGCATGTTGCAGAATTTTTTCGACGTTTTAAATCATCGACGGATAATGGAAATGGTACGATAAATTTGGCTGGCCAAACTAACCAACAAACATACATTGGAAAACGTTCTTCACAAGGATCTATGAATGGTAGTATATATGATAATGTGCCTTATCAAATTAGGCATGCCTTACTCTTAGGTAATATCAATACATCTAATGTTTCCGGTGCTACCGGATCACATGAATTATCCCGAAAAGATAGCAACGGTTTGTTATCATTTAATTATAAATTGAATTTTCATCATTTTAGCAAAATATTAGTGAGATTTATTTCGATCTCTTTTTTGTTCACTTAATTTCATCAAAGTTGAAATTTAGCATTTGTGATTTAGTTTTGGTGAAATCAATTTTTAAATTTAAGAAATGATAGCGAAAAGTTTTTTAAAAAATAAAATATGAATTCTCCAGGTTTTCTTTAGTTGTAATCATAGATGAAACCTTCTAGCAGCGTTTTTTTAACCCTGACTTATCTCGGGGTCAAATTTAAAATATCATAATTTCAAACAATTCATTTATCCTAATGACATGGCAAAAGTTTACCTTTTTTCTTATAGCAGACTCAACATCAGTATCGAATAAATTGAATCATGATGCCATCTTAGCCCATGGCACAAAAATTATGGACGATTTATCGTCACCGAATGATAGCACTATATCTCAGCGTGAAATTAGTGCCAATTCTGGCTTGGCTGATAGCGAGAGCTCTCCGATGACTCCCGATGCTCCAACTTCGATTAGACTCCGTTCGAACGGTCGATATCGAAAGCAGCAACCAAATGTTAAAAATAGATATCAAATGGCTCAGGTAACTGTTAGTGATAATTCAGATAAGATTTAATGGTAACTATGTCTGTTAGAAAGTGCTTATTGATAATTTATATAAATCAAATTGATATTTTTACAGATAAAAATAGATTCATCATTTGAAGTGGATACAAATGGCACAGAAGTACGTTCACCACCACCACCTTCACCTCGTTTGGATAGGGAAAAGCAAACTTTATCGATGGTATTGGCATCTGATTTGTTCGCTTTCAGTACTGGACGTGTTCCGGAACGAGCAGAAAGTTGTGAAGAGTTAGATGTTGATTTTACTGAACAGGTTTGTTAATAGAAATACTATCAAATGATTATTGGAGTTGTAGTGAAAGAATATCAGAGACATTACTGATATAAAAACGGTTATCATATGGGATATTGTGTATTATTAAATACAATATATTCGTATCTTCAAGTTGAACTTTTGAAATTCATTTCTATATTTTAATTTTGCAGACAGGCGATGAATTATATGCACAGAAAAAGCAAAAAGCTGGTGGGTATTTTAGACTTTAAAATTTTTGTTGAATTTATGCTTATTTACATGTGATATTATTTTGATACTTTTTGTACGAGTAATAAACTTTACAGCATTATTTTACTTAACAATTAGTTAAACTTTCATCAAACAATAATCTTTTATTGTTTCTCAATTTGTTAATGAAATTAAAATTAAAAAAAAAAATCCCACTATACGTTATTTTCAAATTTGTCAAATAATGAAGAGGTAAATTAGAGAAAAACTTGAAAAATATATAGGTTAAATTCTAACCTTTCCTACAGTGTTACTACTGTCACGAAGATCCTGTAAAAATTTTTAATTAAATTTTTTCTTTCATTTATCATTATTGGAGTGATCTTTATTCTCTCTCTCTCTCCCTCTCTCTCTCTCTCTCATTCTGTCTTTTACGACTTTTTCTTGAATTCTAGCAATTTTTCCTGTTTCTTTTCAAATTCCATTTTCCTACTAATTAACTGTAATTCTTTTCGTTATATTTTTCCATTCCTCTACTACTGCTGTTCTTGTTTTATTTTAAAATTAGTCGAATTAGAACTTCGAAAAATGAACAAAATTCGTCGGTGTAATTATTTCCTATTCCATTCCAGTCGTTTTAATTTCAGGATCCGTAAAGTATGAATATTTTAAAAAGTTCCACTTTAAATATTAAGCATTTTCCATTTGATCGTAAATGTATGATTTCATTTTCATCTGTAACCAACCAACCATTGATCCCATCAATCTAAGTAAGTAAGACATAAATTTCTTCAACAAAATATTTGGAAAGCATTAATGGAAGAACAGTAAATAAAAGTTTAATTGGAAGCAGATGTATAATTCAATTCTCTCTCTCTCTTTCTCTCTCTCCTTCTTTCTCTATCATTTTTCCTTTTTTTTTTATTTTGCCTTTTTCTTCCGCTCTCTCTCTCTCTCTCAATATTTTATTTAGTCGGCGAATTCTTACAGCCAAGCCACATTTGCTTCTTCTTGTAAACGCCATCTTCAAAAACAGCTGTTGTAGCGCTAACCCATTTATTATTTACTTCTTCAAATATAGTTTCGTTCTTTTGCAGAAATAAATTTGTCACAATTTTCATCTTCTAAATTACTAAAATTCTAAATTTTAAATTTTACTTAAATTCACTTAAACTCACTTAAATTCACGTGAACAACCTCACGTGAAATAATTATGCTATGCTCGTTTTGGTTAAAATTAACTAAAAGCATTTTTCATTTGTTAAGGTGCCTTTTAATGCAAGCGCAATCAACAAAACGGTTCGATTAATTAAATTAAATTAAATAATAAATTTTTAAAGTTTTAATTAATTTGACTTTAGAATCCGATCAAATTACGTGCATAATAATAATTAAATATGTGCATAATAATAATTAAATGGATGGATTCAACGTTTCAAGTCGTTTTTGTTTTTGATATATAAAATTTTGAAATTTTATATATAGCATTTATTAGTTCCCAACATTTTGAAAATGATTTAAAAAGTGAAGAAGCAGATAAGAATTAAAAAAATCGAATTGAAATTATTTTTACAAATTTAGAATAATATTGAAATTAATTGAAACGAGCGATTATGCTCAATTAAATACATTTCATCTTTTCCATTTTTCATTTCATCATTTCATTTTTAGGCTTCTTATTGTGATAAGATAAAATATGAAAGATTTGTGATAAGAATTAATTCTCAATTATCAACATTACATTATTTTATTGAAGAAAAAAATGATTCATAAAAAATGATTCATCTAAACACTTAGAATTTCAATTTTCTTTCATTTCAATAAATATGCTTAAAGTTTAGCAGATATAAATTTCAACATACTTTAACATCAATCAACTTCTCACTTTTAAATTTAAAATAGATCGGAAATTTCTGTCGGGGAAATCTATCAATTAAAATTCGTACACTTCTTTTTTGAAATATAAGATTTTGAAATTTTATAATTCTTAGATAAATTAAATAGAAATTTGTTACTGTGAAAAATTTTCTTAATTTATTAGGAATGGATATTACGATTATTATTATTATTATTATTATTATTATTATTACTATTATTATTATAAATATTAGATTATAAATATTAGATTGTGTGGAACGAATAGAAATATATGAAAATTACAATTTCAAATTTTTCATTTCGAAAAATCAATTAAAGTTAATTTTCTTTGAAGTTTAACAATTTCTAGCATTTAATAGACAATCCGAATTTTTTCATTATTCGATAATATTATGTATTATTTTGTTTTCTCTCATATAGTTAATTAGAGCGATATTATCCGTAATATACACCGATAATTATTATTCAATTATCATCATTTCGTATCCGTAATACACTCCGATAATTGATAACCGGGCTATATATCAATCATAGTAGGAATTTGAAAATTTTAACATTTCGTTTTATAATTTCATATTATTAATGAAGTTTTTAATAGTATCAGAAGTTTGATAATAGCGTTTTTCGTTTTTATTTAAACTTACAACAACATCTATCCTGTCTTATTATATTTGTTATTACTTTAAATAAGATATTTAAAATTAAATTTTTAAATTTAAATTTTGATTTCATACGAAAGTTATTCGTATGACATCTAAGTGTTAGTTGTAAATATATTTCAAACAAATATATGAATATTCAAATCGTTGAAAATATTTTGCCTTTTTAATTTTCGTGATCGTTTTTTCATCTCTCTTAAAATATGTCCCATTATGTGATATTGTTTTCTTGTATTTAGTAAAAGAGCTACTGTGTTGAAATGATTGTATTTACAAATCATTTAAACGTCCACTTCTTCCATCATCACTATATCACACTAATAATCTGTCACTAACGAGTTTTGCAAGTAAAGAGACATTACTAAAATATTTGCGGTACATGTATGGATACATCTCAATAGATCATCATTCAAAGAAAATATTTCCTTCCTTCCTTCCTTCCTTTCATTCATTCAATGTTAGATGCTTCCTTCCAGTTTCAGTTCGGTACGTGTTTCAACTTCATTTTCCATCATTATGGACCCATTTTTCATCTCCTATTTTATCATTCATTAATTTTCTGGTTTTTATAATTCTTACCTTTTCATTCCTCTTATCCTTTCTTACTTTCATCATCACTTTATCATTTTACAATTTTCTAAAATAATATTTTAAAATTATTATTTTATAATTTTCATTCATTTTCTTATTTTATTGACAGCTAAATAAATTTTACATTTTTATAATATTTTATATTTTAATTAAATTCACTTTTATTTTTAATTGAAATTTAAATTACATATTTATTAAAGATATATTAATTATATGTTTTTTTCTTTATCATTGAAAATTATTCAATTTTAAATTTTAAATAGAATATTTTTAATTTGCTTGAAATATTTTAATGCTATCAATATTTCATTTGATAATTGACATAGGTGGCAGTAATATTACAAAGTTTAACATTCCTAAAAATGAAATGGATACTTTTTATTGTCAAATTAATATGAGTAGCTTAAAATTTGAAATAGGAGGATATTTTGTGATAGGATAATTTGAAGTAAAACGTAGAATAAGACGTAACAACGTGAAATAAGACGTAGCAAAAGTATTTCACTTTTTATACTTCGCTTATAGAAATATCATTTGAAGATTTATTAGAAACAAATCCTTTCCTTCATTTATTTTAGGTTTAGCAAAAGAGAAGTTATTTTGTTGAAAATGTTGAAATGATTGAAAATAGAAAATCATTTTTAACTTTCAATAATTTTTGTTAATTTCCTTATCATAATTATCTATTATCATAATTATCGTATATATTATCATATTTATCGTAACTATCGTAATTTATCATATTTATCATACTTATCATAATTATTATTTATTTTTCTTCTTTTTTAAGCAAAATTTAATCGTATTATTGCAAAATTATTTATGATAATATAGTAGTGATATCGGCTTTAAAAGACTTTGTTAGATTAATTTTAATTTTATTCTTATTCTTATCCTATTTCATCCTCTAATTCTTTCGAGATTACTGAAAATGATATTTATCGAATTTTAAAATTTTAAAGCTTTGAAATTTTAAACTTATGAATAATAATTATTATTACTTATTCCAAGATTATTTTCAAATCATTCCTTTCAAATTTCCGAAATGTATTCTAAGCTTCAAAAAACTTTGATATGATATTTTAACTTCACCTAAATTCTTTTTGCTTCAAAATATTCATAGCAATAGAAATTTGAATTATATGCTTTATCTTTAGCTGCACAAAAGAATTTTCTGATATCCTCTCGAGTAATTGGAGTATTTTTAAAGCAGGGTATAATTAATTATCATTGGTTTATTAATAGTATTTATCCAATGCTAAAGTGTGAAAGGATTTTTAGAGGAAGAAGCAATTGAATGTGTACGTTGGTTACGTGATGCTGGCTTTCCGCAATATGCACGTCTTTATGAAGGTATAAATTTAAATTTCCATATTAAAAATTGAATGAATTTAATTCTGTTCTTTCCTTGAGAAATCAAAGAAAATAAGTTATAAATGAAAAGTTAGAATATTTTGAGATATCGTTGAATTTGTTTATTTATTTATTTTTATTTATTTGTTTTTATGTATTTGTTGTTTTATTTGTTTATTTATTTATTTGTTTACTTACACGTATTAAATTATATTCTGGCAATAATTTTGTGATTCAAAAGCGACTGCATGAAAATATGTAATTGCGAAATAAAAAGTAATTGAGAAGCATTTTTAAATTTGGTAGAAAAATTTGAAATTACAGAACATCGTTTTCCAATTGATATTCGTTCGGTAAAACGAGATCACGAATTTTTGGACGACAATTCACTACATGCGCTATTCCGCCGCCTTAATGCGCTTAATCGATGTGCTATTATGAAAGTTGAAAACGTGGTACTTCGGAAACATGTAAAATTCTCAAACATTATATTTCACTTCATAAACCGCTTTAAAATAAGCTATTTCAATCTGATGGATTATATTTCAGTGTTGGGTTCATTGATTCAGATGACTTTAAGATTTAATAGATGTCTCTAAGAAGGTCAAATTGTATTGAAGATAGAATTACGACGTCCTAAAATCTTTTTGTAACTTATCTTTACTATAAAAGAAATCAATGTTGTATTCATAAACATTATTCGCATTTGGGAAAAAAAGGATTGAAAATTTAAATGATAAATAATAGATAAATATACTGCAATTGTTCATTCAGTTGATAGAAGAAAGAGGGAAGTGAAAATTTAAAACATTTTAGGCATTTGTGCATATTATTTCAGCCTGAACGATTTGATATTAATCCATTGGAAACGGATATTGATGACGATATGGCAGTTAGCAATTATGACGATGATGATGATCAGGTTGACAAAATTCAAAATTAAAAAACTTGTTGTAAACCAAATTTTCAGTGATTATCAAACGAATCATTTAATTCCCACACCTATTTATAGCTGATTTACAGTAAGCTTTTTAGATTAGGGTTTTGTTTCCTATTCATTGACTTTCTTTATCTACCTGTCTATAAATTTGTGCTCAAGAATTACTGATCAGTATATTTAGAACATGAAAGCCAACTTACTAATCATATAAAATATTGTTTACAGTAATTTTAAAGAATTCAAAGTTTGTAAACGATTATTAAGAAAGGATCATTTTAGGTAGCTATTTCAAATAAATGGAAGTATCAACGTAATTCGCAAACCTGGTCTAGAATTGTACGAGATGATGATATCGCTGATACATTCAATGGTAAGTGGTGCTAATGAATCTTTTGTGGTACTCGTAATACTCTTGAATCCATATTGTACTCGTAGTACTTGTAAATGCACATGGTACTTGTGGTGCTCGTGAATCCATAGGTGCTTATGAATCCATATGTGCTCGTGAATCCATAATACTCCTGAATGCATGTGGTTTCTACTCGTAGTACTTGTAAATTCACATGGTACTCATAGTGTTCATGAATCCATTTGGTACTCCTGATACTTGTGAATTCAATATTACTTATGATACGTAAATCTATGTGTAAATTTGAAAATCTACCTATATATGTATATACATATATTCATTTAGATTTTAAATTATATTAAAGCGATTGATTACTGTAGCAAATTGCGCACTATATCGAAAAACTTTTTTTCTGATCATCTACAACATGAAGTAACTAATCAAAAAATCAAGGACGTTATTGGATAAGTAAAAGTAATTCAAGTGAAGTAATCAAGTAATTGTTACCTATATACAGGTAGCAGCAATATTTGGCCATCATCTCACAAGGAAGAAATTTCTAGTGCTGAGCTTGACGAAGCATTACAAATGTCATTCGGTTGTGGACATAATCCTAGAAGACAACCGAGTAGTATCGCACGTTCCAACGATGATATATATAACATTAAAAATCAACGTAGTATTACTAACAATTTGATTACTGCTAGAAATGATCGAAAGTGGTAAGAATTTCCGAATGTAATTCATTTTTTTTAGTGTAAGATATTTTGAATAATTAAATTTCAAAGAAAAAATTTGACAATTTTATCCAAATGTTATCTTTATGTTTCCAAATTTTCGCTCTTAAATTCTCTTCACATTGTTATCTTTCGTCGGAGATTTTTCAATCATTTTTTCCCTTTAATATTTTTATCTTCTCAAATATTTTATTTTTTAGTCCCGCAATTGATTCATCATCATCATCATCAAAAACAGTAGCTGTAGTAAATTTACAACGATCTCAAAGTGAACGATTAAAGGAACGTGCACGAGCACTAATGAAACGTATGGATATACGATCATCCAGCAGGTTTATTCCGTTCATATTACTATAAGTATAAAAGAGTAATTTAGTAATTATTTGACTTATATTTATTGATTAAATCATTTAAACAAATCACTCTATTATTTATCACAAATTTTTGCTTTTGGACTGAAATTGATCAAGTGATATCTGATTTCTGAATTATTTGCAAAATGAAGAAAAAATTTATCAGTTGCTTTTGATACATGTTAGTGTATGTATGTGTATGTGTATGTGTGTGTGTGTGTGTGTGTGTGTGTGTGTGTGTGTGTGTGTATATGTGTGTCTTCATTTTTACATAATTGTTGAAATGTTTTGATGTTGTAGAAGAATTAAATTATTTTTAGCACCTTTTTGAATCCATCCAAACTTTATTGGTCTACTAGTTAATAAATAATTTCAACAAAAAAACTTGTAAATATTTGTAAACATATATCTATGCCAATTTTCTCTTCATTTTACTCCTGGGAATCTTCTCTAAATCATAATTTAACGAAAGTTCTCCCGGGATTTTAGGAGGAACATATTAGATTCTCGAGAATCCATTAATGTATATCTATTCAGAATTATTGCCAATAAGAAAGATTCATCGTATATTTTAATTTGCAGATTTCTTTTAAAATAATTACGCTAATTAAAAAAAAAGTAGTGTAATTTGATTTGTTAAATTGTTTGTTCTGATGAAATCCCATATTACTTCTAAATTTTTGTTACGATATAACAGAAACATCAACTTAATTTTTTTTCTTCAATAATACCATTATCGCGGCCTCATTATCATTATTAGTAATTATGTTCTAATTTAGAATCATTATGTTATTACAATCGTAATAATAATAAATAATAATAATTGTAATAATAACTAATAATAATGATGATAAGTAATAATAAATAACAACAAATAAATTGTAGAAAGAGTAACTGATAATAATAATTTTGAATGGGTCGTATGTGTCCACTTAGTTTCGCAGATATCATCATCATATATTTAAGACGTCGACGACAACGTGATTCCTCGGTAGCTGATTCAACGGTCAATGTTCCGCATTCATCTCCCTCGTTAGCTGCAACATCATCATCATTATCAAAAACTGTTTCAAATGCGAGTGGTGGTGGTGGTAGAGATTTAGTAATTGGTGATCCGGTGCTTGTTTCGCATTTTTCGGCCAGTCCACGAACTATGCATATGTTCCCGGATGGTTTATCCAATATTCTATCATCACAAGTTGTTACACCACAAATGTTGAATCAATTTCATCGTGATACTACCTCTTCAACAACCGACAATCATACACCTGATGGAGGTACAATTATATTTTTCAAATCAATTTAATAAATTTCAATTTAATTGAGAAATATTTTTGCAAATTTTTAAAATACATTTAGTGCTAAAAGTTAGCTATGAACGTAAATATAAAGTATGAAATAATTGGATTGATTAGAATAAGTTTTTCTTTCAACAACATCTAATACCGCTGATCGTTATTAACGATAAAAAAAGGAGAATTTTTGTCGCCTTCTTTTATGCTGTCATCATCAGAGAATAAAATTATCACTATCAGAGAATAAAACTATCACTTAATTCATTATGCTCCTTTTTACCACCTGCAAACAAACTTTCACTTTCTTTCTTATAGCTTTTTAAAATATTAATAATTACCAAAATTTCTGATAGGTAATTTTGTTATCGAAAGAAAACTATATTCTAATTCGAGATTTTAGAATTGCCTAATTGAAATTCCCAAATTTGAAATTTATTTTAAGCGTAAAAAAAAGTCGGAGAAAGAAAGTTAGCAAACTTTCTTCCATTTCAATTTTTTTTGTAAAAAAATTCTAACATTAATTTAGTAGTATTATCTGATCTGAACAGATATGCTACAGTGTTTTTTTCTTCCGATTATTGCCAGTGGTGACATCAATAATGAAGCAAGAAGATTTTTTGATTGATCCTAATTTATAACAAATTTATTGTATTATTTTGTGTTAATATGATTTTGCTGATTTCTTCTTATTTAATGATTACTTCGTCCTATTTGCGAGAATGTATAATTGTGATTTGTAGTAACGTTTGCCGTATTACAACCAACAATGCGACAACAACAACAACATCATCACCACCACCATCACCAACAACAACAACAACAACAAAAGCAACAACAACAAAAGCAACAACAACAACAACAGATGCAGCAACAACAACAACAGCATCAGGAGCAGCAGCAAATGATATTTGATTGTGGAGGAGCATCTGCACAATATAAAAACTCATCCTCACCATCCTCTCGAATTCGGACACGTTTTTTGGGTGCCAGTAATCGACGTATGGGTATAGTACTTGATTCATCCGGATCATCAGCTATTATCAGCAATCATCCACGTAATGAACCGTTATGTTGCAACAAAACGCAGGATATATTTTGTGATCCAGCATTAAAATGTGGATTATCACGTCACGATCGTAATACACGAATTTATGATCGAGTAGCGCAAGATTTATGCTCTGAGAACACTGAATATGCTAATCCAAGACATGGACCGGTTGATTTAGACGCAATAACACCATATTATGATAGACGTTCCGGAATGATGCGTAATGAGAAACCGTCATCATCTCAGCATTGCTACGGCAATAATACAACCTTCTCTCCATTAATAAGGTTTTTCTTTAATTTTAATATATATAATATATACGACAATTTTTTTAATTTTAATTTCTTTCTATCGATTAATACGATACAGCAAAGAATATAATATCGAAGTTTAGAAGATTTCCTGCAGTGCTTTGAAAATTATAGTGTTCAGTAATTATTTATTATTTTTAGGTTATCTTTTAAACAATTGCAGAAATCCTTAAAGTTATCTAACATAGATAATTTTGCAAATTTGAATTCTTTGAAGAAAAGATGAAGATTAATATTTTTCGGATAGGTATTTAGAAGTTTTTAGTATTTCAATCATTTTCAATTTTATTTTTTAAAAAGAAAATTTTATAAATTTTAGAAGCGGTCTGCAGTTTTCGGGTGATGTTCTTTCGGACAGTTCACTAAATTATAGTGAATTAAGAGGTCTTCCGAGAACGAATATTGAATGTAGTCGTGATCGTGATCGAAGTCTAACAACTGAGCAATCATCTGTTCGTTCAAGGCTGGTGGTAAATGCAGATGGTTACTATGAACATATCCCTTCTGATGGTTAATTCATTTCTTTTATTATTTTCTTTACTTAATTTATCGTATCATTCAAATAATAATTAATTTTATATAATTTCTCCATTTTTGTTCATAAGAATTAAGAAAAAAATTGGACTTTCTGAAATATTTTATAAAATTAAATTAACATAAAAATTTTTTTGATATAAAATTAATTAATATTTTTGAATGATACGGTAAATAACAAATATTATAATGCTATTTGTATTAGTCGAATTCATTCGGATAATCCATCTGCACGGCATATCTGTTTATTCTTTTTTGAAGATAATTAAAGTTGCTCATAATTTAAAGTTCAGAAGCTCTTGCTCAAGTTTGATTCTTCTATCTACAACTATATGCAATAGTTTCAATCGTAATTAATTTCATATCTTCATTTAATTAAAAAAAATTTGACTATTAAATTATAAACAATGATGGTATCATAGATATTCGCGATACTTCACTTGAACTGTCAGCATTCTCGTCCAATCTTGATGATTCAGTTACTGGTAGTGCTATTGGAGCGGGTACCTCGGGAATGACAGTACCTGCATGTCATCGTGCTATATCACCAGAATCATCATCTTCCAATACAAGTATAACTAATCATGCCAATCGCTTAAAGGTTAATTAATTCTTTACTCTATCCGAAAATATAGGAATAATTTTTACTTTTCTTTTTTGATAACTAATTGATAAATTTCGATGATTGCAAAAAATGGCTTTTTAAAAATAATTTTTAAATCGTAAATCGTAAAGTCGTAAAATTTCTTCAATTTCACTATCTCACTCATTTCTACTTTAATTTTTGTAGCGGAAAATAATAATTTATCGTAAAATTTATAATCATCAATAATTTGTCGTCAGATATTTCAGACGGAAATTGATTGCCGAAGTGGAAAAAGACTTGGTTGTGGCAATAGTCCGTTATCATTCAGCGCAGTTAGAGGTATGTCAGCGCAGAGATCACATTCCAGTTTGGAAAGTAGCGGAAATGATGATGAATTGGTTACGCAGCAACATAGGTTAGGTACTGCTGAACGACGTGATTCAGGTGTTGGTTCAAGTCTTTCGCGATCACCAAGGTTAGCTAAATAATTTCATCCTACATTTTTATTATTTTATTGCTCTATTAATTATTTAATTATTTAATATATTAAATTTTATTATTTATTTAATTAATAATTTAATTATTATTTAATTATTTAATATATCAAATTCAAATATTAGATTTTTGCATTTAAATTTTAAATTTTTTTATATTACTGATAATAAAATTAAGTTATTGCACAAAAAATAGAATGTATAATTATAGCGCAAGCGCAATAATTATACAACGTTGTAAATGATTGATCATGAAAGCATTTGAATTAAGCATTCTCGGAATAACTATTAAATATCATCATTTTAGTGGACCAACAACACAACGACAACGGAATTCGTTACTTTTTACAACATTGCATCATCGAGAAATGAAATCAAAACATCTGTCACCAAGTTTATTGAATGCTTTTCGCACTGACTGCAATGAAACATTCATTAGTGATGCTAATTTAACGCAATGTATGGATGCGTTAAGTGTCGGTGAAATGGTTAGTTAAACTGTTGAATTTTCACAATTACCGTAATGTGTTATCATCTTCACTTCAATACTTCCTTCTATACACTTTCCTATTTTACTATCTTATATCTATCTGTGCATTACATTTACAATTTAAATGTAATTTATAATTTATAATTTAGCACTTAAATAATTGTAACTTAATTAATTTAAAACTTTATTTCTATTTCAATTTCACTCTTATCAATTCTCATTTCTAAACTATTATTATGCGTCAACTCTTACTTATTTATTTATATATATTTTTCATTTATTAAATTAATTCCTATTGTCTTCATTTCCATTGAATATTTATTTAATTTTATTTTACTTTTCACATGTAATTTTTTATCAATCAATTCAGGCTTCTTTTATTTTTAAAAAATTAATCTAACCTTTTTTTTTCAGCAACAAATACGAAAATTGGCATTCCTTAAGCTATCAGTGATGATTGAAACATATGCTGGAAGTAGTATTAGAATTGGTGTTGTTACGGATAGTAATGGTAATGGTAGAGTAAGCAAAAGTTGGGCGGTACATAGATTTATCAGACGAATGCGCAACAATGATAATATTAATAGCAACAATAAACCTACCGGAAGTGAGCTTAATATTTCCGTTTAATCAAACATTTTTCACATCTCTTAATTCTTCATGAATATTTTCGTTATCGTAGAATTAAATAGTATGTATGAATAGTTTTAATATTTAAAATATGTTGATATTAAAATTTTTGATATGATCTTAAAATATCATATAATATTTGATTATTTGATTGAACGAGAAAACTTACCGAATAAACGAAAAGTAGTATTTCAAACAGTTATGATAAAAGGATCCGGAATATAAATTTATGTTTAACTTGTGATATTTGCTGGCAAAAAAAATGAAGTATAATTTATTGTAAAAACTATTTGTTTGTTTCGCTATTATCATCCATTAATCAACGTATATTTTTTTTTTGTCAGTTTTAGGTGAACTTTCAACTTTTGGCTTACCGTTAGCTATCATTCAAAGTCGTTCTGGTTTTGCATTACCTCGATTTGTCTTGGAAATGATGCATTTTTTACGTATCGCAGCTCCAGATACTGTTGGAATATTTCGGAAAAGTGGTGTTCGTTCACGAATTGCTGAATTACGAATGCTTTGTGACGTTGCACCAGAAGCGGAAGTTTTTACAGATGGGAAATTTGATTTAACCCAGGTATTTTATTATTCGTTAATATATTCATTCATCTTTGAAAGGCTTAAAAATTATTTTGAGGTAGAATTCAATGATGATACTACATTTAATCAAATTTATGGCAATTCATTAAAATCTTTCATTGATCGATCAAAATCTATTTAGTTTGAAAAACGAAAGTTTTTACTTTATTTCTTTTTGTAGAATGAATTTACAATAATTTTATTACAGCTATAGCTGACAGATTAATTTTACATTTGTTTCTTTATTTCTTTTGGTATCAATTTATTTCATATCTCTCTTCACTTGTTATTGTTAGTATCATTTAAGGTTCACGATATAGCTGATCTTTTAAAGCAATATTTTCGTGAATTGCCAGAACCTTTGATGACTGCAAAATATTCCGAAACTTTCGCTGAAATTTTCATACGTAAGTTTATGCCATTTATTAAATATTATTATTTTCAAAAATATAAATTTCATTATTTACTTTTTTTTTGTTTACAAAAATTATATACTCATTTTATTTCCCTTTAATTATTCTAATTAATTGCTTAAACTGTTTAACTTTATAGATATTCCAATGGAAATGCGTATGGAAGCTCTTCAACATGCCGTTTTATTGTTACCAGATGAACATCGTGAAGCTCTACAAACTTTACTTTATTTCCTTCATGATATCGCTAAACATTCTGCAACTAATAGTGTGAGTATTTTCATCTTTTCTTTTGTCAAATTTTTTGTTAATTAATTAATTAACTCAAAGATTTCTAAATTTCTTTTCTAATTGCATATCATATTGTTGCATTTCAGAATTAAAATTTAATTTCATTTGCAGTATTTAATATTTCATTTTCTCTCCTTTGTTTTTTAGAAATTTTAATTAGAATAAGAAAGGAATTTGAATATTATTCAAATTTCAATTCGTACATACAATATTTTTTCATTTTTAGATGACACCACAAAATCTTGCTGTATGCTTTGCGCCATCATTATTTCACTTATGTGGTTCACGCTTAAATAATATCAGTCCAACAAGGTTAGCATTTTTATTGTTCATTAATGTGGCATAAGGAAGCCGTAAGTACACGTTGGTACCTTCACACATGTTACGCTTATGCATAACGAATATAGTATTGTATTCCATTCTTGAATGTTACTTTTTACAACGCGATATTTTCTAGACGTCATAAAACAATTGGAGCAGCAGGATTGCCAACAGAACATGAAATTAAGGAATCACGTGCTACGCAAGAATGCCTGGTGCAAATGATCGAGCATTGTACTAAAATATTCATTGTTCCTACCAGTCCAGGATTCAAGCGTGATAAAGGTAGCGAGTACTGTAAAGGTACCGAATCGGATGCACCATTTCTTACCGAATTGGGTTTATCCCAAGATGGAAATTACAAGACTTACCTGTTACAGAAAGCAAGAGAGCTATTAAAAGTAAGTAGTTAATGCTTCAATTTTTAATTTATTTAAATTTTGAATATCCAATTTTAATTTCTTCTAAAATACAATTGTAAAATTATTTGTCAAAGTCATCCTAATAATATTATACATTCTTTAGGAACATCGAGATCGATGGAAAGGTTGGATTGTTGAGGGTACAGTGAATGGTGTTGAAATTTCAACCAAAAAATCAACTGATGGTCATCCGTTACGATTCTTTCGTGTTTGGGTTGATATTGAAGCACCACCTAAAGAGATTCTTACTAAAATTGTTCGAGAAAGGTAATCTTTAATTTTGTTTTATTAATTTTTTATACATTTAATAAATAATTTTTAGCTAATATAAAAAATGCATTTTTGGTTATATAATTAATATGTAAATAAGTATGCGATTATTTTTTAATTCAGGTATAAATAACTGTAATGATTATTTTTTTAATTGAGGTAAATAAAGGTAAAGATTATTTTTTTAATTCAGAAGTGTTTGGGATGTTCAAATTATCAATTGGAGAACAGTGGCAATATTGAATGCGGAAAATTGTGATGTTTTCCAATATGTTATCAATGATACGCCATCACATCCAACTCGTGATGTTACGGTAGTTAGGTATGTTTAATTATAATTAAAAAAAAATTTTATTTTGTTAGGTATAATTGCAATTAAGAAAAAATTTTTCAAAGGATCATAAAATTTAAATACATATACAAATTTCTTTTATAATTAAAAATTTTAAATTAAAATTTTTAATTATTTCAGATTATGGCGGACAGATATGAAAGAATTACGTGGTGGTTGTGTTCTGGTAGAACGTTCAGTACATTCCAGTGAAACGCAGATGTTAGGTGGTATTTCTGCTGCTGTACTTTCATCACAATTTCTCGTTGAACCAATTGCTGGTCGTTCACGTGTTACATATATCACAAGGAATGATTTGAGGTATTGTATTGAAATGTTTATTCTTATTTGACTTTAAAAAATAATTAAGGTAATTAAGATGACAACTATAATTAAGTTAAAGTTTTTAAGGTAACACTATAATTACGGTAACATTTTTTTTTAATAAGTTTAATTGTAATTAAGGAACGTTTTCGTTTTCGATAATATTTTAACTTTAAAATCTCTTTATGAATTATAATTTCAGAGGACGAAGTAATGTTTGGTATAGTAAAGTATATGGACAGCTTATTGCACGACAACTTTCACGATTACGTGATTCATTTAAACAATTTACATTTGTTGATAATGGTCCTGAAACGAAAGTTTGATCAATAATTTTATTACTTAATTAATTAGGTGCTATTTTGTTATATATATTATTACTAAAATTACTACTAAATTTAATTCTGTTGATTTATTTCTACAAAAATTTGACATCATATTATTAATATTTTTTTTAAACAATAAGCGGGATTTAATTTTCGACAATTTTTTAAGACGTAAATTCAATTAATTAATTTCAATTCTTTTTAATGAATTGTTGTGATATGTAATGTTTAAATATTTTTCGTTTTCCATTCTCGAAATTATTACTAAATATATTATACACTCCATTATTTTGTTAATTCATATATTAATTCACTTATAAATTTTCTTTTTCATTTCTCTTTTTATATTCTATTTTAGTTTCTAATGATCATTTCAACTACTGATGTTAATTCAAATTAATTAGCGCTGCCACTCATTAATACTGCAAAGATATTTAATTGATACTTTTATTTTATATGATTGTAACTTATTCCTCTCTCTCCTTCTCTCTCTCTCTCTCTCCCGAAGTAATCATAACACGTATATGATCATATAGTTGTGATCATTTTCTTGAAAATCATATATACTCCCTTTCTTCTAAAAAATTTTATTCATAAAATAAATCTTAAAAATGAATGTAACAAATTTTTAAAATGATTTATAGGATTCCTTCCATATTAGTAATTTTCATATTTATCGCAAAATATCGAAATATATTTTTAATTATATAAATCCGTTGAAATAATTCAAGTGTTGTAGAAATTGATGGTACCACAGGGATTGTTTTTCCTTTTCAGTAAATTAAACTGTATTAGAAAGGATATTAAAAATGAACCTAACAAATTTTCGAAATGATTTATGGGATTCCTTTCACATTAGTAATTTCCACATTTATCGCAAAATATAGAATAAATGAAATTTCATGACAGCTTCATTGTTTAATCTCATTTTAGGCTTTTTCACTCTTACAACCTTTGACCTTCGCTCACTTTATTACAGTTTGTTTTTATATGTTTCTATTTTATTTATTTATTTCTTTTCTTTTTAGTGATGTATTTTAAAAAAGAAATCTCTTCGTAATCTGTGACTGTAACAAAAATTTGTTATCATGTTGTCTGAATGATAATATAATAATCAGATAATTATCAGATAATCGCATTATTTACTCATTTTAAATTAAATGAAAAAATTCCATTTTATTTTACACAAAATTGATTTTTCAAAGTTTGATTTGAATTTCTAAAATTTGAATTCAATTTTCTTTTTTATAGAAATATAATTTGATTTTATCAATTAATTAATTGATAAAATTAATTAATAGTAGTAGTATGAAATGTTGCAAATCTTTTTAGAAGTTTTGTTTTTTATGTGAAAATGATTGAATATTTTCTTCATTTTATTGTTGCAGCAAAATATATTTTGTATTACAATTAATAGGTTAATTGGTAATGAAAACTTTATGGTAGTTTTTTTGTTTTATTTTTCCGGTTATCAATTCTTCATTATAAATCCGATTTTCATCATCAATCTGTATTTATCGAACTTTTTAAAGGATTTCCTTTTTAAGGAATACATGTAAAAAGAAAAAAGAATTTTTGATAGAGAGAGAGAGAGAAGTTTTATGTTTGATACCAGAAATTTTGAACATATACCGATCCGATACAGAGGTCAAAGTTTACATATATTTGATATATTTCAGACATTTACAGTTATGTTATTACATTCATTTGGTATAAGAAAAATTTCTATTATTGTTAAGGAACAAGTAAATGTGCTGGTATACCAAATGAATGCATTTGTTTCCAATTTAAATTTCTCCATGTTGGAAAATAAGTAATTAAAGCACAAAAACTTTGCTTTAACAATGTTTCCGGATTTCTGGAAATCAATAGGAATGAATCGATTTGTGCTTGATTAACCATATGTAACATTTTTTTCCGTAACATAACCACAGTACCATTTGAAGTAACATCCAATGTTAATTCATCAAATTTACATTTTGGAAGCCAATTCAGTCGATACCATGTAAATGTTTGCATTTCCATAATACAAATCTGCAACGATTATTGACATTATGATATCTTCTTTTTTTACTTTGTAATATAAAATTGAAAAAAGATAGTATTAAAATATTGATTATCAAAAGTTTAAAATATGAAAGAAATTTTTTGAAACAAATTTTCCCTCACTTCCTCAAACTGTACTGTACTGAAAATTCTGAATGATTTCATTTTGAATAAATTCTATTCATTCATTTTAGCTAATCGATGATAAATTGAAGGTTTAGCAAAGCTCGATTTTAATAAAATCCCTAATGGCAAAAAAACGAAAAAACGAAATAGCTAAATCGAAGTATTAAATTTTTCGGAAATAGATTTTCCGGAAAAAGTAATTTTTGTGATGTGAAAAATTTAAATTACAACAACTACTATTAAGATTTAAAACTTCTATTGCAAAAGTTACGATTAACAATCGGACATGAATATGCAAAAAGAGATAATCGCAAGATATTTAAAAAGAGAATATAATTCTCCGGGAAAAATGAGGAATCAGGAATCTTAAAGTGCCTTCAGAATTCAGAACAATCTTTCAGGATTCAGCGCAATCTTTTAAGATTCAGAGCAATTCTGCAAAGTTTAGGATAATCTGCAAGCAAAATTTTAGATAGAATTTTTGTCAGGAATGACTGACATTGCTGGTGGTATCATAACCTTCCTTTTACATTTCCCCTTACTTAATACTCATATGAGCGTGAAAATTTTGAAAATTTTGCGGAAGTAAACGATGAACACGTAATCACCTCACAATGAGTAGTATCTTGATCAGGAGTATTGTATGGTTCCACAAATTCCGTTATTATCCACAGCCATCCATCTCGTCCCACATGTTTTACACGTCTAATAAGCGTAGTGGTACTTCTCACTTGCTGTAATATTGCATCTTGTGGGAATTCTTGTTCTACCTGTTGTTGTTCCCGTTGTTGTTGTTGTACAGCTGGTAAACTATTTCCAATAACACCTGTTGCTTTTGTATGTACAATTTCTAATTCACCAGTATGCAAATTAGCCCGAACTAAACGTCCTGTTAAATATTTTACTTCCATATAGGTAGTTATTGAGGCACTTTCAAATAAATACATATAGTTTCCATCAACCCATGGTTGACCACAAAAACGTAGGCTAGACATGTGTGCAGTAAGGAGGACGGATTGTACTGGTGTATCCAAATTAATCTGCGTCACGTAGAAATTTCGGATCTGATCATGTTGTGACATGAAAATAATGCCTCGTTCAGAAGCTCTTGCAGAACTCCAAAAATGTGAATTATTGCTCAATTGATAAAAAAGTGTTTTTCGTATTCGAATTAATTCCTGAGAGTGATCAAATCGTACTGCATATATATGAAAGCATCCGGAACTGCAACACACCAATATTCCTTCTAAAGAATTAATCTCATACAGATGTTTCGTCTGTAATGAAGGTGGTAAATTGATCACTGTGTAACGCCGTGAGATACCTCGATGTAAATCCCATACGAACAGTTGAGATTGTAATTTCGTTGGATCCTCACCAATCACATATACATAACGTGCATCATTGCTTACGGAATAGTGATAAGTTATGCTCGGATAAATTAAATCCTCAATTCTTTCATCTGCTAATGGAAAAATTTTTCGTGGTTTACAATGAATAGTTCCATTATTTTGCTTATCTCCGTTTTTCCGAATTGCATTATTGTTAGCGGAATTATTGCCGCTGCTATTCAATGCCGAATCAATCATTTCGTTTGAATTCGATTACTGGTTTGATTTTCCACCAATGAATTATTCGTTTGTAAACTCTGAAGATAAATAGCTTACTTATTCAATATGATTTACGATATTGAGATTTAAATTTAATTTACCTATCAGGAATAATCGATATTTGAAATAAAATTTATTCGCTTGTTGTAAGTGAAAAGATCACAATAATTTTTTTTCTACATAAACCATAAATTCAAATTAATTTTTGAAATTTGAAAATTTCTACTACAATAGTTTTCCACAAGATAATTCAAAAAAAGTTCACAATAATTTGATGTCAAAAAAGTTTCAAAAATTAATTAATTTCATAAAGTGAAGATAAAATATAGCTCTGAAACGTATTTCACGTTAACAGTACGTGTTCGTAAATAACATACCAGTGATGTAAATTGTTGAAACTTGCATACATTGTGTGTGTGTGTGTTACGGCACTGCCACTTTATTTATTGATTTGTAATAAATGAAAATGATTGAGTAAATTCTGTGACATTTATTTTATAATCAAATTTTTTAGGCAAATTAGTAGAAAGCTCAAAAAAAAAATTATTACGACATTTTTAAGCAAAAAGAATTAATTTGGTTAAAACGTTTTTATTTATAATAAAAAATTCATTTTAGCTTGTTTACTTCATTCCTTACGGTTGCACCTTCCGGTAATATTTATTATTTAATCGCTATGATTTGAATCATTTCGATTCTCATCCATTCATCACTAATTTAAATTAGATAAGTTAGGTAGGAATTGAATTTTCAGCGATCGATGAGATATTTTTCTCAATTTTTATTTCAATTTTTCTGTCTTACTGTTAATTTATAGTTTTTTTTTTTCAATTTTTCCTGGAATTATTTAAAGGAATGAATTTCAAGTCTAATTTAAATTAGGTAAGTTAGGTAGGAATTAAACTTCCAGCGATCGAATTTTATCTTAATTTTTCTGGCTTATTGTTGATTCATAGTTTTTTTTTCAATTTTTCCTGAAATTAATTAAAGGAATGAATTTTAGGTCGAATGGATATTACTGAAAATGAATTTCTAGCAATTACATCAATTATTGTTGGCCTAATTAGCATTGCATTTTCAATCATTCTGAACTGTTCTAAAAGGGAAAGCACTAAAAATCGAAAAGGTTTAATAAATAATAAATAAATAGCTATTGAGATTTTTTTTTTTGAACTTAATTAAAAAGTCAATTTTAGTATTGAAGCAAAAGTGCTTATCAAACGACTCCCAATATCAGCACTTACCCTATGATAACAACACAACTGAAGCATCCATACTGTCTAAGCATTCTAAAGGATTAAATTTGAGTTGGAACAATTCAAGTCAACAAAAGGACATGTCAAAATCGAAGGTCTTTTTGATTAATCATTGTTTTTTCGAATTTATCACTTTATCACTTAATCATTGATTTTATCTGTGTATTATTATCATTTCATTTCCACACTTCACATTTATTATCATTATCATTGCGCTATTGTTATTATTATTACTATTTCATTATTATCATTGCTATTATCACTTGTATTATTATTATCATTATTCCATTATTATCATTGCTATTATCACTAGTATTATTACTATCAAAATGCTTCTCAAACTCATCAAATTCTCTTTTGAATCAGATTTGCCATAGAGACTGCTTGTTTAAAGATTCCTGAACGGATCATAAATCCATTAAAAAATACCGATTCAAATTTTTATTTATCTATTGCGCTATCACGCAATTATTATTAAGGAAATGATCGGAATCAGTGATAGTTCGCAAAAAATGACCAAACGATTACCCACTTTCATCAGTTATATCACTGATGTTAATGGTAAATTTGTTATTAAAATTATTGGAAATAAACAAAATAACTCGTTATTTCTGTTCAGAATGAGGATAACGATAAGCTTGAACTTTTGAAGGTCATTGCAATAGTTTTGGCAATTTGAATTCTGAAAAGAGGAAAAGTTATTTATCGTCATCCCTAATCTTCAGATAAGGACAGATGGCATGAAAAAATTTTCATGGAAAGGAAGCTAGTTGCCATAAATTTGATAAAAGTTTTCAGTAAATAACGATAAATTGGAGGAACAAACGGCAATAGCAGAAATCGGCACAACAAGTACTCAAATGACAACCACTCTCAATTCTACACTATCACGTGGGAATCTGAATCCCAACGTGAACTTCAATCCTATAGTGACGAAATCAAATAGCATTTTTGAGATGGCTATTGGTGACGAAGAATTATCGAACAAATTTGGATCAAATATTGATGATAAATCAATTTTATCGAAAGACAAAAGTTGGAATAGTGGACATTATTGTCCATACTGTCATGATGAAAGTCTTCAGATTCCAATCAAACATGAAAGTTGTGATACAAAGATGATAGAAAAAGAGATGATTGAAGAATATAAATTATCGGAATCAGTAGCAGAAATGGTAAAGAAGTATGAGCAGAAATCACGTCTGGAAAATAATTAAGATATAAATAATTTTTAAAAGTAAAATAACTTCACATATTCGCCATATGTTAAGTTAATGACTGTCATTATTGAACATCAATTCAATGATACATATACTTCACATTGATTTCGATGGCGATAAAACTTTGTAAACTTTCATTTCCTTTGTTACATTTAATTTTAAAAAAAGATTATTTTACATTACACAACGGTATAAATATTATTTTTACTGTTCTGATTTAACTTCACACAATTCATTTCGAATTTTGCGAATTGCATTATATTTGGGTGAAAAGCAATTCCAATATAATTTTAAATTATAATGAAATATTCGAAATGGTTTTTTATTAAGTGTTCCTATTATTTCATTCCTAGCAGAATTTAAGTTATATATTTGTAGAATAAACTTAGTAATTTGTATTAAAAAACGCCTTTCTAATATAACATAATACAGCTTTTATTGAATTCAAATTTTACTTTAATATATTAAAATATTTTCAAAGCAAAATTATGCAAAAAAATCATATTTTAGGGAACTAAAAAAAATGATGCAACTTAGGCGAGAATAAAATATTTTGAGATAATTCATCCAACACTTAGTTTTTACTTTTTAAAGAAAAAGAATAACAAGAAGTTCTTATCAAAAATTGTAATCTTAACTTTGCCATACTATCAGCATTTATCATATTTGACAAATTTTCCAGTTTTCAAATTTAATAAGGTCATTTCAAGTAGCCTATAGCATCGAGATTCATAACAAACCCAAGTTAAATTGTAAAAGAAATACGAAATGAAAAAAGCAGAAAGAAAGGATGGGAGAGTAATTTAAAATTCAAAAATGGATACGAGTGAAAATTTAATGAACGACAAACTACGACGAAGTATTTTCAGCATTTGCAATTGGAATTAACTTTGAACTCCTAAAAATTTAAATTTCTCATTTAGTATTTTGCCACATCTTAAAATCTTCAAAGCTTAATTTTCATGAAAAATCACCAATCAAAAATCTGTTACCTTTTTCTTTAAAGTTTGAGATGCTTATCGCGAGAATTTTTTTCTGAAAGATTGGAGAAGTTTTTTCACTCAAATGAAAGGTAAATGGTGAAATTAAGCTATTGCAAATATTCAAAGTTTTCTTATTTATATTTTTTCGAAATATAAACAGCAAGCATTAAAAAATAAAATCAAATTTCAGTATTAAGCGTAAACAACTATCGAAGTGATATTTCCATTTCCACAAATATCACTGAATTCATTGATTTATTTTCACTAAATTTTTAGTGATAGATTTAATGATAATTAATTAGGGGATAATAATTAATTTAACTTTTAAATTTCGTGTGACCTTCACGTCTTAACATATCGCTTCAAGAAAATCACCAAATAGTGCCAATATTTTATATGCCTGAAATTGTATAAACAACATTACTAGAAAGATAAATTGACCAATGGTCACAAAGAAAGCTAATATTAATTGTCGTTCGTGTAGAGATTTTATAACTTAAATAAAGCAGCTTGTAAACACTAAATAGCAAATTAAAGTTATTATTTACGTGACACTTCGATAAACAAACATTGTGATGCGCAAAAGTACTTCTATCGCTCTTATCAATTGAGCATGATATTTTCTATAAGTTGAAAGAATTTCAAAAATTCATTTACTTCATTTTTATGATTGGTTGTGAGCGGTGTTTTTACAAAAGCTACATTTTCCTTTTGTAAACAATTTTTTGTTTACATGAAATTAATATTAAAGTAGGATAAGAGTATGAAATTATAAATTATAAAAAGTTATTATGAAATTATAAAACTTTAAAATCCTTGAACTTTTTACTCCTTCTTAAAAAATCAAAAGCACACTTATAAACAAGTAAACAAAATTGTTTATTATTTTTTTATAATGCTAAAATCTATTCCTGTGGAACTGTTAAGGGAACAAAATGACAAATTAAGGAGAAATGAATGATTAAATAAGAAATGATAAGCAATGATAAGCTAACTATAAGTGACAACCAATATACGATTAATATATTTTTTTGTCTGTAAGGAAGAAAAGTTTTTTAAGCAATCAATAAGTCGCGAATTATTTTGAGATTTCCCAAAATAAAGTAACTTATAAATAGTTTCTAGATATAATTGATTGATGTGAAATGAAACAATCTAGATTAGATATAAATGTATTCTATACTGGGTGAAGCGTTAATAGCATCATCGAATCTCGGCATCATTGCTACAATTATTATCATTTCGGTAATTATCGATTGTTCCAAGAGGAAAGGTCAATCTTACAACAAACATTACAATACTTTCAATAGACGATGAATAGAGATGAATTTTATATTTAAAGCGATATAACTAAACTGTACTGTTACTATCATTTGGTTTATCAGATTATCAAAAATTGATCTAAATGTAATTTGCTATTCATGATTTAATGTGAAAATTTTGATAGCGCTATCAAATTTCAGAGTTAAATGTTGAAGCGACACAGCCATCTTTGGGAGAAAATTCCAAAATCAGTGTATTTAATAGGGACGGTGAAACTGATATTGAAATGCCATCACGTTTACAGGTATGTGTATAAAAAATGGAATTTTTAAAATATTCAAATTTAGTTATCACAGCTTCAAGAAGGGAATGATTTTGCCAAATTTAGAATTTAAAAGAAGTTGAAGAGAACAGAAAAGAATCGAGTGAAGTGAAGAAGCTCAGTGATAAAGAAGAGAAAAAAGAGTTGAAATCGAATCGAAATTCAAAACAATCTCAGAAGCATCAATCTGATAAGGAGAAATCATTATCCGCAAAAGATGATAATCAAAGTGAAGAGAAACAAAATAACGATCAAAAATCTGCAAAACAAAAACAATCATCAGATATTAAAGAATCCGATCATGAAAATAAGAAAATTTCATGAACGTAGTAAAAGTGGTAATATTTTTTTTCCTTAACATTTTTTCATTTAAATTTAAATTTTATTTAAAATTTTACAATGAATTTTCTTTTTGCTTATATACAAGTTTCAGAATTTAATTATAGGTAGATAGAGTTTTGATCAAAACAAAAACAAGTAGTAACGTAACGATTAATTAATTGATTAATTGATTGATTTTTTTTGCTTAGAATAGAGTTACATAAATATAAATTTCAGAATTCAATTATAGGTAGATAGAATTTTGATCAAAACAAAAACAAATAGTAACGTAACGATTAATTAATTAATTGATTGATTAATTGATGGGTGGATGAATGGAGAAAAGAAAGAAGGGAATAAACAAAAAAAGAAATAAATTATATTTATGTTTTAACTGAAGTAATAAACCTTTTCTTTTTTATTTTGTATAAATAAATTTTATTACCTTGAAATTACGTTGATACCTTTGTCATTCATTAAAGTGAAATTATAATTAGCTAGCAATTTTCGGCGACAAATTTTGCTGCAACAAAGTATTAACAACAAATCTGTCAATAATACTAAAAGCAATTTTCGTAATATTGAAATTTATAATAGCTCAATTTTAATAAAATTGCTTTTAAAATTTTGAGTTGTGAAGATTTTAGGAAAGGAAATTTCAAAATTAAATATTCAAAAAAAAAATTAATTACTCTTTTATGAATTGCAGCAAAAATATTACTGATAAATTATTATCATTGAAAAACAGAATAACCGAATCCTCGAAACCTCCCGTTTTTCGTTACTCTTTTCTCAGTCAACTCTCCTACCACTAAACATTCGAAATGCGGAAAATGATCAAAGCATAGAATAAAAGCGCAAATCGTTTGAATGCATTTGTGCGCAAATTGTTTGAATGCATATGTGAAAAAAAATTTACTATCAAAGGGATTGTTGAAAAAATATAAAGAAAGGAAATTTGAAAATCTTCATTTCACTTTTTGATGTTACGAAAAATGCCTTAATTTTTGGGCTTTCATCCAAAATTTGCCATACCTAATTTTCATTCACATCCATTTTTTCATTCATTTCTATAGGAAAAATTTGATAGTGTAAAAGATTGATATGTAAATTTTCTATTGATTCGTCCTAAAATCAATTCTTTAAAAAATTAATTGAAATATCCAATTGTAAAATATTATTATTACTCGAACATCAAATCCATTTTTGATGTGATTTATTTCAGAATTTGTTGAAATGTTAGTGATTGAAAAAAAATAATGAAATAATTTATCCTTTTTGTGAAATTTGCATTTCAAAATATCGAAAGATAGAGTTTTAATACAATCGATTTTAAATACGGCGAAGCTGATAGATAGTAAATCTTGCCTTCTTCATCTGTTGTATTTCCAATGAGCTAATCAATCGATGCAAATAGGTATGCTTTCATATCTTTCTTTACCTTACTATTGGCAACAATCGATCATTCCATTCATTTTTCCAGCCTTTCCGGAAAAACTGAATTTTGAACTGTATACTGAAGTAAGCAACAGGATTGGAAAAGAGACGATTGATTATAAACAAACAATCGAAATGATGAACTGTGCCACTATAAATGGTTAAGCTACCGATTTTAACCTCAACCGAAATCCCGCACAAATCTTTAAATGAAGGTTGATATAACGATGATACAAAGGAGAAAACTGACTGATCTTCACCAGATCAGTCAGTTTGGTGAAGATCAGTCAGTTTTCTCCTTTGTATCATCGTTATATCAACCTTCAAGTAAAGAGACGAGTGATGTTTCACAATCATACTGGAATTATGACCGTCAAAATTGGGCGAAAGCGTGTTGTGAAGTGACTTGCTGGGTTTAAGATATTAGAGAAGGGAGTTCAATTCATCGGAATTGTTGTGGGTGTACAATGGGACGAACCAGTCGAGTGGTACCGAAACAGTGAGATTTTCATTTGATATCATTATTGTTGCTCGCACCCTCATATTTCAATTTAGAGTTGAATTTGCTATTTCAGTTGAATTTATGAACGTTACTTTTAGAAGAATATCTATTGCTTTTAAATGTTCATTATATAACAGGAGATACGTTGCTGTATCTTCTGAAATATTTCCTAAAAACGGGTAGAAATATTTTTGTCTAATTTTGTCAACAAACGAATTTGACAGATGTTTCCGTTGGAGAGAAGAAATTTAAAGATTAACGAAGCTTTTCTGAAGTGAACGGGATGAATGATAGTTACCATTTTTGTCTCTTAGCGGTTAATTTATATAGACTAGCAATAACTAGCTGTGAAGCGCTGATTATGCCGCTTTGCTTTACAAATAGATGTAGATGTTCGATCTCCTAAGGCTCATCGAGTGTGAGTAGCAGTTATTGCACTGTAGTGGAAAATAAATCTACGCATGGTCGTGACAGTAGGATAATATAAATAGTTCTGTTTTCGAAGTCTTCTTTTGTAAGATTATTACTCATAATAGTACCGATTTCGTATTAGCTTAACAAAAATATATTCTGCAAATGGTAAGTCATTGGAAACTCTAACTCTAACTTCTTTCTTAATTCATATATGTGGATTTCGAAGAACTAATACTCTCTACTTTTTATTCCTTTTGTTTTTGTTATTATGAGCGCAAAGAACCATTGCCTTTCCACTTGGCAAGAGTCCCAACGTTTAGGGATGGATCCGGACACAACTCAACCGGATAAGAGGACAGGGGAACGGATATAAATACTGATTATTCTTAAAGGCATATATATGTTAGTCGCAAATGAACGGTAAGCGAAATAGCGAAATTCTTACCAGTAAATGATAGATTTAAGAGAAAAGTAGATCGTTTTCTCCATTCTTCCTTACTCCATTGATGTCTTCATTGTAATAGAAATGGTATAAGTGCATGCTGTAATTGGATGAATACGTTTTATTACATTATCTCAGTTATTAAATTCTTTTTTCAGGAATTTAGTTCGCTTGATTTTGTAAAATATTTCAAAAAATTTCTTTCAGATGGTTACGCTACGAACCAGTTGGTCTACCAATACCAAACACACGATTTTTAGTTTTCAAAACACCCCTCAGCATGACATTATCAACGAAAATACCGAAGGAAAAACGATTCACTACTTTGAACCTTCTACAGAAAGTAAGTCGATCTAGCACTGACTTTTGATTAATCTATGATATGTTACATTTCATTTTATGAGACAGCAAGTACTGTGGTATCGTTTGGATTTTTGTTTGCACTTTTAAATATCATTTTTAATTCACAGGAATATTATGCTTTTTTTTTTCCTTTTATTCACTTAATTTCAATTAATATATTGATCTTTATATCGTGCCTACAAAGCTGAGAATAGCTCCTCCAACTTCTCCTGACCGAAGAAGTCATATAAAATATTTCCAGTTGGGTGAAAAAGGGATTCAGGTGGGTCTTATCATCGATTTGACTGATACGGATCGTTACTATGAACGCAGTGATATCGAAGGAATGTGTATTTTATATGAAAAAATCAACTGTCCTGGTCGAGGTTTTATTGAAAGAGACGATCTGGTGGATGCATTCAGTGCCGTCGTGGATAGTTTTTTAGAATCGAATGCAGATAACGGTCCTTCTTACAATTTAAGAAAAGAATGAGAAACTAAAATTGGTCCAAAATTTGATGTTCATTTAGCAACCCTTTTTTCTTGATACCCGTATAATTGGTTGGGAATAGTTTTATCGATCATGAAGGTTGAAATGAATTGTTGTTCGAGATTGCTGCTTGTATTCATATGTCTTCTATCCTGAAAGCTGCTTCTTTCTCTAGCAAAAATAAAACTTAATTTTTGTTTTTATGAATAAAATTTCCAGAGATGATGATTGGCATTCATTGTACAAATGGTGTTAATCGCAGCGGTTATTTGATATGTCGATTTTTAATTGATCGTTTGGGGTGGTCTTCACATGATGCCATTGATGGTAATTATACATATTTAAGTATATATATATATATATATATATAAGGTGTGGTAAATATTTTAAGATACCTGAAATTTTCGATCTGATAGATTCGATTTTTAGCTTTCGAAAGAACTCGTGGTTATCCAATTGAACGCGGATCTTACGTGCAGGCATTGCACAGAGCTGCCAAAGAAAGACGATCGAAAAAGTAAGCATTTGTCCTAAAATTATACTTAGAACTCAAAAATGAAGAATTTGTATTTAGTTAGGAAGGCTAGAAATTCAATTGGAAATTTCATGATTACTGTTAATTTTTTCGAAAAAAATTAAGATGGGGCCGGGTAAAAATTCAGAATTTCGTTTGAGATATTGAATCTCTCGCACCGATAAAATAATGCGAGTTTTTTACTCTTTTGCTAATTTAGTGATAGTGTTAATTTAATATCGTCTAGAATGCAAGTTTTTTTTTTTAGTTTCATTAAATTTAAACAGTATAATGTTTCCAGAAGACATAAACATATCGAAGAAGTGATTTCAAGTGATGAGTCCGAAGTGCAAAAAATGTTGAAGAAACGAATTAAACACAAAAAAAGGAAGAAAAATGAAAATGGTTCAGGCGAAGAAAATAGTACACCTGATATGGAAGCTGTTCTTAATCAAATGGCAATTGCATTTGAGGTACTTTTGGAGTCTTTCATGCTCAGTGTCGCTCTGCATGTTTGAACTTTCGAAGGCATGATTTAGTATTCAGTTATGATATTTGAGGACTTAGAAATAAATAAACAAATAAATAAGTAAATATATATAACCTGTTTTGGGCGAATTTTTTTGATGGTTTATAATGTTGATATCTGAGCTCAAGTTTTGTTCATTACAGCAACACCAATCATCGTTGAATTCACTTAATGAAGCATCGTTAAATTTCGGAATGGAAGTAACTACAAGTGCTACAGAAGTACAACAGCAATCACAAGCCTCATCACACCTTTCCGCCGAAAATAGTCCATTTATCGGTAGTACAGGTACCGGGGAAGAAGAAGAGGATGATGATCTCAGTGCTGAACAGGTGAGGTTTACTTGGGATATATAAAATGATTTTTGTATTGAAAGCCATGAAAATTACATGTAGATATTTCTTCGATTTACTAATTAGTTTTTGTTAAATAAGTCAATCCATATTTTCCAGGATGTGCAAACAATGGGTATGGGTGATGAACCAGAGATCGAAATTTCAAAATCAAAGAAAAGGCGAGAAAGGAGATTAAGATTGCAGAAACAATTTGAATTGATGAAAACAGGCAACTTCTGGAAGATCAATGAAATGCAAAAGGAAAAATTTGGCACATCATAAGATAATAAAAGATCAAATAACTGAAATGCCTATTTTATAATTATTTTTGTTTTATGATTGGTGCTCCAAAGTTGTGAAGTAAATTGTTTATTTTTAATGAAATTTGGTGCTCCAAAGTTGTGAAGTAAATCGTTTATTTTTAAAATGCATACAAAACGATCCAAATTTCATTAGATGGTCACTGCATATTTCCAACACTATCTCAAAAATTTGGAACTTTATTTTTTGATTTTTTGAATTTAATTTCCTAAAATTTGTTTTCTTGTTGAAGCTTCCAGTCTGTGCATCATTCAACCAATACCCAAGTTTTGACGCAGTGACGAAGTATGTATCGCACACCATATAACACTTTAAATTTTAATCCCATTATTCTGTTGAGAAGTTACTGTGTTTAACCGTTTATGAATTTTTGCAATTTAGAAATAATCAGTCAGACTGATTTTGGTTATACAATAAAGCTTGCAATTTCAGATAAGTAAATGATGCTGTTTTGTGCAACCAAATAAGTGGATGCATTATTGTCTTCCATCCGAGAGAGTTTAGGACGATAGTCTGAGAATAGGCTTGCTAAATAGTTTTGTAGCACATATAGCCTATTTTGTCATTATCGTGTAACTCTGATTGAGTTAGATAACTGAATTCCTCACTATTTAAAAATCACTGTATGTAGCTTATTTGAAAAAAGTTGTCTGGTATTAGCATAGGCAAAAGATTGTTGTCATTAAGCGATAGTAGAGATGACAGAAAGAGTTCGGAATAAGAAAACGAGAATTGATGCGCGAAAGGATGGAGGAAGGCATTAATGAAGCTAGTTGTATTACCAAAGCATAGAATAACATGTCAGTGCGGCAACATGATGTGACACTATTGAAGTGATTCCTGTCCACTCATACATTCGTGGGTACACAGGTTGATCCTCAAAACTTTTCAAATCATCATAAATCGTGTGTCCGCTTATCCTTTCTTTACTATTTCTTTTTAATCTTAACCCCTTTTTTCTTTTTTTTCCTTCCTTCCTCCTACCCTCTTCCTGATATCTCTGCACCCACTTTTGTCTAAGATTTTATTACTTAAATCAGTCCCAAGAAAAATTCCCATTTAATACAGAGATGAATTTAATAGCTGATGGGATTGATATTTTCAAATCAGTGCAGCATACAACTCTTAGAGCAGTACCATGTTGGTCCTAAGGTCCTGTTGTCTCCTGCTATCACCATCATTGATATCTTTATCATCAATTATAGCAGAGTTTCCCTGATTAAAACGTGTGTACCTTGCTAATTTATATCTTACTAATTTACGATATGTTCTTATCTAAATATGGTTGCGCTATTTGTCTGTGTGTTTTTCTTGCATTTACTCGTAATTTTCAAATTTCTTGCTTGCATTTTATATTTAGATTATCTATTGTAATATAAGTATATTTATCATTCCAGAACGGTTTGAAAGGTGAGGTCATGGATCCTGTTTATATGTCAAGTCATTGCATTCCAACTGATTTGATGGGTAAAACAGTTCTAAGTCGCCGTTCGCCATTCAAGGTTATTGTTATATATTTCAGGTCATGTCGTTGAGAGAGGCAGAATATAAGATTAGCTAGCAATAACTATTATAACAAAGCTTGGAATCCTAATAACTTGTCCATAGTGTTCCTTGGTGTCATTATAGCCGAAAAAGTGTGTTGTTTTAGGTTCATCAAGCTTTATGGAACCCAAGCATTGATTTGTTAACCTTAGCTTCGCAAAAGGGTGAGGTATGCGTACGACGCTTGCACTGGAGACATGGATGGAAGGTAAAATTGGCTTATATCCTTAAAGAATGAGAGATTTTCATTAAAATTGCTCAAAATATGTATCTTTTAATTTTGATTTATCGACCACAGCTTTATTGTTTGATTTAATTTTTGATTAAACACTGGATCAAAATTGCCATCAAAATTGCTTTATGTCCATATCCCTGATTTTTTAGTACTTCTAGAGGGATATCTATGATGTCAAACCACTGTTATTGGATCGAGTGAAATCGGAAGGTGAAATCCGGTTGGAAACGATGTGTTGGAGTCCTGATGGCAAGGTAAACATCACGTTTTAAAATTCATTTTGAAATTTATATCTATATCCCTGATTTTGATTTATCGACTACAGCTGTGTTATTTGATTTTAATTTTTGATTAAACACTGGAATAAAGGCACTTTATATCTACATCCCTGATTTTCTAGTACATTTTAAAAAATTTTTATATTTTTTTCAATTCGATACTAATATACTAATTTCAGGTCCTCGCGACAGCTTTTAGTGACGGCTGTATTCATTTGTTGGATGCTGAGAAAGGAATCGTCAGATTTACTGTCAGGTGCAAAAGTTGATTCCATCTATTTATTAACTGTTACAGTGCTACTGTATTAGTTTTAGTTGAAAAATGTCATTCGAAGATATTAAGCTTTGGTGGCATCTTCAGAAAGCAGTTTTCCACGTTTGAGATTTCAATTTACTTTGAATTTAGAATGAGGACTCGTGTGACACGGATGAGATGGCAGCGATTCAATCAGAAGTTGAATACGAATCCAATAAGTGAGGACACACTTTCCGGCGCAGTAAGTGTTTTTGGTCTGTCACTCTGCAAATATGATTTATATTTGAAATATAATCGATTAGTTTGGAAGTACTGATGATAATTCAAGTTTTAAATTTCCGAGTTTGTCCTATTAATTTAATTTCTGATCCGACTTTTTGAGTTAATAAATTCTCAATTTCGATGGAAAAGCGATGTCTAACTTTCGTTGAGAGCATCTCAGACGGAGAGGAGGATGGTAGGAGAATTTATAACGAGGGATGCATTGGACATCGTAAACAACACTTGGAAAAGCTCTTCTTTATTTACGAATAGTGTGGAAGAAAGATGTTTCCAGCTTGGTGACTTATCAGAAAGCGAAAGTTTGAATGACAAATCAGAAGAATTGAACCAGCTGAGAGCGATGAAAGCATTCTGTGACAGCAGCAATCTCAGTGTCCTTGGGACACTGTTATTCGCTCTTAATGTAGACAATTCTGTGATTATTTTGGCAGCAGGTGTTCTTCCAATTGCTTCTGTCGAGCCGCCATTCCATTTATTTGGTGCGTTTTTCTGGATCACAGTGAAAGTTTCAACCAAATTTCTTTTTATTCATGCGAGGACGCTTTTGGGGACTGGTTTTTCGGCTCTCTTAGATGTATTCTCGATTCTACATTTTGTATCATTTTTAGTAGAGATGATCGCAAAAAATTTTATAAGTTTTGCAGCTAAGTAGCCTTAATACTGAATTTTGCGAGATCTCTGCACTATTTAGGCAATTGCGACCCGTATTCGATAACAGTGGGTGATATGTTTTATTCATCTAAACGAGATCAGTTGATGGTTGTGTATTCCAGTATGGGTGTGCTCAACTCAGGTGGTAAGATTGGTTTATATGATAATATTCATAATCAAATTTTAATTTAAGCATAGTGTCAATTTTAAAGGATAAATTCTTGAAGAATCGAACATTTTCATAAATTTTCATGAAATATTTGAGTTCCGGACAGAACGAATATTTTAACTAACTATCGAGAAGCTTTTTTTTGTTATTATCTTTTATTTCAGAATCATAAAAATCGAGTGCACTTCTTTCACATATACAAAATATTTTTTTAGCTAGCGGTCCGGGAATGAATACTCAGGTGATTGGTTTCGACATTGATAGTTTAGGTTATCTAAAAAACGGCCTAATATGGACCATTGCGCTCAGGTTTGTTCAACTTTAGTCTATTTCTGGGAATATTATGTTTATTATTACGCCTTATTCCTTACAGATTATGATAAGTTACCACGATATTGCCTAAAAAGTATTGCTCTTCATGAATTACTACTGAATTTTGAAGTGATAAATTGCTATCTTTGAGTTTTTTTGAAGTTTCTCGTAGACTTTTTATATTGCAGATGGCTGAAATTGGCTTTTTATGTGTGCTTTGTTTCTGAAGCATTTGCGCGAGCAATTATCGATTGGGAAGATCAGTCAAAGGTGCTGCAAAACTTTCGTTTCGTCATATATTATATTTTCTTTAATATTTTAAATAAGTTCAGCGCACAGAATTTCTAAAGAAAGGTTGTATGAATGTGATGACTATATTTTGTAGCAAGTTATTCTGAAACGAATGCTGACGCCACTGTGTTTTGATAATCCCAATGGTTATGTCTTTCAGCATAATGAAAAATTTTATTGTTTTAGGGATGAAAATGCTTCAAATTGTAATCTCTAAGTCATATGAATTGGTGGGAACAAAGTTTTTGAGAATCTTTTAGTCTTACAAGGAGCATCATTTTTCAGGAATTTAATGAAAAATTCCGTTCTTTTGGGGAAGAGAATGCTTCGAATTGTAATCTCGGAGAATGTTTTATTAATATGATATTAACGGGGCAAGCAAGTCCCGAACTAATGAATTTTTATCGTAACGTACTAAAACCAACGGAGTGGAAGAAAATGACTGATTGGGCTAACAGAGGTTTTGGGTCAGTATCTAATTAATCTTGTTTTGATTTTTGCTTGAATTCTTGTTGGCTAGTCCAAGAATGCTCGCTTACTTTTCTTATGTGCAGAATTGATTGCACTTTTGTTTCATTATTTTATGGAAAATGGAGAAAGTTCTTTATTAATTATGAATGATTGAAATTATCTTCAAGGGTGTTATTGATTATAACTGGATCAATTCAGAACATATAGCTGAGAGTGAATGATTGAGTCTTGAAGTTTCAGTGATATAATTGGAAGCATTGGGAGAGAGCTTCTTCCTGGTGCAGAAGCATTGCAACACAACATGAAACAATTATTTATCGAGGCGCGATGTGCACTGCGTAGTTCTAGAGCGTAAGTACTTCGAAACCACAATTGAAAATTAGATCAAATTAAAATTTTTCCTAATAAATCACTCTATTTAGTGTAGTCTCATTCCATGTTCTGAATTTATTTTGATGTTTAAAGATATTTTTTATTTAGTTCTTGAGTTATGATGGTATAAAAACTTGTTCATGAATTATTTGTAAAAGTAGAGATCAAAGTTCAATTCGTTATTGCAATTTCAGTGAAAAGCTTTTACCGAAGCGTCTATTCGATGTTGATGTATATCCTTATGGCAAATATGCTGAAGAAAATGATGAAGAAGCTTCGTTAAAAGAACTTAGGAGTTTTCAGAATCTGGCGGAAGATATTATCAATAAAATTAACGAGATGCATTTAGTGGCTACGCGCAACAGGTTTATTTTTCAACTTTAGGCAAAATCAAGGAGTGAAATAGATTAGATTTTTTGAAGGAGCGGCACAAAATTTATGATTCTGTCTCTCCAATTTCAAGAGAATAAGTGGTGAGGTAGTAAAATATTGAAAAATGGTTGGTCATATAAAAGAATTCTAAAAAACAAGGAAAATCCACAATTTTTAGGCATTAATAGTCATCATTTTAGAAAGGATTTGGTCAGTTTCACTAGTTGGTTATCACAGACGCCACCGTTTACGGCAAAGAACAAACATTCCGCTTCAGAACTGAAATTCGATTTGCAGTTGATTACTGAAGTAAGTAGTCTTCGATGAAATCTGAGAATGGTTCTTTCATATTCAGGAATATTCATTTGTTCAAAAAATGTATATGACAATAGAAGTAATTCGTCGCATAGTATTTGCTCGGGAGTTTTTGATTACTCTTATGTTTTCTCGCTATCATTACTGTAATAGAGAAATCCTTATATATATATATATATATATATATGGGTTGATTGATTCCTGCTGAAGCAGCGAAACTTCTTGAAAGTGAATCGTTTAGTTTAAACTCTGAGCATTTTATTCAATTCTTTGAATCTTGTAAAGTTTATAAAAACTTAAAGTCGATCATTTAAAAAGATGTTTATTTTGATAGGTATTTTAAGTGATTCTAAAATCATTTCAAATATTTGGAAGGTCCTTAGTCAGAATTTAAAAATTTTTTATTTACTTATTTTTTTTAGCACCGCATGTAAAATCTCATTATTTTTCAGTATATTAGGCAAGCAACCATTGCAAAAAACGGAAATGCGGCGGAAGGAAGCAAATTGATGACCGATACCTTCCAAAATAATTCGTTTGATAAAGTCTGTTTCCTTCTCTATTTTCCAAAATTGACTGTCATTTTACCCAAATGTTTTTTTCTGTTTTATTTATTTTTTAGGTACTTCAATATTTTGATCGTCAAAAACCCCTTAGATATCGTCTGGATGTACGAGGCAACGGTTGGGACATGTTGCCTGAACAGCAGTCTCCGAGAACTTTAGCCGATAGCATTACGAGTTGCTTTGATGTCTTGCAAACTATACAAGATATATTCCTGAAAAACTTCACTGCAGCTGTAATAGCGGTAATTCCCAAATTTAAATTACAGATATCAAGACGTGTTATTAAGTGATAATGTAAAATTTTGAATCTCAAAGAACAGTTTACCACATGAAAATATCATCTCGTCTATTTTGGAGCTTTCGTTGATTCAATTTGGAAAACTGTTAGGAGAATAGGAATTTTTAATTTGAGCGAAATAATTTTACATTTATACGTTTCATAATTTAGTATCTCATTTATCTTTAACTTTCAATTTTTTTGGTGAAATTTTAATCGGACTCAATTGCAATTTTAGCCTTTTGATTTTCAGCAGACAAATTTAGTACTGGAACAGGGTCATGCGGAAGGTTTTGAAAAGTTTGCAATATTTTTACCTCATGAAAATGTATCTGCAAATTGTGCATACAATGGTGATTGTTCAGATTTTTGAGGAATTGAAATTTTTGGGAAAGAACTTTTTAATAAATCTTCAGATATTCTACTTCCTTATTATTTTAATATTTATTTATTCAGTTCCTTATTTTCTTATCCTTTTACTTATTTGGTTCTTCTAAAAGACGAATGTTAAAAAAATTTTATAAATATAATTCAAACTTTAGTTGAGGTAATTAATTTTGACCGGAAAATAATATTTATGCACCGGAAAACAATATTTATGTCAAATATTTTTCCAGAGCAAAGGTGGTTGTTAACGATAGCGGATGAGCCATTTGCAGTATCTTGCATCGGCGTTAATGGTTCTCGTCATGTAATCTATGGAGCCTCAAGCAAAGTGCTATACGAAATGTGCTACTCAAAACATATGAAAAATGTAGCTAGCTTTAGCAGGAGTGTTAAACAGATTTTACCAGAAAATTCGAATAGCAAGGGCTTCCAAGTAGAAGTTGATAACGTTAAGTTGTCTTCGGATGAACAGCAGGCACAGAAGATTGGAAAAAGTACGAAAGGAGTCGATAATGTTATGGTATATTTTGGTTTCTTCGCGAATATAACCAAATTTTAAATTGTGGAATGGATTTTGGTAATCATTGATAACTTGCAGCGAAAGAACTTAGCATACTAATATGATGCTCAATGTTATGGATGAATTTATATAAATGTAACACAGTGGAAATATGCTAAAGTTTATTATCCTGTTATTCAATACACTAAGTTTCTAATTATTAGAGTAGTGCAAAATCCATGGAAGTACAAATGTTTACGAGTAATATTTCATTAGAAATATATTTTTTAGCCTAAGTCGCCAACTTCAGCAAAGCTATCAAGGATTGAAAATTCTTCCATTTCTTCAAGTAAGTTAACATCTTTATGATTAATTTCAAGTATAAATTATTGATAATCATGGTTGCAGTCTATTTTTAGCAATTTTTATAGTAAACGAAGCTCATGTTTGTTCTGTCATGATTTATAAATTTGCTTATTTTTAAAGCCATATTTTTATTTAGACGAATGCAGAAATGTGTCTTCATTTAGTTGCCGGCTGATGGACTTCGAGTGGTATGGTAGTGGTAGTTTTTACGGATTGTTAAAAATTTGTAAGGTCAACAAAGAGGAGACAGTGCTGTTTAGAAGCTGCCTTTTTGATAATACAAGTTATTTGCACGAGGTTTGAATTGGTTTTCCAGATTTCTTTTTCTCGACATTTTTAGTTTTTACTATTTTTTTGTGTATTCCAGAAGCTATATTTGAGTTTTATTTTCGAGATCTTAAAACAGGTTTGCTCAAACGCTACATCCGAATAGAGTCTCACAATGTTTTTTCAAATATTTCAGGATACTTCAGGTTGCACGGAATCTTACGTGTCCTTTACTGTTTCTTTTCATCGAAAATCGGGTGTTGTTTTCACGGAGAATGGTTTTCGAGCAAAATGGTTCGAAATTAAGATCCCTCTTCAAAAAAATTTGATTCTCACCCGAAAGCAATCAAGAAGCGGTATTTGTCAAAGTAATCAGGTATGAATTATCTCCTACCTTCTTTCTTCGCCTCTTCTTATTCCTCGTAATTCACAGTATTTGTTGTTTACAAAGATAGATTGTTATTCTTTGTTTTTCTTTGGACGTGACAGCACTTTTAATAAAAATATTACAAAAATATGAAATTTCTAGAGACATATTGGTGATTTATGTTCCGCTTTTTTTTTCTTTAGATGAAAAGTATAATTTCTGAAGCTATGGATGTAACTGAACAAGTGCACGTTGAAGAAGGGTTGGTTATCGGTGAGTAAATTATATAGCTTATACGAGTTCCATTCCTTTAGCAGTTCTCCTCAGCAATATTCATCAAACTTAGGGGGTGTAAAAAGGTTTGTACGGGTTGAGTCGTTTTCTTTTAATATAACACAGACTTCCGGTAGGTATAGAGAGTTTCACCAAAAGTACGGTTCATGATCAACTGAAAATAGAAGAATTAAAAACTGGCATAACATTAAAAAAAGCGTACGTAAAAGCACGTAAACTTTTTTCACAGAGCAACAAGAAGAAGGGACGGGAGAAAATGTTCAGCTAAGAAGGAGCATAAGGAAGAGAAAACCACTGAAGAAATAAAATAAATCGCATCTCTTGTGTTTATGTTTTTTTTTTTGCATTGATCTAATTTATATGGATTCCTTACTTTAAATTTATTGTCCTTCAATGGGTATGCTCAAAGGAAAATTGATTTGAAATTTGTTTCAGTTGAATTGATCTGATGCCTATAGTATTTCATTTCTCGCATCCTTAAAATTCGTGTATATCTATTTGTTTTTCCATATTGTAAGCTTTCTTACAAGTATCACAGAAGTCTTTTTTTGTTCGGTTTTGTAGGGAAATATTAGAAACAACATTTCAAATTATATATGCGGGAAATGTTGTACCTTTATAGATGATACCTGCCTGATTCTAGCGTTAACATATAATATTTCTTATTTGATTTGAACCTGTGTATCTTTTTTTTTGATTTGAACTTATGTTCGATAAACTATGAACAAAACGACATCTGTGTCGTTTTGTTCATAGTTTATTGTATTTGTTTTCATGTGTATATAAACGATTTTACCATTTGGTGAGACTGTTTATTTTACGGTATAGTAAACTTGCCACTATGTATTCCTGTATTATGATATTCTCTAAGAATTTTTAGTATCAGTGAGTCATAACTGAGAAGTTTCGTGAATGTTGAGAGGATATTGTCGTATGTAATGGGAAAAATTTTTCGGTTGTAGATGTGTTAAATGGGAACAGAGAAGTATCATTACCTTTATGCTTTAGCATTGGGGTTGCTATTGCTTCATATTAATGTATACGCTTTATATTTACTGATAACAGTTCTCCGAGTGTGAAATCGACAAGTACTGGGCACTCATTTTTTCTTTTGCTCTTTAATCAAATTGTAGGAATACCATCATCTGAACTGTTTTCTACCTCCTTCTATCGGATAATCGAATCGGTCGAATGATTGATAGTACGAGCACCAATGACGTCAGGAATTTGGTGCAACAAGAAACACGCAAGGGCGATGTCATTTCGTAAGTTTTCATATAAATGAAAAAGTAGGCTTAACGTAGTATTTTGAATACAACATGAATTTCGTGATTATTGCTATATGTTCTGTTCAGACCATTCGGACTTAGCTTTTGTTATTGCTTTTTTTAACATGCATTTAATTTCTTGTTTGGATTTTATTTTAGAAGTGAAAACATTTGCAGACCATGTCGGGCAATAATGACCCTTTCTAAAAGTATGTTTAATGCTGGTTGCTTTTCGCTGCCCTACGCTTGGAAACTTGGAGGTTTATGGGTAGGTTTCTATTTCATTTACTGCACAACTCACAATGGATTCAGTTAAACTTTTATAATATATAAATACCTTAGTATCATTTTTTGCACTGATTCTTAAATAAATGCGAATTTATATATTGATTGTTCAGATGTCTTTGGTGTTAAATTTCGTCATTGCGGGCTTTAATTGGTATGGAAACCATATTCTTGTCAGGTCTTCACAACATTTAGCGAAAAAATCAGAACGTGTTTCGCTTGATTATGGTCACTTTGCGAAGAAAGTCTGTGATTTCAGTGATATAAGAATATTACGGAATAATAGCAAAATCATTATGTAAGCCGAATAATTTTGTGTGACTTGGAAAGTCTCGTAATGAATGATTTAAATGTAAAAATTCTATCGATTAGTGGAGATAGGTAAAAATTTGCTTGAGCATACAAAATATGAGTACTCTCTTTATTAATTCCAAATTTTTTCATCAATATGGTCTATCTAATAATTGAATTTATTACAGCTAAGAATAAGACTGGAGCTCCAGATCATCTACTTAAAGACAGTTAATTGCAATAGATACTTTCATCTAGTGTTGAGTTATTACTGAAGTTTGAGGTATATGTTGCTGAATTTTACTCATCGATGTTTGCGCTGTATCACTTATTTTTTGGATTAAGTGGATTCATCCCAGTTTTTAATTTGCGGAATTAAAAATTTTCTACATATTTTATGATTTATTGTTTTTATAGGTACATAGTAAATATTACTATACTGTTCTATCAGCTGGGTATGTGCAGCGTTGCAATATTGTTTATAGCGGATAATATGAATCATTTATTGGGTGATTACATTGCAGGTGGTGTCAAAGTAATGGCTCTTATTTCATTTGGTAAGTTTTTCGATATTTATTTAAGCTCAAGTGACCACGCATATTTGCATTTTCTCAAACTTTGCGTGAAATATAACGGATAATCAATCGATTATAGAGCAAAATGACACAAATAAATTATAGTTTGGTGGTAGATGGCACGTACCGAGTAAGATTAAGATTAATTGGGAAGTACATATTTTACAAGACATTCTAAACATTTTGATGTTAGCAACATTTTAAATAAATCTGTCCATCAATTTTTATATTTTATAGAGACGTCTATTTAGGAAAGATTGTATATAGGGTACTTTAAATAAAAAAGTTCAAAACACAGTTGACGCTGTATCTTTGAATGTTATGCACCTGTGCCATGCTTTATTATTAGCATACCTTCAGTACCTATTCTTGCATTAAATATGTTCACGGAAATGCGTCTGCTCAGTATTTTTGCGATGGTTTCATCTGTGTTTTTCTTGTTGGGTGCTTTTGTTATTATGCAGTTCACAATACGGCAACCAAATCATTGGGAAGAACTTCCTGCTGTAACTAACTTTACTGGTGTCATCCTATTCATTGGAATGGCCATGTATGCTTTTGAGGGACAAACAATGGTAATTGTTTTTGATTTTTAGGAATGAATGAAGCCATTATCATTTTTTATTCCTTAATTGAAGATCTTGCCAGTGGAAAATAAACTTGAAACACCGGAGGATTTTCTGAATAATTTTGGTGTATTACCGACGACGATGTGTTTATGTACATTATTTATGATTGCAATTGGTTTTTATGGTTATACGGCATTTGGGTCAAATACACAGCCAACTATCACTATGAATGTGCCGAAGAAGGGGTTAGCTGCCTTCTGCATTTAAAAGTTCTTGGAATTGATACTAGCAATTTTATTTGTTTGGAAATCAACTATGTCTGCATGCAATTTTCTAATTTGCCACATTTGTTGGTTCAGAAATACCAGCTGAAGAATAGAATTCCAAGGACAGTGCATGTAGCGAGGAAAACCGATATTACTTGTTTTTAATTATGCCTTCGGTGTGTATATATATATATATATATATATATATAAGAGTTAATGTTAATGAGCATATCTGTTTATATATATATCGATACACTAAAAAGTCAAATGAGGAGCTCTGAAGTTCATTTGTAACGAGAAGAGGGAAGCTTTTAACTTAAGAGTTAATGAGCCTATCTATTTCAGATTATACTCAGCGGTCAATGTATTTCTAATGTTGCAATCGATGCTCGGTCACTCTGTTGCTATGTATGTCATACTGGATATGTTTTTTGATGGTTTCCATCGGAAATTTAGAAGTCGTTTTCCAAATACTTTGAAAATAGTTGTCGATAAAGGATTCAGGTTTGACTCACTTTTAAAAACATTTTTTATGCTCAAAAGATACAACAGATCGCACAGTAAAATCCATTTTTATCTGTTTGTTTCCCATATTTACATTGTTAAAAAAAATGTAAAGAAGAATTACCAGGTTAAAAATATCTTATTTGTTGACAGCGTGAACAAAATTACTCTAATTTCAGAATATTTTGGGTGTCCGTTACAATGTTAATGTCCATAAGTATACCTCACCTAGAAATCATGATACCCTTAGTCGGAGCAACAAGTGGTACTCTTTGTGCACTTATATATCCACCAGTATTTGAAATGATTACATTTTGGAATGATTGGAAGGTCATTCTTAATAATATAGCTTTCTTTCTTCTGAATACTTCATTTATTTGTCTTCTTTTCATCGCTTAAGAAAGATTTTGTTACAAAATATGTAAAATAAAACCTAAAATTTAATATTTCTTGACGTTCTTCTTGAACAAAATAAAATGAAATTAAAAATTTGAAGGAACATTAGCAGAGATCATAAATAGCAAGTTTTCCACTGTTTTACTCGGAACACTGCTTTCAGGTCTCACTTAACGCTCGCCAAAGATATTTTAAAATCTCGTGGAACATTTTCGTCATAATAACTGGAATTTTCGCAATTAGTGCTGGAGTATATGCAAATTGTTTGACCATCCTCGAAAAGCTACAAATGACAAATTGAAATGTATTCGATTTATGAAGCTTTTTCTCTTCGTGGACGTTATTTCTGATTTGGTATTAGTCAAAAAAACAAATCGTACAGTGATAAACTGTTAATTCGAACTGTTCCATATTCAATTCTCGAAATACCTCTAAGAAAAAATTTGAGTTGGAGCTAATGACATTTGAAAACTTACCTGACCTTTCACCACCTTTCCTCCCATTCAGTCATTTTTTTAAAGTTTAATTGCAATAACATTCAACATAAACCCAAAAGTGACATACCAAAACTTCCTAATTTGCATTTCGTAATCTCAAAGTTGGTCACTACTTTCCCTATATCATCCAATCATCACATCAAATGTTTCAAATTTGTATGAACGACTACAGTGCATCATATTTGCAATATGAAGAGAATTCTTGACATACATAGTTTCTTTTCGGTTACTATTTTGTTGGGATTATAGGAAGTCATTATCACCAGTTATTTCAGTTCCAATATTGTCTAACTGCTCCGATACTCTAAAATTTTTTTTACTGTATTGTACTATCAGAATAACATATTCTCAAATATCTAGACGCTTTATTTCCCAGCCTTTTAATAATGTTTCTTCTTTGTAATTTTATTCGACTTGATTTAAAATAAAACTCCTGCTAATATATTTTTAAATGAAACACTCCTTCCTTATGCTGGCGATCATGTTTTGCTATTAAACTATAAAACATCGAAGCAAATAAATGTTTGCAATTATTAAAATTTATACTTATCTTCATAATTAAAAATATCCTAGTCAACATCTTGACAATTTTGAACCATTTTTGAAGGTGCGAAATTTAAAATGTTTCAATCAGAATTCGTAGATTACATATAAGCTGGCTGTTATTTAATTTTAACTTTCCTTGCATTTTCCTCATAATTCAGCACAGTTGTCAAGTCCGACACACCCTTATTTCAAGTTCCCTTCCAGTAGCTTATATAGTCGGCATTTTCACTGTGCATTTCAATATGCATCAAAAGTTGATGCCGAGATTTTTTGCTTTTTTTTATGTTAGGAAATTCGTTGCTCATCATTTTTAGGATTTTGCAAGTTCGTTGATTTTTTTCAAAAATTTGTAATTAATGAGTCTCATATCTCTGTTTTTTATGCAGCCTAGGTGAGTGGTAATCTAATCCTTAGCCCAGTTTTTCTTCGTTTGGTATGGTATGAAGAACAGGCCATTCTGGGAGGTCTACTGTTGATATTGCCTTATCCATGTGGAGTGATTACTGTTACTAAATGTAACAAATCTATTACATTAATTATTATATTACAGTTGTATGCTGTCACACACTGTAGTACAATAATTATAGGCATATCACAAGTGTTCTTCAAATATGAGAATATTACCCAAAAATAAACGACTGCAAAATGCAACTTATCCAGTAAAAACTGCCGATTTCATTTCAAAAAAATAACAAAATAGAAAATTCTAGCACCGCTCATAAAAAATGAAAGTCAGCAAACATTTCCAATATTTAACATCATGTTGTGAATTTGTTTCATGTGTACTTCCACGAAATCTTGGAAGGCAGCTACATTCGACGGGTCAATTTGTTTCCGAATTTCGTTAAGCGATTCCGAGAGAGTATGCAAATCGAGTGGTGTACAACTCTGTTGTCCCAGTGCTCGGATCTTGAAAAAAATACACATTAGTACAATTAACTCGAATTGCCTTAGTTGATAGTCTTACAGATTCCTCAATCTATCTATTGTATCTATTGATTCTGTTTATTGACTAGGCTAATGACATAAAGGCATCCAATTTAATCAGGTATCTCTAACTTTTACTTGATTTTCACTTAAAAATCTACCTGTAACAGCAGTGCAGTCAGTGAGGTAACCAAGTCCAGTGCATGTTTATTCTGCACATTCAATCCGTTGTTACAGTGTTTGACAATTTGTACTGAATGAGTTTGGCACATTTTTCTTAGAGCTTCTGGTCGTGAAGTTAATGATAACTACAAAAGCTCCAACCAGTAATAAATTTATGATGAAGTGAACAAAATAAACAGATTATTTATATGCTTCCATGTTTTAAAATGCAAAATAGATTTGATTTTGTTAGTAACTTTGGAGAGAGTAATAAGTATTTGAAAAGATATAAATAAATTCACATTAAATAAAATGTAATATCCAATTAATTTTCATACAATATGATTTTCTGGAAATGTTGTAGCACGCTAAATAAATTGTCCTCGAATATGGCAAAAAAGAAGAGTATAGAGCTTTGAAAAACAGAGCAATAGAAACTAACTTCACTTAATTGTGGCAATAACTGATTGCAATATTCATTGACAGCGTTCAGATACGACTGCAGCTGCCTGTTTACTGTCTCAATGTCAATCACTACTTGAGCATACCTCCTCTAAAAATCAATCACCATCTTAATTGTCCAGTTGATATTAAATCCAAGCAGATGAAGGAAAAAATTGGTGCTATTCGCACCAAATGAAGAATTCTAAATCAGTGCTGCTTTTTCTCAACGATTTTTCTATTTTATGAGACTCGAAACCAATAAATAAAAAAACAAACCTGGAAGGCAATTGGATAGGAATCTGTTATCATATTCATTTTTTCAGCCTCCATATTTAATTCAGTTAGTGATTTAACCAAACTTCGCTTAACTTCTATTAGTTTGCTCAACTTTACAAGAATAACGAGCATTCGGACGGGGAAATTTCCAACCTTTTCATCTCGAACTACAATAAGAAAAAACCAGTAATAAATGATAAAACTGGTGAATAAAAGTAAAATTGGTGCAATTACTGCATGAAATAAATAAATATTCAAAGATCATATTTTCAGTAAAAATTATAATTGTCGTGTAAAAGAACATATAAAAAAAGTAGGATAAATTTGAAATTTGCAAAGTGTTCTTCCACATATTTTTTAACCCTGAAAAGTAAATTCCAGCGCTCATGAAACCGAACTTTTGATCATGCCAGACTTGCTGAACCTACAGGTTAGTTCCAAATCAGTAGCTACTCTAACCCTAAAGGCTATTAAGGGTTCAAATCCACAAATCTGACGAAGAAATATACTTCAGTGAGAATAAAATCAATTTTTACGAAGGAGTAAAATGATAACGGAATCCATAAGGATACCAGAATTATCAGACTGAAGTTATTCAATATAACGCATTTTCCGGTAGATCTTGACCAGCCAACAACTGAGTTATTATTAAAAAAATTTACACTGCATAATCAAACGATTCTGGTAACCCTGACACTGCTTAGGCAGTAACTACTTAACACAGCTAAATAACTGTGATATTCAAAGCGATCCAATTTTTTTGACCATTGGACACATGACAATATCTTTCTACCTTCGTGAAGATGAGTTTATGCTCTACCATTTTTCAAAAGCTATTTTTGTATTGCAATCAAGAAGGGTTTTTTATAACTCGAAAACATTTAATGCAATAAATTTTGTTCGACTTACTTCTGGTTGGTTTTCGAATAGGATCTAAGCCTGTAGGGGAACGACTGGATGATGGCGTATCAGTAAACTTTGGAAGGACGCCGGCGTGACCGAATCTGATCAGTGAGGGTGGAATAGCGGAACGATTCTGTTCCAAAAAGTAATTAATTGAGAGTAGCTCAATCTATAAGAATTTGATATTGCTAAATTTCGAAATATAAAGTAGTATAATCAATTTCATGTGATATTTTACCCACTGTGAGGGTAAAATAAGTATTCAGAGACTTACTGCTCTCCCTAAAAGTCCTCTACAGATAAGTTCAAAAACGGAAAAAATGAAAATATGAACCGTTTGAGCAGACATAACCTCCGAATCCTTGATAATCATCGGTGGTATCATTTCCTCCTTATCGAAGACTACTCTATATGAAGCCGGAAGTATGGCATCAATCGTACCAGCATAGATACCGTCTTTGGGAGTTCGCACGCGTGCGTAAATTTTTGCTCCAATTATTAATGGAGGAGGTAGACGTAATGGAAGCTCACATCCGGGCGGAATATTCATCAAACTTCCATCATAAATCTGACGGATTCTAGCCCTATAAATTGCCAGCAAGTAAAAATCTGAGAAACAGAATTATTGGTGCGGTGATAAGTACCACAGTAGTTATGTAATAGTTATAATGAAGATGAACAACCATACTTAATTACAACACCGACAGTACTGATAACATCAGTGGCAAATTTTATTCAAATAATGGAATATTCAAATAAGTCTTCAGTGTTTAACATGTTACCTTTTCGATTCCAGCGACTCGCGTTCCTCATTTAGAAAAGCTTCCGAACATCTTCTTGGTTTTCCTATCATTCTCCTTATAGCTCTCCATTCTGGTCGACAAAGTTTGAAAATACGCAAATTCGGAAACATTTCATGAAGTAGCTGTACAAATTCATTATCTCCAGAAAAAAGTTGTTCGTCAACACCGGAATAGAAAAATTCGCAGTAAACCCACCTACGAGCCTAAAGATTTTAAAAATTAATAAATTTTGAAAAATAGACATATACTCTATTAATAATCAAAATAAACTCTTCGAAGGTATCAAAACCTCACGTAATTTTACGTCTCCATCAATCTATCCACTTGCAATTTCTGTTTTTTTGTAAATATATTTTACTCCGTTTTATTCTACTCATTACTTGAATTAGATCTAAATTACAAATTTTTGAATAAAAAAAGACGCTGCCTTAGGTAGCTTCAAAACATTTTTCAAATGGCGCAAATTTTCCCTCATCGTTGGCGATATTTCAGAAGGTTGGGGACGTGCAGTACGGAGTATTGCATTTTCTCGTGAGATATCCTTTTGTGCGCCATTATTCATCATCTTCTTGGGACTCTAAAATAAAATTATAAATTCTAAAGATGATTATTTTGGCGAGTTTATTATGATGAATATTTCAAAAATTTTGGAATAAAAGCAGGACTCGGAGATAAAATTTATCGAAACACTCTCGTGAGTTTTATACAATTGCACGTTTTTGCTTGCAAGAGTTGCAGCTTGTTTTACAAGATGAATAATCGAATTGTAAGTTTTAATCTGACAGCAAAAAACGCATCGATGGTGATAAGAGTTCTTCAATCAATTCAGGTAATAAAACTAACTTCGGTTGGCTTTGCACGCACTCGACTGTTGGTACCATTTGAAACATTACTGTCAGTATCACTTTCTGTTTTTAGCACTTTTCCACCGCGTTTTAATGGCGAAAAACGTTTACTGAAACAAATGCTTGCTTTTAAATTAAAAAAAGACAAGTAAGTATGACATATTAGAAAGGCTATTCCGAAATACTATGACATAAAAGAGCGTCGATAAGTAACAGAGAAAGTTGTTCAATATTTCATTATGAAAGTAGTCAATAGTTGGTGTATTAGAAATAAGTCCGTATTATTGTAAACAAACAACTACCTTTTTGGTTTTAAAGTTGACAAGCGCGTAATTTCATGACTTTCATCACCAGAATCTGTATAACGTGAAGGTGGCTTGACAGGTCCACGAAGATGATACCTCGACGATTCGCCATCTCCTGGCATTTCCCAAACTTCTCACTGGAATAGGTATTTGGTGATATTTACAACGCCATACCTTATTCGAACCCTTAACCACCACAACGTGACATCTCATCCCCACTACGCCAAATATTCTCCGTACCCTTATTTTTCGAATTTTTAAATGGTCGATCTTCGTGTCAAGAGCCTTAATTAGCTTCATTCAGCTGTTGCAGCAGAAAAATCCTTGAAGTAAAGCACAGCTGAGAATTCATCAGTAGAATAATACCTTCCATAACGATATTATTTTCATGCAAGTGTTATGTGCATATATAGAGATGTGTTGAATTTTATCTTTATGAACGATATTACAATATTAATAGAAACAGTGCCTTCTTGTTAATTATATAAATTTCATCGTAAAATGATTATTGATTGAAAAATTATATATATATAACCATGTATCGCTTAATATGGCTCTATGGAAAAAGTTCTTTTTTTTTGTTTCAGAATACCATGCCAATTTTTCACTACTTCAAGAAACAATGAAATTATATATACTTTTGTGTTAATTTTTTACAAAAAGTTTCTCGCTTTTTTACTTTTGTTTTCTACAAATTTTAATTTTTTAACAAAGCTAAATTGAGTTAGAAATAGGTACTTTTTCAAATCATTATATTATGTTACCACCGTATTGCACTCCCCCATCATCTTATTGTTATTCTACACGCTCTACACAAAGCATAGGATGATTTGTTGGATTTCCAGGATGTTATATCAGAAATTATTTCTCGCATAATCTTCTCTTCCCTTTCCGTCTTTAAATTTCTGAAGACCAGTGAGATGAATAATATTTCAAATTGCAGCTATTTTACTAAATAGTGGACGGAGGAGGAGGGGGACAAATTACAAGTGACGTTATTTTCTTTCATCAATCTTTTATAGAGTAGTTGTTTTTTTTTCACACGAAACAATCTACCAGATATTGAGTTGATCGAAAAATTTTCCTCTGCACTCCTGAGGTATGATTGTTATTGTACATAACAACTTTTTGTCTCTTGCTGTTTACCTAATCTTCTCTATCCCTCTCATCCAATCATTCATTAAATTCTTTAAAAATTTCATTTGAAGCAATTCTTACCACAGAACATGTTTTTTTCCTTCACTCTCTCTTCTTCTGTCATCTTTTGTTTTTATTCCTCGCAACGGCAAATAATGAGATTTTCAATTCATCATATCATACTCATATCGTGCTGTTTTATTCAGTTTTATTAAATTAAAAATTTTAAAGCAGTAGCCGGGTATTTGTAATGAATGAAAAAGTTAGAATAACAGTACAAGTTCTAAGTTTCAGAAATGAGTTTGGTGGAACAGTTATTGTCAAGTAGCGATCGGTGGACAGCTCTACAGTTCGCTTTCTATAATGCCCTATTGTTTACGATAGTATGTTATAAAATTTGATTTGGTTGTAAACTATTATTACTTTCATCTTACCGAGTCTTGAATATACAGTTAGCTAGTGTTCGTAATGGATGGAGCTTGGACATTTTACTAATTTATGAAATAAATCTTATAGAATTATGTTAGATGCGAAAAAAATATAGCTTAAATTTTTATAACTAAATTATAATTGATGACTTTCTGTGGTTCCAGTAGTTACATTGGTTTAAGAATAACTGTATTTTATCTTTCAAATAATTATTTTGCAGACAGGATTTTGCTTGGTAGCGCTTTATGCGGTATACAAAATGATGTATATGTTTTTAACACCTTTGTTGTGGGCTACATTAATTGGAACGATTCTTTTTCCATTCAAGAAAAGATTTAACGCTACAATTAATGGTATTATTTAATTGAGCTCATTAATGATTTACAGAAAAGACTTTGCAAGTCTTGAAATGGAATTTTGTTTCTGGGATATGTTTAACTCTCACTTATATTGAAAAAGTGATAATTTTAATAATATGTGGAACTTATAAATAAGGTTGGATATCAAGAGTGGACAATGACGGAACACCGTTGGTTGTAGCTGTTCTTCTTATACCGTATGATGCATTTATAAGTGCCACCGATTTATTCCTCATTTATTTGGCAAGGTTTGAGAATTTCCTGATCTTCATCTTCTAAAATTCGATTTTTTAACAGGTTTTGCTGCATAAATTTTGTAGAGGAAGACTTTATTGAAATCTGAGTGTTGATATTTATGTTATAGACGCGAAGGAATTATGATATTGGGCGCGTACTTGATTTTGAAAGCGTTAAACCATATTACGTTTGTCGCTTTATTGCATCTTATTGGTAATTTGTACCAGAATACTGATCGCATCATACTATTTTGCACCAAAACTTGGGTTAGTTTCACTCATATTGAAGCATTACTTAGTGTTTTTATTTTAATTTATTTAAACTAAGAAATTAAGATAAACTTAACGAATTTGTTCTTTGAGTATAGATTTTCATTTATTTGAATAAATGACGCTGTATTTGCTTCAAGCTAATATGGAAGCGAAGAGGAGCACTCATACTCTTCTTTATGTTTTTGCAAAATTTGTTCTGGAGAGAATTGTGTAGGGAAAGAAGTGCAAATTTTTCTTTTTCCATTGATGATTTTTCAAAGGTCTCGATTCTGATGATGCTCTACTTTGCTGCATTTGTCGGTTGGCTTTATGTGCAGGATCAACACTCAATAAATAAAAAATTAGCACGTTTAATTTCTGTCCCTCTCTGGTAAATTCTTCTTACTACAACCATAGTTCTACAACAATCGTTTTTTGTAAGAAGAGTCCATCCGTAAATTAAAAAATATCTTTCCAAGAGATTTTGCTTTACGATAAATACGATTGTATTGTTGTCTACTACCTATTAAATTTAAATACCAAAACATTATTGCGAATTTTTATATATAGTTTTCTGTAGGTTTTTCGCTATAGCGAGAGTTTCCAGTTTTTTTGGTCCATTCAGTGTTATTGTTATGACTGTAATCTCAGCAGCTCTTATAACCATATCAGCTGGTATTTTGACTTGGGGAGAAATCAGAGCAGATTCAGAAAAATCCGACGGTTTGTTTTACTTCTCCATTTTGAAGTCTTATACCAGTTGGCATCTATGTTATCATATTATCAGTTTAGCTATATTCAACAATGTGAGTCTGGATAAGAGGGAACTGAAATGAAAAGGAAAAGTCGAAGTAAATTAGGTTTGATTCAGATATCAGTTTGAAGAAAGATGTAGAAGAATTTGCTGAGGATAACAAGAAGAAGACGCTTGACCAAGAGCTAACGGGGGATTTTTATCTACAGGTGATCAATAGTTATAGTTTTCTTAAATTTAGTCTGGTTCAGCTCTTTTATTCAAAACACATTTGTTTATCATTCTCAAAATTTATCTGTTTGAAACCAAAAAAAAGTTTTCGATTGCCAATTACAAACTCAATTTTTTTTCTTTTCAGTATATTTTTTCAAAGTTCGTTTCTTCATGTTTAATTTTTTACAGGCTATTCTTGGACTTTGTGCTTTGCAATTTGCTGTGCGACATGACTTTGTACCAGTTTGCTTGTTCTTTCTCGCTGTCTTCACTATACTGAGAAAAATTGGTGATTGTTGCTGAAATTGATTAAAACTATGAATTTTACCCATGTTTCGGTTGCAAAGAAGAAATCCATTAATTTCTTGGCACATAAATCGCTGTAGCTTAATATTCCAAATTATATCATTCTTTGATTTTCTTTCAGTGTTCCTATTGTAATACGAATAAAAATATTGTTCAATAAAAACAAGATTTTCTGATGAAGAAATTTTGACCGTAGCTATTAGATGCCTCGCTTTATATTATACTTCTTAATTTGAGGAAACAAATATTGTCCAAAGTTATTTTTTAACTAAAATAATAAAATTGCAGAAACTGTCTGATCTCTTAATTGAATAGAATAAATTTCAGGTGTGGAAATTGGTGTTCAGACTGGTCTTACAAAAAACTGTTGCGCGATTTGGAAACAGTTCCGTGAAAATGTGAAGCAATTCCTACATGTCACTATTGCAGGCCCACTAAGAGATTATTTCAAGTTCATTTTTTCAAGTGATCAAGTGGTAAATTTTTATTAATAAAAGCATATTTTTACTTAACGTATTTTTCATAGTGTATTAAGTTTCATCTTACCATACTGGCCTCATGCTACTGAAATCATATTACTGAATTTTTCAAGATTTTTGTTGTAAACTGGACGAAAATTGGCATATATTTTTGTGGCAATCGATTATTTAAAATTTAAATTAATCTCGTTGTAGATAAAGAACTCACTACGGAGAGCAGTGGATGATTTTTCAACCATTCTAGTTATGTTGCTGCTAATTTTTGGATCTCTTTTTATCACCATCTTAGTTGCTTTTCAAGTTTATAGCGAAATAGATCATCTGATTCGGCTTGGTGCCGATTTGCTGGCACAGCAACCTGATTGGATGTTAGATTATGCTCGGCGTTATACCGGGAATCAACTGGAAAAAAGCGACATTGATAACTATGTTGAGCAGGTGACATGAAATTCTTTCTACTGTAATTTTTCAGTGAATGGTATTTAATTGTATGCGATGATATTTTCCTTGCGCATTAGAAAATCATTTTAAGGGTTATCTCAAAGGACGAGAATGGTTGGCGGCTAATGTCCGCTTATTCGTTGGAACACAAGATCCGATTAAAGGCGAATTGCTTGAAAAGGAAGTGATCGAGGTTAACTTTTTTGTTCTATCTTGAAGTCTCTTAATAAATGGGAAATGGTTCACTCTGAATTCTTGAATGCATTTTATTGCAAAAAATTTCGTTAAGTAGAGAAAGTTTTTTTTGATGGATATTAACGCACTAATATCTAACACGATGTTTGTTCGGACCAATCAGCATGATATCATTATTTAACATTGACAAATAAACTCATTAATTGTGAGTAAATAAAAAAAATGAAGGAAACTAAATCTCTTCCCTTGTTTTAATTTAGCGTAGAACACAAATTAGTAGCAAAATTCTCCTCTTTTTTCTACCTTTTTGTACCTATCCCTTGTCTTTCTTGTTTAATCTTGTTTGAAATGCCTTCTGATTGGTTCGAAACATGGTTGGCTCATAGGATTTTAAAAGCACCAAGTAGTGAAATTTCAATACTTTTGATCCAAAATTTTTGATGGGTTGCAAATTTCAAATATCAGTCATAAGCAATGTTAAAACCCTTAACATATTCTATTTCATGCATTTCCACTAGCACCATTCTCACAAAAATTGAAACAAGATATGAAAAGTTAGAAGACCTTTTAGTTAATGGACAAGTTGTATAAAATGTGGGAAGATCGCAATAAAGCAATTGTTTCATCATCTAGCAGTGCTACAAAAGATTGGATGAGTTATCTGGAGGTTTTCACAAGCATACGTACACTGAGAGAGGAAGTGGTCGAACTTGTTAAAGCAAATGTTGATACGATCATGAGCGTTAGTGTTTTATAACCCTCTTCGTTTTTCTGTGAATAGTTGCTTTATAATATTCCATCGAATTGATCAAATGCCCGTATAATTAAGCTTATTTTGAACTATTTAAATTAATTGCCTTCAGACTCTAGATTGGTTGGATGATCACTCATCTAACAACCGATTTCAAATTTCCATCGCAAGATTTAGGCGATGTCTTTGTCGAAATGGTTTTGATCATCTTTACTAAACCGTTTAATGAGCTTATAAAGCCTTAATTTCTATTAGTTTGTTTTTAGGTTGCGCAGTCGGTCTGGTCCTTCACTGCAAGCAATATATCTACTTTGGGGACAATTTTATTCACATTTCTTGCAATTGTGATAAACTTTGGACTTGAAGTTTTCAATTTCTTTATCGAAATTGTAAGCTTTATAATTTTTTCATGAATTGAGTTTAAAATTTAAAACAAGAAACTATGAAAAAAGTCAGTTTACTTGTGTCGAAACCTTTTGCTGCCTTTCAAATCACTTGTTTTTAGACTGTTTTTGTGACAGCTTTATATCATCTGTTAGCAAGTAGCCAAGATATCTGGTTGCTGACAAAATGGCTCAGTGATGCATTATTTCATTCTCATGGCACAATTCGTTCTGCCCATTCATATATCATTCCAGCCATTGAAAAAGCAATAAGGTCACTTTTTACTAATTTTCATATTTAAGAAAAATCTGGTCAACGCTGATTTCTCATTTATTTATCAAATTGTCTTTCCGTTGTGTAAGAAATTGAATTTGTTTTGCTTACCGGAAATATTATTTCTTTAGCCTTTAACTGCACTAGACTAGTTTCCTTCCGATTCATTTTTTTCACTATTTCTTTTTAGTGATGTATTTGTGCTATCAGCAAAGATGTCGCTCTTCTACGGTCTGTACACCTATTTCATTCATTCTCTGTTCGATATCAACGTTGTTTTTATACCATCAATTAAGTGTTTTTTAATATTTTAATTAGTGTTTAATATGTTTAATATTAAGTGTTTAATATTAATTAATTGTTTTTTAATATTTTAATTAGCCGTCTTCCGGCTAGGACTCCATTCATATCAAGTCTTCCGAGCAGATCCTAGATTTATCCAACCATTTTGATTGAAGATCAATACACTATATATATATATTTCATGATTGCTTATTCATTGTAAAACTGCTATCTGCAATCAGATGCAAATTGAGTAGAGGTACAATTATGATGAAGCGCCATGTATTGAGTACTTGCACTTTTTTAGTGTTAGCAGCTGTTTTCGCATCAATTCCAGTCATGACGCCCTGCGCTGTCTGCATCTTCGGTTTCCTGGAACTTTATTTCGCTGAACATGAAACTGCTGCAGCTATCATTTTTGCGTTAGCTAGTTTGGCACCGAAAATATTCGCTGATACTGCATTTTATAATGAACTAAGGTGAGATACCATAGTATGTTCATAATTTAAGAGATGCATATCTTTTAATTATGAATATTAAAACGGTCGAAACAAGCTCCCAAGCACTAGTTTTTATTATAATTTCATTCTTCTAGTTAGTAAATCGTTCACTAAACATATTTGTGGTTTTATATTATGATATGTAAATAAGTCGAACTTTTAAATACTGCCTTATAAATAGAACTATTAAATACTTTTAATAGTAACGTTTCATTTCCAATTGGAATAAAATTTTTCTCATAGTTGTTGTAAAGTTATTGTATGAAAATAAAGACGAAGACGAAGTAGTGTAAGTTGGCAGGGAGGTTTTGAGCATTGTTGATACTAGACAGTTAAGTGTTCGGTTTCTCTGCGGACATTGTGGTTTGGCAGAGTTTTCGAGAAGCGCGATGATGATACATATTCACCATCTTTCGGCTGAAGCCCTTTGTGATGCAGAATGTAGTCTTGTATGAGCGCATTGGAAGAATATCAATACACAGTAATTAAATAACTGTGGCATAACTCTTCAGCAAGAAAATGATTAAATTACGTATTTTATTTACATTATTTACTATATCCGTTTATTGTACTCGTGCCAATGTGTTTTTTTCACATTGCACATTTTTCCATTTTTGAAGTTTTAAATTATTTAAATTTTATCTACAGAGGAAGCCATCCGTATGTTACTGGTCTCGCAATCATCGGTGGAATGTATTGGCTAGGATTGCAGGGCGCTATTATCGGCCCAATTCTGCTTTGCTCGATAGTCGTTCTTCTGAATGTTTACACGAAATTCGCTTATGCATAAGGTGCACATATTTTGCAAATTATTGAGTTTAAGTTCTTGAGTTCAGAATTTGTTTAGTTTAGTGTAGCTTTACCTCGTTTCTGTGTTGGGGAAGATGAACTAACTTTCACTATCTGGAATTATCAGTGACTTTAGAACAATGTTTTGTGAAGATCTCATGTTTTATTGGGAAGTAGTTTATCATTTCAGAGATGTTAGAACGAATTATTATCGTTTCTAGTACATTGCAGTGATGTTTCTTTTATTAAATTTAACCCACGCTGCTGACTTCGGAACAGTTCCTTTCATTGCTGTGTCATTCTTTTAAACTAGTTTGTACATAACACAATCTTCGGTTATTTAATCGCAGGTATTAAAATTTAGTTATTTCTTAAATTTAAGCTGTACATTTAAATTTAAATTGCATTTGTATAAACTTAAATTTGTATACATTACCAGTGATGGTTTTTGTTTCTGACAGTGCGATAATTAATCTGGATGTGAAAAAATCATTTTTGTCAGGAAACATTTTGCTAGAATCGTAAGGTAATATTGTCGTCGCTCTAGTTCAACAAAATTGAATCGGAAAATTAATTTATAATGATTGATGCCTAGACAGCTGAAAGTAAGAACTTCAGTTATCCAATGGCCTTTTTGAGTCGCCTAGAAATATTGTCAAACATTGCATCATAAAATTCAATTTTTAGATAACTGAACTTTTTGGTTCCTTTTAACGCGACATTTTGGTGATATCGCATCCCTCAAACAATATGCCGTGTTCAAATTTCTTTTGCTTTAAAAATTCTGTACTTTATACTTCAAGCTTTCAACAATCACTTCTAACCTAATAAAAACATTTTCTTTTAAAAATAATCAAAATGATAAAGACCGAGGATTATAGCTTTCTGGATTGACCATTACTATGGCAATATCTAGTCTTCAGAAAATAGTAACTGTTGATTGCTTGCTTTTCTGAATTTCTTATAAATTGTAAATTTATATAATTTTGATAAAATTATTAAATAAATTTGCATATTCGTATGAAAAGTTGCATCCGCTACATATTTGATTCTACTAAGCTTCATAAAAAAATTATTGAAGCACAACCCTGGAAATGGAAAAGTAAACATCTTTTGTTAATTTAGATTTAAAAAAAAAGCTTTTAACAAGAGACTTGCTGTTCCATTAACTAGGCATTGTATTTTCACTAATAGGGCATGAAATTTAGACCTGTGTTGTTTTTCAATATTCGCATTCCACGTAGAATATATATTTATATTCACCATGATAAAGTTACTTCTAATAGAACCACAGTTTTATGGGCGTGATATATTCTCCGGTTGTTCAATATCAATGGTGTTATAGTCTATGCAGTAATGAGTTGTTTGTGTGTAAAATATGCTCTAAATAATGTGAGTAATGATGTTTAACATTTAATAATTAATAGTATTATTGATCTTAACAAAATAGTATCGCAATGAGAATAGTACAAAGTGGAAAAATTGCTTTTCTGCGGTTTTTATATTTGATTGAAGTTTTATTAGTTAACAACTAACATAGAATTTATTTTCGGAGATGATATGACAGAATTGAATGATTTGTGAGAGAGACTGATCTGTGATATAGGCGTTGAAGGCTGTGTAATTTGAACTCATGCAAGTACGGCGAGCGAGCTTCTCATTCCTGATCAATGTATCAGTTGTGGTAGTAGTGATAAGTACATGGTAATGAACGAAGAGTGGATATATGTGTGCACGTATGTGTGTGTGTGTGTTCTTGAGTGATGTTGTGTCATATCCTAACTTTGATATTATTTTTCTCTCTCAACATTCTCGCAGAAACGGTGATGTGTCTTAAAATTTAACGGATGGTGGTTACTGTAGCAGTGAAGCGGTAATATGAGCATCCGAATAGCATGTGCTGTGATTGACCTTTAACCTTCTTCTAGAATACCAGCAATTGCAAAGAATAAGTGGTGAGGTTAATCGATTATGACAAACTGATGTTTTAGTAATAGCGACGACTGGTGTTGTCACTTGAATGTCATTTGTTATCTTGAACCTCACGGTAGCTAATGACGACTGGTGTTGTCACTGACTTGCTGAAATGGCGGAATTTATTTTTATCGACCTAAGTAGAAAGTTTTTAGGTAACTTCTGCAACTATATGGCTTAACCATCGTATTTATGCTGCTGTTCATCTCATCAGATTGCAGATCTCCCTCCCCATTGTTATCATTTGAATCTATGTCAAAGACCATTTTCTCAGTTTGTTATTATAGCATGTGATAATGTGTATCTCAGTTCAATGTCACTTCCGACCAATTAATATTTCTTTGTTTATTAATGGTTTTTCATTAGAATAGGAGTAATTTTTTAGAACGAAAGAGATATAAAATAGAATTTAGCTGCCTTCTGGACAGTCATTTTTATCAAAATAGTGAATAGGAATTGGTGGTCGTTCTTTAGTATAATCGAAGTAGAGAGTGGCAAGAGCAGTGCAGTGATTGTGCCCTTACTGCAGCATATTTATCGAATTCAGTGAGAAAGTGTTTATTTCTTGGGTGAATATAGTTATCGATTTTTGCTTTCAGTCACAATTCTTTCTGGATAAATCATCCACTATCTCTGATTACTTTAATTTCAATGGGATGAGAATTGATGAAGTATACACTTTAGGATACATCAGTTCAAGTTTCTTTTTTCTTTTTCAACTTATATGGAATAACTCAATCATCAAAAGAATGACCACTACATGTTTGTATTGTTTGAGTAATTGTTTGCTTTGCGTAATTGCCAATTTGTTCCGTGAAGTACCAATCATAATATTTAGGGCGAAATTTAATATAGTTTGATTTTAATCTAATTTTTGTAGACTTTATAATGACCTATACGGAAGCGGATATTCCACTGCAAGCTCCGCGATTATTGCAACTCTCCGCCAATGTTGTTGCTGCACATTCCAGTACACTTTTGGCACATGCCAAATCTAATACAAATGAATACAGCAACCATTGTCATTCACAACAACGACATTATCAACGAGAGCAACGAAATATTAGCAATGATGCAGCTGCCATATTTCAACTTCCTTTGCCAGCAAGTACCGCTGTTTTTGATTCATTGCGAGAACAGTGGATTAAAACGGTATGTATTTGATTTGTTACTATGTGTGCTGTGTGTTAAAAGATTTGGTTTGTTATTTCTCGTTCAAGTATTCAATTTGATGAACTAACTTTCAAAATTAGATCTTGAATTCAGTTTAACATAATATTAATAGCACCATCACAGGGAGTTTTTTGTTGCACGAATTAATAATATTTCCCTTTCTAAATGTAATTCATTCTGTGTACTATTCTGCCGTTTTTTTTTAGGGTGTAACGCCGACTGCCGCTTTAGAACAATTCACGGAAGCAACACATTTGCCTTTGGATAGTTTACCATTATCACGGGCCCATCTGACGGATCGTCTATTGGCCAATTTAGTGGCAGCACACCGTGAACGTTTAACGTCGCTCGATATATCTGATACACAGGTTGAATTATCTATATTTCGCTTTGTTAATTTTATCAAAACATTAAATATACATAATGAAATGATAGCATAAAAAAGAAACAAGGATAACGCTGAACTATTTTTGAGATAGGTTGGAAAAAAGAAATATATAGCTCCTTTAGATTAAGGAGAACAGGTGATTATTGAGACTGGGACCAACAATTCAAAACTGCCCTTTACAGTGTAATAATTGTTAACGAACGTCTTTCATTTGGTTACTGGTAATCTTATTTATTGATTAAGTAATTGAAATGAATTGTGTTTCAGGGAATTGTTGGTCATGAATTTAATAGGGTATTGGAAGAAAAGTCGGTGCACTTAGACCAACTTACATCACTGTCAATGACTTCATTTGAAATCCTTCGAATACCGATGATTATTGTCCCTCCTCGTAAAACTGGTGTTAATTATTCGACAAGTGGTTCCTGCGGCACTTTACCAATACTTTCTGAAGAAGATCTTGTCGGTTCTAGTATTGATATTAATATCGATCATTATATGGATACTTCGGATAGTAATCCAACATCCACTTCACAGTAGATTTTATTTCATCTTTGCAGTAATGTTTTTGGTAATCGCCGTTTTATTTCAATATCACTGGATTAAATTTCATTCCTCTGTATAATAGAAGCAGAGGAATAATGGAATATTTTTTTAAAATGATTTTCCCTAAAATGATATTCCTATATTAAACATCTTAAATATTTTAAGTTGTCGATCTACTTCCGAAAATAGCGAATTAAAGGAAGCACCTACACCTGGTCCTATCATGCAAATACCAACGTTCACGTTACGCTGTCCAAATATTCGTTCGCTGACTCTTCATCGGGTTTGTGTTTATATTTTTTTTAAGTTTGAAGATGCACGGTCTGTGATTTTCTAAATTTTAAAGAACTTTATTTCACGAAAGTTACTTATTTACGTCATCTGTAGTAGCTATTGTGGTTAATTCGTTACCAAGCAGAGATATTTGATCGTTATTTCTTAAGGAACATATCTCTTCATTGAAAAAATGAGTTGGCTTCGTAGTTTGTCATAGGAATATCTCATACAGTTTTAAATATCTTTTTTTGCTCAATTAAAACTAACATCTTCAGAAACGCAGCCAGTGTGAAAATGATGAATCAGTAAATGAATTTCTGAATCGTGTTTTATCACCGTTGAAAAAGTTGGAACGTTTGGATCTTTCCCATTGGCAACGAGTCGATGATTTACATTGTTTGCATCTTCATTCACTTTCAACACTTATTCTTTATGATGTACCGGATCTTTATCGTTCTATGGATACTATTGTACAAATTACTACTCTTAAGTAAGTTTTCGAACGTAGCATTCCACACAACATCGTTGATAATATCATTAGCTCTAGTAGATTTTTTTTCTTTCACAGAGTCTTTGATTAATGGCCATAATCATTATGTATTGATGTTAAATCGTATATATATTAGATATTACCTTGCGAACTTTCGAGTAATTGTGCGTCTGATTTCTGAAAGACCAGAATGCTAGCTGTCAGTTCTTCTCAATTAAGTAAGATTTCCATCAGTTGAGTTTGCAATTGCTTTGAAGTTGTTTACCTTAATATTCTGCAGATTTATTATTGCAGTAACGGATACATTACGTAGGATTTTTTCTTTCAGATTTTTAGATTTATCGCAAAGTACAAAAGAAACGGGTACATATCCGCGTCCAGTAACAGCACTTCACAGAATTGTTACGTGTTTAAGGTCACTGACTCATTTGGACATTTCATCAACCAATCTTGCTTCACAGCCGTCTACTTATGATCGCCCCGTAAAGGGGTAAGACGCTCATTCTATGACCAGAAAATGTAAAGTAAAAGTTTCATTTTTTATGAAATATATAATTTTTTTATTCATCTTGGAAACTTCAAAAAATTACGGACTGTTGTTTATTTGCAGAGCAACGTCTGTCAGGTCGGATATCTATGGTCTACGTTGTTTAGGAGCACCTCTAGAATATTTGGGCTTGTTTAACTGTGACAGCGCTTCTCATTTTGCTGAAATACCGGCAAAGAATGTGAGTTTTTTTTTAGCAAAATTATTTTCAGAATGTATAAATAAATCATTATCATCCAATGTACTTAGTTCATCAAATAGTTTATTCGTTGTATGTTCCTTAGCATAGCTTATTGTTAGATGATCGCACTTATTACTTTTGATTATCTACAAATTATTTGCCTAAGGATTGTTTTATATTGGAATCACATCTGAATGCTTCAGATTGCTGGTGACAAAGACGAAAAACAAATTTTACTTGCTCTTCGAATGTATAGTCAACGAGCTGGTTTACTGCAAGCAGTTTTAAATGAAAGCTATCAACTTTATAGATTTGGACATAACTTAGTAGGTATTTCATTTATTTTAGGTTTGGAAAGATTTTTAGACTCTTAGGATTTGAAAGGCGAAGTAAGCAAAAAGACATTGGAACATCATTATTTTCTCTCTTAAAAAGAATCCAAAGGAAAAATAAATGGGAAGGAGGATTATTTTATTCGGAATTTTGTTTCTTATGTTTCTGTTTGAGATGTGAAAAACATATATCCTCTTTTGTCAGAGTCGGCACACCGAAGCCCTGCATCTTGTTTTGGGTGCTATGCAACGCCATCTGGAGGACAGCACACTGCAGATTGCTGGATCAGCCTCACTATTTTATATTATTCGCAAAGTAAGTATGAATCGTGATACAAAACGAATGGTTGTCACCGCACTTTTGGATGGAATGGATGCACATATGGAAGAACAGGTAATGTTTTATAGTACTTGCAAATTTTGATTGGGTAATTTGGTGAATCGGAATTTATCATTTTTCATTAAATATTTATCATTAAATAGAATTCTTTTTCCAGGTGATGGTTCGGAATTGTTGTTTATCACTTTGCCAATTCGAAATACCGCTGGAAATCCTTTTCGATTATGGTCGTGTAGCGCGTTTGCTTGTTGCTGTTTTGCAGCATCACAATAGTGATCATTTAACTCAGCGTATTGTAGTTTTTTTATTAAATTCAATGGCATGCCATGTGGAAGGCGAACAGAAAGTTCAAGTTGGCAACATTGGTGCTATTGAAGTGAGCATTTCTGAAACTTTTTTTTGTTTTCGTTATGTTACAATTTCTTGACATTACTCTAAATTTTTGCAATTTAATTCTCCGTGATACTTTCTTCGTAGATTTTTTCATTAATAATCGCTGAAGAAAGTTCGTAGATTTACTCTTTGATACATGCAGATTATTCTGGAACAAATTCGCAGAAAGCATGCAGCCAGCATTTGTGATGATGTTATGGAAGTGGGGTGGAGTTTTCTGTGGAATATAACCGGTTATTTTTTATTTCTATGTAATACTAAACAAATTTAAAATTTTAACAACATAAGAATTAATTACGATAATTGATGAATTTTTGCGCATTAATCACTTCACTTACTAATTGAGGGAATCTAAAGTACAATTTTTTTCTAACCACATGTGAACACTTGACTCGTCCATTAAGAAGAAATATGGATACAGTACTAATAACACTACAATTGTTTTGTTTGTTTAAGATATCGTTGCCTGAGTTAAAAGATAACGAACTTTAATTATTAATAGCATTATTTCACAGATGAAACACCAGTAAACTGCGAGCGCTTCCTCAATGCTGATGGTCTTCGTTTATTTCACCAGTGTTATCAGCAATTTCAAAATGAAACAGAACTTGTTCGTAATATGATGGGTTTAATCGGTAATATTGCTGAAGTAGAACAACTTCGTGCACAGCTTATGCTTGATGATTATATCAATATTTTCTGGTAAGAACAGAAATATTTAACTGTAATGATCCTGAATTACGTGATAAATTTATATCATACTAGTAGTATTTTCCTCTATTTATTTTTACTGATATTTATTAGTAACGTATATTGTTTAGTTAATGCAATTCTACATTAAATATTTCTCAAATTCATCATCTTTAGTGCTCTATTGACAATGTTAGTTGATGGCATTGAGATTAGTTACAACAGTGCAGGAGTACTTGCACATATGGTTAGTGATGGAGAAGCGGCGTGGTCAAAAGTGAGTGTATCACGTGCATTTGTTATGGATAAAATTATCAGGGTATGATTACTCACTTTGTCTTCATAAACATTGAGTTAGATACTGCTGGCGATCATTCTAATTTAAACGAGTTAATATCATGAAATCGATTAGGAAGTAATTTGTATGTCATATATAAAACATGTATCTTTTATATGCATAGTATTTATAATTGCAAGGACTCTGAAAGTAATTCAAATACTAGGAAGTTCTGATCTAATTCGTTAGGAATGAATGCTTTTTAGGCTACTAATACCTGGGATTTGGAAGCAAAGAGATTCATAAATTACCGGTCATTTAAGCCAATTTTGAGGCTCATACCGATGTTCGATGCTCCAGCAAGCCAACATTGGGCAATTTGGGCACTTGCCAATCTAACATCTACTGATAGTATGTTTTGCTATGCTTTTAATTCATATACGTAAGGTTTCACGTAGCAATGATAACTGCTGAAAAAGTTACTGAAGAACAGGCTGGGTTTCATCTAAAAAGCTCGTAACTATTTGTTGCCACTTACTATTATCATATTGTTATATCGCCAGTCGCGGTTTTTCGTTTTCTTATTTCTTTGCTAATTTATTCCATTGCGATATATTTATGTTTTGCCGTCAAATCAATAGTTGTGCAAAATTTTGATTGTTTTTGTAGGGGATAAATATTGTGCTTATGTTCTTCACGAAGGCGGTATCCCTTTGCTGCAGCAGGTCGCCGGTGATGAACGGTCTTCGGACAAAATGCGGAGTTTGGCCACCATTGTTCTCAAAAATATTACCGAATGGTTAGTTCATATTTAAAAAAAATTTATGATTATACATATCATTCTTTTTCACTCCTCTGTCATAATTTATTAATGCTTAATATATTCCAAAGAATGTTAAAAAAATTATTAGCAATTCATTATTGATAAATACAAATCTATATAACTCTATTTCTTTTTCCTTTAATCGCTCTTAACTGATTTAGTTTAAGCTGCCAGATGACTATTACTAACTATGGAAAGTTCAGTTGTGCAAATTTTTTTGAGGAGGAGTGAATTGTTGACCGGAATAGAAAAATTTAGTATCCTTTTTTACTTTTCCCTTGTTTTTTAAAATTGGATAATTCAAAATTAACAAAAAATAAAACAGATTGAAATCGATGGACATTTTAGGGAACGCTCAAAGTACACACCGCCACCGAGCATGTTGTCATCATAATTTACATTTATTTGGAAAGTGTCTAATTTTGAAGTATATGACTGTATCTCTATGATAGTCACTATGATCTATTTACAGTGCAAAAGTTTACCAAGAAATTCTTCAATTAGCACTTAGAGTTAAAGTTGTATTTATATATCATTCTTTGTCTTTTTGATAATTCACAGTCATAGTTTCATATAGCACACTATATTCTTATAAATATGGAGTACGAGATTCATTATTAGACTGTCCAATTCTCTGCATAAGTTACATGTCCGATTCTTTGTGTAAGTTACATGTATTTTAGTTTTTGTAAAACTATTGTCATCGAAACAATTGTGTTTTTCACTTTTAAAATTTTAAGATACGAAAAAAGTTAGGTTGGAGTTTCGAACAGCTTTATTATGATTTTCATGGATTTTATAAGCTAGTGCTTTCCGAACATGAAACGAGGAAGTTGAAAGGGTAGTAAAGAGAATGTGGCTGGGCTACCGACGGTCTCTATATTTTAACCTAATTTGTGCATAACTTTAGAAAGGATGTCGAACAAAAGCGTTTTTTTCTAGGTTTATGCTTTTGTTAGTATTTTAGTTTGAAAAATCTACTCGAAATGTAGATTCCAGGTGTACCTCTCTCTCTCTCTCTCTTTCGTATTTTCTCGTATGCATCGACTTCAACATATTTAATATGCTTGGTGATACGAAAAATTTCTTCAGATATCTTAAAATGTACTTTTCACCATATAGCAAAATTAACTGTCATCTGTGCAGGTCTTATATCCTTTTTTCTTGAACACATTTGATACCATCCTTCGAGGAATGAATGATGCATGGCAAGTACAATCGATCAGAGAGCATTAAAATTTTGAAATGATCAATATATATGCAAATAAGAGTATAAGAAGTCAAAAGTCTAATTCTTTTCTCTGTTCTATTTTATTGACGAGGGATGGTAAATGCTGATTTTTGTCTTTGATTTGTCCTGTTGACAGGTATTGTGTATCTTGGGTACTGTTCAATCATTGTGATTCTTGTAGAACTGTATATCCAAAATTTAAAATTTTATTTTTTTGTAAAAAGTTACCTTGAAAGAAAAAAGTGGCGCTACTGTTCATTTGTATATAAATTGATCACTTTAAGTGTATTTTCAATATCTTGAAATTTTTTATTTGCTTCTGTCTTATTAAAAATAATAACTGGTATGTAATCAGCTGTATTTGTGTAGATGATTGCTTACCAAATAAAATATTATTCATAAAATGAAAAGATTGAACATTTTTTCGATTTGCCATCAAATATTTGCCTCAAACATTATTACCTAAAAATTTTCTTAAACTTAATTTTTCTCACAATTTTAAAGCAGTATGAGAAGTCTAAGCTTTGCTGCCAATGCTAACCGGATAATAATTTAGATCAAAGACTTACAGACACAATCGTGATCGTGTTAGTATTTCTTATATGTATTCTAACGCCTTACTGTTCAACATCCTGTAAATAACATGAACTTTTTGAGGGATAGGAAATTTAAACGAGAACTAACTAAATAACCCTAAAGCAAAGGAATTTTGAAGTCAGGGGAATCTCTTTTTAACTCGGTGCAACTGATGTTACTGTTACTGGTGAAAGTATCGCATCATATGATTGTGTACCACATTTAAGTCTCAAGTCTATAGTTTATTTCAGCTTTGTGAAAGTACATATCGCGAACTCGGTGAAACGTTTTTCTTCACAAGTTTGCAATTTTTATATTGCTGAACTTTGTAATTTTATATTGTAATTTTGCATTGCTAAAGTTTATTGAAGGTAAGAATGAGATTTTAACTTTTTTTCTAGATTTTAGAAGATCGAAGTGTTTATTAACAGCAAATAGTGCAAGTTGAGATAGTATATTTGGCTTGCAGCTGCATCTTTGTCATGCATGTTCGTAATTGAATGCAAATTCTATTGATTACATAACTCATGCTGCACTGAATAGATTCAAACCTGGAAACTTTTTAAATTTTACTTAATTTTATCGTTATCATATATTTAGGTCATGGTATCGCAAGTTGTTATCTACTCCTTACATGTCGCTCCACTGATTGCTATTTGGGTTGCTTTGCTGTATGATTGGTTACCGTACACGCATAATTTTACGCTCAAGTATTATCAATTTATCCTTTATCTTCCTGTTTATGCCATTTTTTTAATTGGCATTTATGCTATATGTAATGTGATATATGGTGTAGCAACATTCAATGATTGTCCTGAGGCACGAGAGGAGCTGAAAAAGGAAATTGATGATGCAAAAGCGGATTTGAGGAGAAGGAATGTGATTTCTTAAATAAATTTGAATCATTTCACTGATGATGAATAAGCTAATGAAATTGTCTACGTTAGAAATAATATAATTGCAAATTATATCAAATTGTTTAATGTGAAAATTTCATTTCTTAATTTTTGCCGAATTTGGTTTCAAATTTTATTTCCATTTATGCTTTAATATTGTTTATGTTTATGCATTGCTTTAAGCATTGAGAGCTTTATGCTTTGAGATCCAAAATATACATCTTTTAATTTTCTTTTCATCCAGAGTTAACATTCTTATTCTTCCGTTGCTCTAAATTCTTTTTGAAGTTAATATTATCTTTTATTTAAACTATAGTTCAAGATAACGAATTATACTAAACACTTGGCTCTGTTAATAAGTTGATTAAAAAAGTTTGCTTGTTTCTAAAGGAAGTCTTTGCTATACACATTCAACTATGCGCATATTTAATTTCTCTTATTTATTTCGAATGACTCATTGCTCTATATGTTGTATAAATATCGCTCATGTCTTTATGTTGAATGAATAATAGAGGATTTAAAATCCAACAAATATCATTGTTAATAATTATACATATCGCTGCATTCAGCATTAATTAATTTAATTTTTGCTATCTTTTCTTTATTTTAAACTTTGTCGTTCTTTTTAAACAACTTGTTGAATTTTTATATGATAACTATATATGATAACTATGATACATCGATTAATAAGAATTGTCAACAAGTAATTGTTATTAATAAACACTTCTTAATTTCAAATTGTATGTATTGAATTATTTCCGATGAAATACTTCACATTTTTATGTATTTCAAATATATTCGAATCATTTAAATTCTGAATAGGAAAAAGTTTGCCGTAAAAAAATGTTCGATAATGAAAATTTTTTGCAAGCAATTTTATGTAAAAGACTGGAAGGAATGATTTGTAGGTTAATATGAAGGACAAAGGGAAAAATAATTATGATAACAATAATATTAATTTTCCAAAGTTTATAATATTAGCTTTTTATATTAACTTTTGAGAACTTCATGAATGAAATTAACATGAAATTTATATCAAATCAGTTTATAATATAGCTGGCTTATCTTTATGATAAGAAATATTAGTGTAAATACTTTATATAATTAACAAAACAAATTAAACTAATTTATTAGTCATACTGAAATTGGCACAATCTATAATTTTTGTACTGAAAAGTTTTATATTAAAAGAAAGAAATAGTAAAAAGAAAGGTAACACTTGGCGCAAAATTAAAAAGGAACATTAGAAAATAAAGCTATAAATGGAAAATTTACGTTGTTTTTTCGATTTATCATTTTTATCATTTGAAATAATATAAATATATTATTATAGTATATTTAATTAAATTCATTCAGGTATACTATACTATACTATACTATACTATACATATATATATAAATATAACAAGCAAAGAAGATACAATCAATAAAATTAGGACACCCGTCTAATTCAGTTTTGCGCATTTATACCAACCAGTGACAAGAAATTAATTGATCAAAAATTATCGAAAACGATTGATCAAAAAATTATCAAAAAATTGATTGATTAAAAGCTATTGAATAATGCAATCGATTGGGGGAGAAAAGTATTTCATCGTTGAATAAATGTTTTATTTCAAAAAAAGCGATTCTTAATTTTTGCAAATTTCAATTTTTCTTTTTTGAAAAAGTATTTTGAATTAATTTTTGAAATACATATAATAAATATGGAAAGCAATAGATTAACATTTTATATTAAATTAGTTTATGATATGATTGGCTTATCTTTTAAGTGATAAGAAGAAATACAAGTAAATATTTCAGTGAGATAAAAATTTTTGATGAAATTTTCAATACTAATCATTTTACTACTTTTTTTCATCATTTCGATTTTTCATATTTTATCATTTTTTTTAATTCTTAAAAATATTATTGCTATAATAATAAATAAGATAACATTTAATATCACACTGATAATACCACTTATAATATAGAAGGGTGAAAATTGAATGCAAGGATTAGGGCATTGGGGTAAATTATCGATAATATGTAATTGTGGTGTGAATACATCTAAGGTATTTGATTCTAGGATAGATCGGGTACGACGTATTTCATTTTGCTCATGTTCACCATGTTCATGATTATGTACATGATTATGTACTAATTCTGGACAATTTGGTGGTGTTAATCCAATACAACCTGCGTCAAGTTTAAGACATAAAGTTATCTGAAATTTCAAATAGAGCTTATTACTATTATTGTTATTATTATTTGTTATTATTATTATTAATTATTGTTATTATTAGTATTATTATTTAAAATATAATAGTTATCTTTGATTATAAGTGACTTTCGTCAGACAGTGCATTTTGTTCAGAATATTAAGCGAAAGATTTTAGGCGGAAAAAATGAAAAGAAATATGAAAAGTGAAGAATGGTTGTTCTAGTCTTGAAGTTGTTGTTATATTTTAATAATCTGATTAATAGTTCATAAATTTTCGTTTCTCTTCTTAACATTTTAATCATTTGATGAACCTACCTGACACTGAAATTGTAATACAGGCCTATCGGCATATTTGAAAACATGATACGGCTTTGTTGCAAGTCTCAATGTTTCATCATAATCTGGGGTCATCAGTAGAACGGTATCCACTCCACATCTATAACAAAAAATTTCAATTTTTAATTGCAATTAAAAAAAGTGATAACATTATGATAAATCAATTAGCAGTATGTCTATCTTATTTGTTACTGTATTTTTCTTAATTATTTTGTTGTTGCTATCGTTTTCGTCTTTTAATTTCATTTTATTAACACTTGAAATATGTTACTGACAAAAATGAATTATCATACCCTGCATCATCCAGAATATCTACACGATCACCAAAACCATTATCAACATAGCATGAATGTACAAGCATTCCAAATGTATCAGCCTGATCATGACATTCCCAACGATGATAAACATGTTCGCCAAGTTGTGCATATTCAACAATTGGTCCATTCTGTGATCCGCGCCTGAGGGTATATTCACATCGCGGCATTTCATACATCTTTTCACGAAATTGTGTTGTGATCATGCTAAAAATTTGCCAAAGTATGTTTGAAACTGCGAGTTATTCATTTTTTCACAAATTTATACAATATCACAGCGAGCGCAAATGTCTCATATGGTCAAAAGATCTATTATATTACCATCTTTCATAATATATATTGTAGCTATTTCTTCACATATTTAATTCTTTTTTTAAAGCACTTAACTTCCATTATAAATATAGAAAACAACATTTTTTTACCGCATTGGCGTGTTCATCATAATATCAAATGTACCGAAATTAATAGCGCAATGATACATAACCCATAAGGATATTTTAACATTCCAAACATACCTGACCTCCATTGCTGCTGATACGGACTTATCAGCTTCCATATAAAAACATTGCACCTTTACCATTTGATCAACTTTAGTCATAAATCTGAAATATGATCATTTTTTAAATTTGAAAAATATTACAATAAGTTTTGAAATAATTGATGATAGCAGATAATTAATGAAAGACTACTAAACTATTACCATTAAAGCAACGAATAAAATTATCAAAATTACTTACAGCGCATGAAACATGAAGACAACTGTCATCTCAACAAAAATACCCCGCGGATTCAACTGAAAATATCAATGTAAACTAAATAAAGCGAGTGAGAGAAAAAAAAAGGAAAAATGAAATATGAAGCATTTTGATAAAATGATTTTAAATTATAAAAGATATGTATAAGAATTAGAAAATTAGGGAATATTTCATTTCAAATTAATTTCATAATTTCCTGAAAAGACAATGTTCACAAATTAATAAACAATTAAATTAGAAAAGTTATATGAAAATTTTAACTTACTGAGCGATATCGATGTATATTGCATTCGGTGAATGGAATAGTAATACCAATACTTCGAGCATCTGGAAATTCCTCGGGACCTGCTCGACATTCCTTTTTATGAAAATGATCCATAATGAAGACATATCCATCAAATGGATTCTTTGTTGATGCTCGTACTCCAATTCGATCCGGACCACAGATTATATCAGGTGTACCAGGTCCTATTCATCGCACTCATTTAGGCCAATAAATTAATTCTTATCAAGATATGTTAGATTTAGCGCAATTATGTATATTTCATTTAAATATATTGGATATCGAGAAATAGATTATATTATTCATATTCTAACTAATTCGTAGCTGTCATATACAGGCTTTCCCAAAATACGATAAATCCTTCTGAAGATTATTATTCATTTAAAAAGAAGTGCTTAAAATATTTTCAGAACATAAAAATAAATTTCGAAGAATAATTATTTGGATCATGATGCCTCGAAATAAAATTAGTGAATTTCAAAATAATTCGAAACTTCAAAAGCAAATTACAAACATACTAAATTCTGTCTTACACATATCCCAAGTAAGTGAATCTGCAAGAGTTTTGCTCAATTCATCGAATGATTCAACTGTAAGCACTCGTGCTGGATTTCCAGCTATCTGAAATTTCCGACAAAAATAAATCTTCGCATTCAATTTCATCATTTAATAATTAAATAATTAAAATGATGCGCAAAATTAGGATGGACTTTTGCAAGGAAATGATATGCACATACAATTGTTTAATCATTAATTAAAGTCCATCAGTAATTAATTACCTGATGTAACTGATGTACATTAACTAAATTCGTAACACCAATTGCATAAATCATCACATGAGCATTTCTTAATTGCTGTGCACTCTCGGCAACATTATCCTGAGACTGACCATCGGTTACTACTACTGCTACCTTTGGAATACCACCTCCTCGCGCATCCTCAAAATCGATCATAACATAAATTAATCAAAATAATGCTTTGTTGCAATATCTCTCGGGAAATATTCGAAAATTTATTATTATTAAACACTTCTATAATTATATAATACTAATGAATAAGAAAACTGATAATTATTATTATCATATGATAATCTTTAAAAATCCTAAACTTTAATCTATTTTCAAAAGACTTTTGATACCTGAAAACCACGTTCCAAGGTAAATTTAAGCGCAGCTCCCGTATTTGTTGCACCGGACAGATATTTAATCCGATGAATAGCCCATTCCATCTAAATAATTGTTTATTTTGAAAAATGCACAAAAATACTCAAACTAATTTTACATGGCTTTCTTTTGTGAAAGCCTAGATAGTGCCTAAAATAATATTATCTAATTTCATAAATATATCCAAAAAGCTCCCAATTAGGAAATTTTATCTAATAACATCTTATTACCGTATCTATTAATTGTAAAAGTACAACGAAATAAATTTAAGAAAATATATATACATCAATTAAACATGCAAAAGTTATTCAAAATCATTTATAATCTTAACGGTGGATAATTAACAGTTATTATCAATTAGAAAACTGATAATATTACAATAATATCACACGTACATTGATGATTGGAAGTTAAGCTATTACTATTGGAAGTTAGATTGAATTAAATGAGTGAGTTTTGGGTGACCTCAGTAGATTGACCTCTGGCATTCTTCATCATAATTCCAGCAATAACTTCATTTCTTTATAATAAATGCTTTTGACTTTCAACACAAAAAAAGAAATCGCTTTCTTATTTCAATTAATTGACTTAATTAAACTTTTCTAAATTCTATTAAAATTGGCAAAATTTCTCTATTCGATGGTATAAAGAAATAATAGTAAAATTACAGCAATGACAATTTTCTTCAACTTTAAAAATTTAAATATTTTTGAAAAGTTTATTGTCCCTTTTGTTAGATATTTATTTATTAACTATCCTTCAATTAATCAATTAATCAATTAATCAATTTATCCTTCAACTTTAGCATTCTTAACTGTTCTTCAACTAATCAATTTAGTATCCTTCAACTTGAGTATCCTTAACTATCCTTCAACTAATCAATTTAGTATCCTTCAACTTAAAGAAATTAGAGAATGAAATATGATGATACATGAAATATCGAATAATAGTAATAGTAAAGAAATAGAGGATGCTAAAAGCCCTTGCAATAAGAAAAGAGATTTATTGAACTTCTTGAATTTACTCACTTGAATTATGATAATATTTTTTTATGAAGTAAAAAATAAAATTAATGATTGATCTATGTTATGATTAAATGATAATCAATGACAATCATTGATAACATCAATCATCATTGGTAAATGATAACTGGTAATAAAAGAATGATAGATAATTTTTGCGCTCTCAAATAACTTCATCTTCATTCTGTCCAATTCATTTCATTTCTCATATTTATCATTTCGCAATTTATAAAACAGTAATCGTTAAAAAATGAAAATATCAAAAAATATTACATTCATAATTTTTTTTTGCACTATGTCATCAAAAAGAACGGAACCAACCAGCCAAAAGGAAAGATTGTTGACAGATACATACATAACTTTAATTAAACAATTTAAAAACTTTTTTTTTTTGCGCTTTTGAAGAATTTTTCTTTTTCTGACAATTTTATCATTTCTAATGAAAAGGAAGAAGAAGAGAAATTAGGTCGAATTTTTCTTAAATGATAAAATTTTTATCAGTTAAATATTTAATTCAATGATTTGAATATAAAAAAAAATGAAATGAAATATTATCAGTTCTTCAAAATAAAAAAAAATGCAATTATAATTAATTTTAAACTAAAATATTTAGTTAATTAATTAAACAAAAAGTACTATCACTAAATTGTTATTAGCGTAAAATTTGAATAATAATATTTATGAAGAAATAATAAAATTTTTTATTATCATTTTTGAGTTTATGAAATTATGAAATTTTCTCCAAATAGTTGGTTAGTTTATGAATTAAATTAATTTCCAGAACTATTAAAACAAATTATTTCATATTTATTGCATTGCTCAGCTATTGTTGTTTAACCGGATTCTATAACCGGAATGGCTAATGTGATAATAGTTATCAATGGTAATCCATCAGATGAAATGAAAGTAAAACTACCATTCCGAAATGTGTCAAAAATTCATTAAGATTAAAAAAAAGATCGAAGGAGAAAAAGAAACCTGATTGGAATGAGTATACTGATTAAGTGTAATTTCAAGTTGAGGATTTTCGGCATACTGAATGATACCCATTCGATTACCACCCTCCGTAATATTAATCCGTCGAAGAATATGAACCGCAAAGTCGAGCTATAATTAAATACGGTAAGTAAAAAGATTATATACTGAAATTATATTCGAATAACAGGAAATAATAATCTGATTGGTATGACAATTAATTCACATTTTGAAAAAGTATTGTTTTAATTTGCTTAAAATAAAATAAGAGAAAGAAATAGATATCAGAAGTAAAATTAATAAGCATAACTATTAATATAATATTTCTTCTTCTCTAGCATTTTATTGATAACACAAGAAGTACATATTTAAATTTTGATTTCAAAAATTTTAAATTGAATTCTTTTAAGATGAAAATCCCTCTTATATAGGAAATGAAAACTTACAAGCAATTCAAAAGTTTCATCACCAATAGAACCGGAACCATCCAATACAAGTATTAAATCAACGGTTTTATTTGTAACACAATCTGTTCATTTGTAGCATAATTTAATTCGATTTAAATAATTAAAGAATTGAATGAATAAATGGAAAATATAAGATTATTTCCTTTGTTTTTAAAGCTGATTATTAAAGGTAAATATCTTGAGAAATAGATTCAGTAATAATGTTCTTCGTGAAATTTAACAAATATTCATCACTATCATATATAAATTATTATAGTGATAATAACAGTGATAATAATATTCATGTGTATTAAGCGATAATTACGACAGATGCTATTAATTGGATTATCATATATTTTTGCATATGAATTGAAATCAATATGTTTAGTTTAGTTTATGAAACTGAATATAAAATACCAAATCCTTACCATTGATTATTTCAGCATCTATCAGAGAATTATCAATCGGTATAGCTTTTATATTACGTACTGAACTCTGTAAAAATAATTAATATAATTCGATTTTTTCAAAAAAAAAAATTAGAGGATAATTTTTTTATATTGTAAATTATAGTAATAATAATTAATTTAAGTATAAATATAATAATTAATTATTAACTTATTATTTATTAATTTAATATAAGAATAATTAATAATAATTGATTTAATACAGATATAATAATTGAATTTAATATAAATAAATTCAATTTATTGAAACTATTTAAAATAACCTACAATAACAATACCGGTCATAATAAAGAGCAAATTTTGTGAAAAGAATATTCCAGTGCCCCTTAACACCATCGCATTTCTACAAAAGTGAATAATCACAAGAATATGATAAGATAATAAGCTTGACGAAAAAAAAACTAAATCCGTGTAACACGTATATGTTAAGTGATATTTGCGAACGTAAAACGTGAAAATAACTATCATAAAATGACTATCAGCAACTGATAAATGATAATGATGGTGATATGATAATAGTAATAGTAAAAGACTGATATAATCACCCACAAACTGTAAATGTAATTACCCCGAATTACTCATAAGAATGATAATTCGTAATTCTGTAAGAGGAATAAATTATGAATGAGGCAAATTTTTTTTGTGTAATCTTCTCTTAATTACATCACTAATTAATTTGCAATCATTTTGCTTAGATAATAATTTGCAAACAAAAAAACAAACAAAATTTAATCAATGAACTAAATAAATTCAAATAGGTCTATGCTCCGAAAAATTTTTGACCTCATTAAAATCAATCAAATTTCACAGCAACATCATTCATTAACTTATCATTGATTTTATATCACTTACGCATGACATTATATGTTCCAATTTTATTATTATAAATAGATTAACGATAAATTATAGTTTTAAAAATTAATTTGCTTTTATTTTGAAATTTGATGGAAATTTTAACGTAATATAAAATTTGCAAAAAACATTTTACAGTACTTTCCGATGATAAAAGTTTACAGTACTTTTCGATGATAAAAACTTACAGTATTTTCGATGATATAATTCCTATGAGACATTTGTTAAAAATAAAATGTATCAGCAAGATTATATTTCAAAATTCTTAATGTTGCTAGATGAGGAATTTCTTCAGCTGTAATAATTTCTTTTACATCTTAATCATTCTCCTCCTTCAATCTGTCATAAAGAAAAATCTATTGAGCATTGATTCGAAGATAAGAGAATTAGGAACAGATTTAAAATTTTTAAATCCTTTTTTTCCCTTTTCAAATGATAAATGATAAATGATCTAGTGGATACATTATCTATCCCATGTAAGTAAATGACATATTTTGCATTCTGTAAATTTTCAAAATTCCAATCAATTTAAATTTCTGTTAATTTAAATTCTTAATCATGCATAAATCTCATTTAGCGAATATTTAGAAATGTATAAATATTTGAGGAGTAAAACAAAAGAATTTAAAATTGTCTTACATCAAGTGATAGTGAATGATTGAAGTGATAATAAATAGTTGAAGTGATAATGAATAATTGAAGTGATAATGAAACTTTGTAGAAATTGAAGTGATAATGAAATTTTGCAGAAATAATTTTGCGGAAATTACGATTACCTAACGAAATAAAGAAATAAGACATATATAAATATGAGTCATTTGAAATCATAAAATTATATTCAAAATTAAAATAATATTTATGAAAATTTTTTAGACCGAATTTTCTCTTATAATTCTGCAAATTTTATAATACAAAATCTATATATAATAGTTTATACAATAATTTAATCTTGATAATAAAATTGAGAACAAAATATCGTCCGTTGAAAAGGCATTATATCATTTACTGAAAAGGCCATTCTATTCGACATCTAAGCTTTTCTTCATCTTATTTTAATTTATTCAATTTTCTATTTTACGCTAGTGTGTTCCTGTTGAAAAGCAGGTTTCAAAAGAGCAGGTGGAAGAATTTTGAGAGTTCGGCATTTGTACAGTTTCGATTTTATAAATTTCACACAGGAAATTTCAGAAAAGGCTATATTCCTATATCGTCTATATCGCTCCCTAAAATAGGACATATTTTAGAATTTCCCACAAGTTTGAGTAAGAAAGAATTAAATTGTGAAATGGACAATAACAATAACATTTCTTTCCACAAATAACTCTTCCACTCTTTTATGCATACTTTAATTGCCGAATTAATTCATTTAAAATGAGACGATCAGATACGATAAAAATTATTCGACAATACCAAATGAAATAAATGTAATTTGCTAACTAAATTTTAGAACACAAAAAAGAACATTGATTTTTTTGAATTCACATTTTCATTAGGTAATGACAGTTTTTAATTTTAAAGATGTTTTAAAAGTATGTTATTTGATTTTAGTATGTAATTAAATGATAATAATATTAATAATTTTATTTTTCAGTAAAGAAAAAGATTTCAGGAATGTTCTCAAAATTATTCAACCTATACATTTTTAATAAAAAAGTTTGAAAAATATATTAGCAATGCTATTTCTTCATTAACAAAATTTTTTTTAATTCAAATGATAACTATGATTCAAGTGATAACTATAATTCAAGTGATAACTATGATTCAAGTGATAACTATGATTCAAGTGGTAATTATAATTCAAATGATAACTGTAATAAGTAATAATAGATAAAATAAGAAATGAATAATTTAAAGTGAAATTTTAAAATTTCAGATGTTAATATCCAAATGAGAATTCAATAATTTCAGATGGCTCATTTTATGAGGTCAAAATCATAAAAGGAAATGAACGTATTGTTTTAAGAAAAAAAGTAGAGGAATTTACTGATAGAGAGAAATAATAAGAAAATGAATAGAGTAACCAATTAGAAGTAAAATGATGAGGAGGAGAAAGGTAGTAAGAAGGAAAGAAAGAATAGAAATGATAAAGATCATCTATTAATTGGATTGGATTAGGTCAATGAGCATAAAACAAAATCTTTCCTTTTGATGAACAATTTGAAATGAGTGAAAGAGAGAAAGAAAGGCCTTCTGTTTGTAAAATACAATCAATTGATAACATTTCCATTTGAAGTTAAATAGAATTCACAGAATGGTTATGTATTATAGGCATGTGAGAGACATAAAAATTATAATTAATGAATTATTAAAATGCATTTAAATATTTCCATTTATTTATTGTTAATGAAAGTATGCAAAAAATACTTTTGTTTTATTAGAATTAAATTTAATTAATAAATTTTTACTTTTCTTGTCATTTAGGAATTGCATTTTTTGAAATTGCAAAAATTGCATTTTTGAAATTTTGTTTATACTCTTTAAAGTTTTTCAACAACAAATACTCTTTCAACAGGCTTTTCTTTCTTTACTATTTTTCTTATTAAATATTGAAAGGTAATGTTTTGAGTAATTGATTACTTTGGATGTAGGAAATCTTTGTATGATCGATCCCACATAGAAAGCCTTATGTTGAACAAAAAGTTGGGCAGAAAAGCCTTCTGAAAAAAAAGTGAGAAAAAGCCTTATACACATATATAATAATTCATCTTTAACTATAAATAAATATATATGTATCATTAAAAAAAGTCTCACAAAGATATACGGTACCTCGTTGAATTGTTAAAATTACTACTTGTGACAAATACATTTGTAATATCTTTTCTTTATCAAAATTATTATATAATTATATCATATCGCTGAGAATATTAAGAAACTATTGACAAATGGTAAAATAAGAAATATTTCGTTGATGAAAAATCAAATTATACAATTGAAGAAATCATTTTAGTGATTCTAATGAAATAATGGGCTGATGGAGTACGACAATTAAGTATTGTGAACTGATATTTTCGATAATTTCTTTTTGTGTGTCTAAATTTAATTTCTCTCTTTCTCTCTCCCTCTCTCTTTCTCTCTCTATCAACTGAAAAAGGATTTGTTGATGAATTAAAAAATAAGAGACTATTTGAGTAACTGTGAATGGTGAATTAAATGAGTGGAAAATGCAAAGTTAATGATTAAATGACGATAATCTTTTACGTTTTCTTTTCTAATGAATATTAGGGATAATCGAAGATTTCAATGATCACATATTTTTCGTTTGCTATAAAGATAATAATTTGTGCAAATTTATTAAAAGCTTTTTTTCAAAATTATTTTTAAGAGAAATTTCTAAATTCATTTTTGTATGGTACCACAAAATCTATTGCGAATGAAATATTTTGTTAATATCAATTGAAAAATGATAATGTAATTGTAGCAGCTATTTTTGAAATTATTTTTAGGAGAAATTTCTATTGCATGGTACCACAATATATGCGAATGAAATATGTTGTTAATACCAGTTGAAAAAATGGTAATGTAATTGTAGTAATAAGTAAAAGTAAGTAAGCCTGTTAAAAATAGTCTAAAAAATCGTGGTATATAGGCAAGAATTAATTTCATAGCTAAAAATGTCCACACAACAAATATCATACAATAAGATTCGGAAAAACTTGAAAATAAATGCCAGTCAGAAATTTTACAAAATCTATTTACTGCTAATCAAATGATTTTCAGCTGATGAAATTGATTCATTCATTACTTGAAAATATTTGAATGATTTCATGAAATCTCTCCTTGTAGAATTTCAAATTGAAGACACAACAAAATCTGATAATTTAGGAATGAGATATTTGATATTATCGACTTCTTCTTGCATATAATTTAAAATTCCATCCGATAGATTCCATGAAATTATCAAAACTTTTTCAACTAATGAATGAAACAATTTCGTGGTATGTCACAATTTTTATTGATACATTCAGGTATAACAAGAAATTTTAACGGATTCAAAGTAAATAAAAGAACATGAAAATATGTTGTTTTTTAAAAGAAGAAATTTTATCGCAATAATTTTCAAACCGAAAAATTAAGAACGGAATTGCTTGTATTATAGTTATCAGAGGTGATTTCCATACAGCAAAATTAAATGCTTTTAAATTAGCTAATAAGAGTGGCATCAATTATCTCTTACTGAAATATGATATAATTAAAGTTAAAATTACAGAAAATTAGCAAATTCAAATGATCATCAAAAAAATACAACTAGTAAAAATTGACCATATTATCTAGAATCTATTTGTGCCAGTTGAACACATCATCTAGAATCTATTTGTGGCAGAACTCCCTTTGCATGCAGATATTTTGAAACTTGACATCAACATCTGTCAATAATAATCTAAGGTATTCTTCATGTACACCGCCGTTATGCTCACACTTATTTTCTGATTTCTTTTTTTTTAAATAAATTCATTGTGTAGTAATTTTGGCAAAAGTTATTTTTGTTAAATTAAGATAAAACTTTTTTTTCAAAATCGTTAGATTAATTTCAACAATTTTCCAATAAAAATAACAAAAATCCTTCCTACAAATATTTCTAGGTCACCGAAATGCTGCGAAAATTCATTAGTTTATCATTCTAAGAAAAAAAAAACTAAACTCATAACAATCAATCATTATTTTACCCAACCTAAATATCATTGACAGCTGGAAGGAAACAAAGCTATCGATAATTTTTTCTTTGTTTTAATAATTCTAGTAATAATTATGATTTTGCTAATGTTTAAAGAAAGATGAGAAAATTTTCAAGTTTTTGTAAGGTGTAGTGCAACAGAGTTTAAAAAGAATAAAATTCAGGCTACTATCCCAATATCTCATATGTAGAGAGTGTGGTACACTGAAAAGAGTTAAGGATAGTAATTGAAAGAAATATAGATAAGTGAAATGGAAAACTGTGAATTAGGTGAAAGAGGTGGAAAATTTTAATTTGTTGAAACAAATAATAAGATAAAAGGTTACGTTATTAAAGCTTTTAAAACTTCAAATAAAAATTTTCTTGTTCATTTTTTCCTACAAAATTATAATGCATTAAATTTCTCACAGCTCTTTTTATTTTATTTATCCGACATAACCTCAAATAAAAGTAAATAAGAGAAGTTTGATTTCGGGTTTCATTTAACTGATTGATTGCAGTGATATCAGGTTTTTTTTTTCGGCACAAAAACTTGTTACTGATTGACCGACTGTTGCTGCCAACATATCACTGAAAACAATACCGCCATTTGAATATTTAAACGAAGATCCGGAAAAGATGAAAATTTACAACTACGATAAAAAGAAATGTGTTATATGACATCATATTTTCTAAGGTTTTACTTAACTGATTGATTACAGTGATATCAGGTTTTTTTTTTCATCATAAAAACTTGTTACTGACTGGCCGATCGTTACTGCCAATATCCCATTGAAAATAATACCGCTCACTAAAGCCATTTGAATATTTAAACGAAGATCCGGAAAGGATGAAAATTTACAACGACAAAAAATATGTATATAAAAAGAAATTTGCTAAATAAATAATCTAAAGCATGATGTCATACAATAGTATGGCATCATATTTTCTTAACCAAGTTTTAACCTCTTCGAAAATTTATTTCATCCTATCCAACGATCGCCAATTTCGCACCGCAATAAGATGATGAGTATACTATAGTAAATCACCTACACTTTAAGTAATTCTAGAGCATCATCAATTTATTATTAGGACTTAGTCTTTAATCATAAATAAAGCAACCTTTGACACTCCACGACAGCAGAAAAGGTTTCGAAATTTATTCTTAGATTAAAAAATAAGGAAAAAGCACTTATAAAATTCTTGTAGCAGCATGATAACAAATTAAGATTTTTTATAGGATGAAACTAATATAGACTAGATTCAACCGAGGGAAAGAGGGAAGAGGATAGAGAGGAGATTTGTTTATGTATACTTGTTTAAGTAATACTAAAATTAATAACTATTTTGGTAAATTGATGGCTAATCCAACCGATACAAATAGATAATACTAATCATGAAGGTATTGTGTTTACAGCATTGCCGGTTAAACTGTTAAGTGATCAGATCCCAGTGGTCAGTGGCCAAGCCTCCGTCACTCCTCGCCTTTACTTTTCACTTATCATGGGCATCATTGCATTGACTTCATCCTTAAATGCTCTTAATGGCCGCTGTATTTCCAGGCTCGGCCATTGAACAATTCGGTGAGATAAAGCGTGCTGCGCAAGGTGCGGTTGTAGTGAAGGGGTGAATGTTAAGATTTAGATTAAGAGGCTTGATCCCGGGCTTGCTATTTATGTTAACACCCTGATTGATTGGTAATAATACCTGGAAATATTTCGAAAGTCTGTGCACATCTGTACATTACAATGGCTTTCCCAATAAGTTGTCTAAGATACAGTAGTGATCTCACTTCGCCGGAAAATTTCAACTATCTTTATTGCTTTCCATTTTGACATATCAGAACTTGTCACTTTGTTTTTCGTCGATTGATCAGATTATAGCGATTATTTGTCCATATATTTCCGTCAAGAAGTAATGAAAATTGGGAAAAGAGGTAATGCAGAGAAAACACCGACTGTAGTCAAGAATTTTAAGGATGAAAACAGGCTCAGTATAATTTTGCTAAAGTAATTCTAATCGTTAGACATATATGCTACCGGAAAAAGAATGAGAGTACTGCTTAATTTGTGAATTTGTATAAGTTCAAGTAAAATTTGGTATTCGTTGTTTTTCATGTTTCACTCGTATTCTTGTTTGGTTAGCAGCACTTCTCTTTTAAAGAGCTCCGCTCTTTTCTAAAAGTATATGCGCACATTCATTTAAAGCATCAAAAGCTATTATCTTCTGTAAATTTGTGACATTTCAAGGAATACTGATGATATTTTGATATGATACAATGTAAGTGGATACTATGATGATAATCATCATTACAGACTGATCTGAAGTTTTGCCATATATGTACGGGAAATTTTCACCATAGAAGTTGATATTTTATGATTTTCAAGAATTCACTTCTGATATTAGTTAGTGGCTTTTGTCATCTGATTTAGTAATCCCTCAAATCCTTAACTGTTTTACTCTTCTTAGCATTTCGCTTAAATTTCAACATTTGCTTTTATAAAAGACATCTGTTAGTCAGTCGGTTTTTCTTCATATGTCATCTTGCTTGTAATAAAATAATGAGCAAGCTGTTGTAATAGAATAAATATTTTGAAAGAATCTGTCACATTGATTTGTTGACCTGAAAGCTTTCGATATTGGTAATTCATATCCACTCTTTTTTCTGTCGGAGGTTGAAAATTTTTCTAGGAAAACATTAGGACTTTTCCAAATTTGTATCAAGTGCAACTTTTTTTAAATTGTTCAATCTGATTATCTCTTAAGTTTTTGCAAACACATTCTTAATCGTTTGTCTAATTCCTTCTTTTAATTTTCAAACTTTTTTCTCAGTCAAACTCCGTGAAATTTTTTATGTTTATCGATATTATTTTGGCTGGTTATTGTGTAATATGTAGTATTCAAGTATTCTCAGTTAGTAAAGTTCAAATAAGGTATTTGATTTTAGGAAATTGGGTACATATATGCTTTAATTATCAAGTTTGCCTAGCTATTATTTAGTCTTTCCTTTTGGCAACAAAACTTAAATCAAACTTTAAGAAGTACTCTAGGCTATTGAGTTAATTGCAAATGAATAATTGTAAGACATATCTTCCATAAGAAGTAGGGTTTTCCAAAAAACACTCATTTAGAAGTTTCAGAGGAATACTTAAAAGTATTCGGACTTAAAACCTTTTTCTTACACTGATTATCATTCACCAAAAACTTTGCAAACTTGAATACATTGCATTATTGTTGTGTTCCTATAGTTAAGTGCTAGAATTGCAATGATTACCAAATCATATTTTGGGGATTCCACTACTCTTAAACATAAATATTTTTTGTCACCAGTATTGTTACAATTTTTGTTGTCACTAATACGTAAATCTGATACTTTTACGATTTTTCTGGAACGATTTCTACCTTTCTAAGGTTTTTGACCAAAAGCGGGATTAATATTCTTTATGTTCTATTCTCATAGAGGCACCTTAAGAATTTATTTTTGCAGTCTCCGGCACTGTGATATCTGATATAATAAGTCGGATTTGGATAAATTTCTTCTCTTTTAAATAAAATCATGAAACCGTTCCACTTAAATTTTGATATTATTGAAGTCAAAAGATCGGGAAAATAAGGATCGTTTGGGTGAACAGATAAAGTATCACCAAAGCAGTTTCTCTCACATATTTTTGCTTGTTCAGTAGATAGAAAAAAACAAAGTCATAGAGAGGAAAAAACAAAATCTCATATGAAACGTGTGTAGATACAGACACATTTGTATAATTAATTAAGATGTTTGTAATAATATTATTGCAGATGTTGGAAGAGTACAGCAGTGAATTATCGCAACAACGTGCTGGTGGTATGGAAAATTCCCAGACAACTTCGGGAACGTGTGGGTCAGGTAGCAATAGCGTCTTATGTCGGCATCTGGATGGTGCTGTTTACATATCAGCTTGTGCTACGAAAATGGATACCATTGTTTTTATGCATAAATGGAGCGTTACACAATTTTCGGTGCAACAAGAATTGTCATCACCGGGTGATTTCATTGAGTCGAAGTTAGTATTAAGAATATAATTTAGTATTATTTAGTAGATTCAATGTCACTGCTAAGGTTCTGTGCAGGTATAAGAGCCATTGCTATAAAAATTAATTTTTTTTTCTATGCAACTTTCACTTGATATGATTCAGAAAAGTTTTTTGTCGGGATTTTTGACGCGAGATACATAATTTAAATTTTTAAGTTTGCTTGAAAACTGCAGAAATCGCTTAGCATTGAACATAAGTTATTGACAAGTCAAGGACTGTTGCTTATAAAGTTTTACATCCTCTACACTGTACTTTATGCTCACTTGACTCTACATGGCGCGATACATTGTTAGCTGTTTCTGATTTTTGATCTAGAGCATCTTGCTATTGAGTATACTAACGTGTTTGAGCAATATTTTTCAACAATATGTATAATGCATTTAGTAAATCAAATTCTTCAGCATATTCGGCTCTACGGACTATGATTATCGATTCCGGCTTAAACTATTTCCGTGCGGTAAAGATGAAGAATGTCGAGGATATCTTTCCTTATTTCTTCAAATTTTCAGTAAGTGTATGAATCGCTTTAGGTAAGTTAGATTTAGCATTAGTACTTTAAAGACAAGAAAATCGTAAATCGCACCTATTTTGAAAGAATTACAGAAAAAATTTGCTTACAATAATGAGATCTTTCAGCGCTGAAGTTTTTATTATACCGCTGTTACGTTTAATAAAATCTTCAGCTGTACTTCAGAATGCCCATCTGCAAAGCTCCGTTTTCGAGTAAACTTCTACATTGAAGCTGCGGATGGTCCGCGAGGGTGTGCACTGAATAAAAATGTTGTCACTATCAATCGCGGTGGAATTGTTACTGCGTCAAAATTCTTTTCCACTGAGACTTTAAAGGTTTCTTTATAAAGTTTTGCAAAGCATAACTTCATTTATTTTTCTTCATTATGTTCGTTACGTTTAGATAATTCCTCGATAGTCGTACCAGTAAGTCTGGATTGGGAACTTAACTAGTATGCACAACCAGAAAAATAGTAATGGTTTTTTGACATTTTTCATTAATCTTATTTCAATAACAGCTCTCAGTTTTGCATTTTTGCAGAGCCGTGTTGCTAAATTCTTACCGGATGATGTCTTAACTGTTGGTGTGGAGTTAACTGTATACGGGGACCATAACTGCACTGATTTCGAACCTGATCTGGATGTGTTTTGCGGGAATAATGATTCTTCGGGATCCGGAATCACCTTGGGCATTAGTGATGAAGTTAAGACGCGCCTTGATCCACATTTTATTGGTAGGTTCTGTGAATTCAGTGTACGTATTATCGAGCAAAATTTTTCGTTTCGCTGCTGCTTAGTTTGCTTAAATAGTTTTTTCTAATCTAGGATTACCTGAAAACATTCATCTTTAAGCTATTGCTGCTACTTTGCGATCCTCAGAATGGCATATTTTATTGCGATTTATAATATATGAATCAGTACACGCCCGAAATTTTCTTCGGCTCAAAAAACTCCCAGTTGTTTTTAGTTTTCGTTGCTTGATCATTTCAGGATGCGATTTGGGACAGTTATTGGATAGTGGCGACTTTTCAGATTTCACACTTCGTGTAGGTCAACATTCCTTTAAATGTCACAAAGCAATCCTTTCAGCGCGATCACCTTTTTTCCAGGCAATGTTCAGAGACCAGAATAATCAAGAAAGTTTGAGTGGAGAGGTCTGTTTACTTTAATTTCGTGACATTGATTGTTTCCTTAGCAATATCTTTGTTCGTTTAAAAAATGACTTAATCATTTAGGTAAATTTGGAAGATATAACCCCAGAAACGATGGCATGTGTTCTGGAATACATTTACAAGGATAATTGTTCGGAATCATCAAAGCGAACGCTGGATATCTTAGCTGCTGCAGACCGGTTTTTTTCTTTTTTAAAGCATTCTTTTTCTCAAGACGTGATTTTGTTCTTATTTTCCCACTACAACTTTGTGACACATTAAATTAAATAGGTTTTTTTAGATTCTGTCTAGACCGTTTGAAGAATCTTTGCCAGGAAGTCCTGGTAAAAGACCTGTCACCCAGCAATTTTTGTGAACGTCTTCGAGCTGCTGATATGTATAATGCGTCCATCTTGAAATGGAAGATTTTGAATTTGTTGCAAAAGCATCGCAACTACATTATCGATAATGAGGTATATCGCATTTTTATCCCATATGTTTTGTTTTTTGAGGAAGATCCATATTACTATGGACTGCATAATTGATCTTCAAATAATTTAATAATTTCAACCAAGCCTGCGTGCTGTTATTGAAACTAAAAATTGTGTCATGTACCTTTGTGCTTACAATGCACTGTCTTTAGGACTGGGTCGCACTGGAAAACGAATGCCCGTATTTGGCAGCAACGGTTGCAAGGCATATGTTGTCCACTGACAGTGTCGGCAATACATTATCAAATTCCACTACCAACATGAGTAATTCAAATCAGCATATTAAAGGAATATTGGTCAAAAGACCACGACTGGACTAATTCCATTTGCTTATTAGACATTATTTTGAATTTCATTTGAAATGAGTTTCTAATTTTATTTGAATCATTACAGAAAGTAATGTTAGAAGTAATGTGCTGCAATGAAGTTTTTCTTGTCAGCATTATCATTTTCTAAAATTGTAACTAATGAATATATTGTAGTGCATACTTATGAATGACACAAGACGACGTACCTACATTTAAGTTGTAAGTTCCCGCGTTAGAATGAGAAGTTTATCTTATTTTCTACTTTTAGTTTTGTATTATTTAGGAATGAATTTTCAGTGCTTTCTGTGTTGGGTTTTGTGTTTCTTTATTTTCATGGAAGCATTTTCATAAAAGTTAAGTTGAAGTCATTTAGAAGTAAGGTTAAAGCAGTTAGAGCGATCAAGGCTGAGAAAATATGTTTAATAGTTATTAGAATTTAAATTAATACTAAATTGATGTAAAAAATTCTTTAGATATCTAAATGCTTTTATTTCATGTGTCTCGATGGTTTCTTATCAGATTTTTCTGGGTAGCAAGATTTCGTTACATGTTTATATATATTTAAGCTTCTTTCTTTGTGCTTATCATATATATTCGTTTGCTGGTCAGTTTGTTAAGTCTTCGGTTTTGTCGAAATCATGAATGTTTGTGATATTGTGTTGTAATGGCACGTTTAATTTAGGATATAACTACATTTGGTATTTTTTTCGTTGGAAAAGCTTGAATAAGAGATATTTAGATTTTTTTATTTTGTCCCAGATATTTTCAAATTTGATCTGTTTCATATTTAGATTTTTTTATTTTGTCCCAGATATTTTCAAATTTGATCTGTTTCATCAAAAATTCGAATTAGACCACATCAGATCTTTTTTCAGTTTTGGGCTTCATTTTTAAAAGGTCCTACTAAATTTTATTTTTGCACGTCGTCTTATTCGAGCTACATCAGATATCTCTATAAAGTTTCTTGATAGATAATTTTGTAACAGAAGGTGAAATACTGTGTGGGATATTGTTACTCTATTTAAAGTCTTTTGCATAATTATTTTTGTTCAGCCCTTTGTTTGCCCTACACGTTTTTTGCGTTTTGAATCCTTTCAGGTTGCACGCGAAGTCATATGACGTAGATCTTAAGAAAGATGTAGAGTGAATGTATTGCACGCATGAATCACAAATCATTGCTTATCTTTACTTCTCTTCATAATTGTAAATAATTTATATGTATTCTGAAACGTTGCCGGTGGAAATTTTATTCTTTTATAAAAGAGTTGGAGATAAATTATATAAACATAACACAACTGCATAAAAACATAAAATAATGCAAGTTGGATAAAAAATTAATGAAATGAACAGCGTATATTCTAAAGAAAATTTAACATTAAGGTAAGAGATTTTTTAAAATGTCTTTAGGTATGCGAGATAAGGCAGAAAAAAGTTATTTGAAAAATTTAACACATACAACGTTTAATTGATTTTACCTTCTTAGCTTATAATTATTGATACATTAATATATCGCTTACTGCCAATACTTAACATTAAGGTTTTCTATTGTAATACATTATGGATGATGCTTGCTTTACATTTATATATCTGATATAATGCCCAACGATCTGCAATTCATGAATCCGATAATATTCCGAAAAGTATTTAAACGATAAGATGAGAATAACAAATTAGTTTAAGTAATTAGGCTTTTTTTTTGTCTTAAATTTGATTAAACATGAAAAATTAATAATTCTCTAAAATTTCGTTGTAAAATATTAGAAAAAACAATAATCATACCATTCTAAAATAATGTTCAGAAAAGTATTTAAATGATACAATGAGAATAATAAATTAGTTAAAGAATAAAAAATCATCTCTTTCATCAATCGTACTGATTGATCATTATCACAAATATTTTACAACGGCAAAATAAACGAACGATAATACTGACTGACGAATGTGATATATGATTCGGGTCAATTGTTAAATATCCTCGCGCTATTGTCATTCATTTAATCGAGACCTAATACAGCACACAGCAGAGCACATCTCATCACAAATCTTCAACATATTTTAATGAATTAGAGAGAAAAAGGGAAATAAAGATTTTCTCTATCAACCTTTTTAATAACAATTAACAACAATCATTCGTTTGAAAAATTCTTCAATCTTTCAATACATACAATTTTCCCATTTCGTGGTACATTTATTTTCAACGAAAAATTTCTTCCTAAATTATTTACAACTCTCTTTTTCTTTTTCCTTCTTCTGCTTTTTAAATGGATTACTTTTTGTTGAATTTTTACTTTTCATTTTGATAGTATAATTTGGGTAATTAAAAAATTTTTTATAGTATCATAATTTTTGCATATTTAGATATGAAGGCATGCCTATGTTTTTGCTTTCTTACGCTCATATCCATAATGCAATGCCTAAATATGAAACGTGAATTCGATGGTACAAATTCAATGGATCAGAATAAAAAGTATGAATGTTTTAAATTTTAAATTTCATTTATTCATTAGTATAGGATATATCGTCTGGTTTGATGATAATAAATGATGGAAAAATTTTTTATGTTTCGTATAGCACCGTAAGAAGGGTGGTAATACAAGGTGTAACAAAGCGATCACTTGATCATGAAAAGAAATTGGAAATGATTTTTATTGGATTAAATGATTGCAAAAATTAAGAGTTGTTTGTTTATAAATAACTTAAGCTTAAGAATTTTTAAATTTCAAAAAGTTTGAAATTTTCATTCTCTTCAAAAAAATGAAAATATACAGTACGGAGAAAGAGCGTAAGATGGATTTTGCAAGCAATTTTCCAACGAAAATTACTGCAAACGAAGCTAAAGATACTAAATATAAAAATGACGAATATTCGGCCAATTATAAAAAAGTAAGTTTAACTTACTCTTTTATCTATTCAATAAAAATTAAATCAAATTTTTAAAAAATAAAAATTTACGATTAATTCATAGGGCGGCTGTCTTTTTTTATCTCTTTACAAAGACAATAGCGCTCAATGAATGCTTTCAATAATAATCTTTGAAAGGTCACAAAATGAATTAAAATTGTACAAAATTTTAGCTCTCTGCTACTGAAAAAGTTGTATCAATGAACGTGACCCAACAACGTGACCCGATCATTATTGGTAAACCGGATCTAAGTATGTATAACTATTCAAAACACTCATTTCTAATAATCTGCAATTCCGGATCTTTTCAAATTCTGTGAAAAACATTTCATTTTGCATCAATATTTTATATCATATATATATAAGAATGTTTGATAATCATTTCAGGTGATGTATGCTTTCGAGTTTACAACGAATGCATTGTTGTTAATGCGCAACCGTATGAACGACGATCTAACATGCAATTAGACGAATGCAAGCAACGATGCATGCAATCACAAAATGACGCTTACAGTTGTCGTTCATTGGTGTATGATATTACTAATAAGGTAGCATTTTCAAGTTTTCATAAAATGTTAATTTCATGAACTTTTAAAATTTGTGTATTTTATAATCTTAAATTCGAAATATGAAATAACCTTTTTCCATGTATATATATATATTGAATTTAGAAGCAAGGATCCAGAAGAAATCCTCATACCATAAGAAATTTGAAATTTTTTAAATTAACTTATTTTTAGGTTTGTGATTTTTTTACTCACCAAGGTGATCAGCCACCTTCAAAGTAAGTTTTCCTTTCAATATTCTTTTGCGATATACAATCATACTGAGTATGCTCATATCAATCTCAATATAATTCCATTACTTGTGGTTATGCTCATATCAATTTCAATATTGTTCGTATCAATCTCAGTATAATTCCAATAGTTTTAAATGCTCATATCAATCTATGCTCGTATCAATTTAGCTCATATCAATACTGATATCAATATATGCTCATGTTAATATCAGTATAATGACAACCCAATATTCATAGCTTCCTCTTTACTCGTAGATTTTTAGCGTAATAGTAAATTTGAATTTGAAATTTAATATGTAATTTAAACTTCCTTAAAATTTTATATTTCACTTTTCTCTTTTTATAGACTACTCAAATACTATGAACATTCATATTTGGAGCCAACTTTTGTTAATGGATGTGATTTGAAATATGCAAAGAGGATGAAGACGAGAGAAACAGATTCTACAGGCTTATCATTAATTCATTAATTTCAGAAAAGAAGAACTTCATTTTACAACTGATTAAATTAAATGAAAGTATTTTTGTTGTTGATAATTAAATTTAAATTTCTAGACAAAACGATAAACAATGCAATGCTGTTGAATGATTTAACTAAAGAAGATAGAAATCAAGAAAGTTGTGAAGAAGGGAAAGTTGTCAAATATCTGCGAACTCAAGGATTTAAATTTGATAGCGATAATCGGATAAATTTAAAAGCTTATAATTTGGATAGATGCATTGATGCATGTACCAACAATATCGTATGTTCATTTCATTTTTTAATTTCAGTATATGCGAATTAAACATTCCCTAAATCAAATTTTCTAACTTAACTTAAGCTAAGTTAAAATTTATTATTTTGAAAAATAGAACTAAACTTTTTAATTGAATAAATTTTTGGATTTAATTAGTTTAATTAATGATTTAATGATCAATTGAACTAATTAAATCCATTAAATCAATTAAACTAATTAAATCCAGAAATTTATTCAGAAAAATGAGCAAGGTTTTGCTTACACAAAAAGAAAATTTCAATTATTAATATTTTTTCAAAAGTTTATTTCTTAAAAAAAAAGGACCTTAAAATTATCACTTATTCTTTCATCATTGATAATTAAAATGAAATTTTAATAGGATGATAAAAGGCGTCCTTTTCGATGTCGTTCTTTCGATTATGACGAAAATGGTTGTAATTTAATTGGCGAAGTAGCAACACGACGTGGTAGCAGACAGCTAAAACAAAATTCTATCTCTAATTATTATGAAAAAATTTGTATTGATGATGATTTAATGAGGTAATTATTTTCAACATTTTATCTTATCTTTTTCTAGCATTCAAAAAAATATCTCTTTTCATCTTTTTTTGTTCTTTTCTAATCTTCAAATTTAAATTTCAGTAATATTTTCAGCAGTGATTGTCAAAGTATAAATCGTTTCCCACAAATGATATTAATTGGATTTGCGGAAGCAGTTATTACAACACAAACATTTATGGGATGTTTTGAAAATTGCTTAAAATCACGACAATTATTTGCAATGAATTGTACCAGTGCTGTATATTTCTATGAGGTAAAAAAGAATATTAACTATATTTATCATAAACAAATTTCAATAGTTAATCATAAATTAAATGTAAATAAAATAGTTATATTATCAAATAGAAGAAAAAGAAAATGAAATTTTTCAAAATTAAATTTTCAGGAATTGGAGCAAAATTGTATTTTAAACAGTGAAAATAGACAGACGCAAAAGAATCTTTTTGTGGAAGAGAATGCTGATATTGTTGATTATTTCGAAATAAATTGTCCATTAAGAAAACAAAAGAAAATCATTGATGATTTAATATTTAAAAGTTAATTGATAATAAATTATTTGATATTTTTGAATGTTAATTCAATTTTTCTTTTTCATCAAAATTAAAAGTTCCCTTTTTGCATTGAGGATAAAATAAATCATTTTTAATTTGTAATCGTTTCAATGGAAATCCTCAATGATCGATTGGCCTATCGATTGGTCGGTTGACCTATCGATTTTTTGGTTGACCTATCGATTGATCGATTGACCGATTGATCTTTTTATTTCTATTGAATTTAATGAACGAAGAATTATTGCTGCTATTGCTTTTTTGATATATTTTCCAGTTAATCTCAATCGATCAACTAATCTTCGAAGAAATTTGATTTGAACTATTATTATTAGAATATTTCATGAAGCCGGCTTACATGATATGCATAAAAAAGATAAATAGAAAATAATTTTTTTCTTCGAAATATAATATCCAGCATCAGTGAAAGAATAGGTTAGCCACAAGGTTAGTTTTAAAGTAGTGTACGTCGTGATTTGTATGGTTTACTGCTATCATCAGGATTTTCAAAATCGGTTTTTCCGAATCCTCCGCTCTCTTCATCGCTCTTAGATTGCACCTCTTCCGTTTTGCTTTCCCTATCATCATTTTTTCCAGAACCAGGACGTAGTCGATGTTCACGCGCCGGACATGGACAGTACTAAAATCATCAGATTTCATAGACTATAAAATTTAGTCCGCAGGACAACGGCATAAACTGTTATGAGTTGTTGTGGATTGAGAGTATGAAAAAACTTTAAAATCAAATTTAAAATAAATTTTAATGAGCAACTCAATTTATCTCGTTTTTTTATTTTAAAATCAACTGAACCAACCTCAGCATCTTTACCGGAATTTCCGGGTGGACCTTCTGGACCTTCTTCACCGTCACTTCCCTGTGGCCCTTGAAAACCTGGATGTCCTACAGGCCCTTGAGGACCTGGTTCTCCTGGTGGTGCATCTTTGCCTTTGTCTCCAGGTGGTCCTTCAGGGCCCTGGTCACCCGGTGGACCACGATTGCCTTTCCGTCCAACAACTTTTTCAGCATCAGCGCCCTTTTCTCCTGGCTCCCCAGGCTTACCATCCAATCCTACAAATCAAATCTAGTACTGCTAGAAATTAACACTTCGAAAACTTGCAAAAATTATAAATTACGGAAGAAAAAAAAAATACCTGGTGGTCCTGGTGGACCAATATCGCCTGGTGGTCCTGGATTTCCATCACGGCCCGGAAAACCTGGTGTGCCTTTTGGTCCACGTTGTCCACGGATGCCCGTCCGGCCGGGTGGTCCTGGAGGACCTGGTGGACCTTCCGGACAACTGAAACATCCAGATGGACCTTCTTGTTGAACATCTTCTGCATCAATCCCATCAATACCATCTTTACCAGGGATTCCATTTTCACCATCAACACCTTTTTCACCTTTCGGTCCTGGTGGACCTGGTGGGCAAGTGTTTTTCAAACTGCACACTAAAATTTGGCAATGAAATCTCTTAGAAAAAGTTCAATTTCAATAAATACGACCACTCCATCAAGTCTTCGTTTTCGCCAACTAAAAGTCCATATTTAACTAATTTGGAAATACATATTTTATAATCTATTTCAAATTCAGATATCTCAAAATTCAAAGTTTTACGGAACTTTTTCATAAATGGTTTAGGAGAGTATGAAAAGGCAAATTTTCAGCTTTAAATTTCAAAATGAGAAAGAGAATTGAAAATGAAAATATAGAAAACATACTGCACCATCCATTTTCCGTAAAACCTGGAGGTATAAAAGAACCGCCGAATGATTGAAATTGCTGTCCAGTCTGGCCTCCTGAACTACCATAACGAATCGGTGAGACAAAAAGTCCGTTACCAGGTTTCCCATGAATATTATCGTCAGTATTCATTATTGTTGGTGCAGTAGTTGGTGCAAGACCTTTTAAATAAATTTTGATATCGGATCTTCCCGCATTATTATGGTTTACTTTACTGGGCATTACTAATTATCATTTTGCAAAATTTCATATATGATATTATGAATAAAAATTATTGCAATAATACAAAATATGAAAAAAAATTTCAATCTTAAGATTGAATTTAATCTTAAGATTGAATTTATATAATATTTTAGAACGGAAATATTGTCACAGTCTAATTTTTAACTTAAGTTGTATTTTGAAATTTCATCAATTTCCCGAATATCTTTTAACGTTTGCGCGAAGATCACAACTTTCTCCCAACAAAACATTTCTTCTCATTTTACCTTTACCTTTTATTACTTTTTGTGAAAAGAAAAAGATCACCTTCTTGTGAAATCACATTATATGGATTGTTATAACGTTCGTTGACTATCATTGGTGGTATGTCACCACCATAATTTCCTCCACCAGAATTATATCCATTACTACCATTATCACCACTGGTATCTCCTGTTAAGCTACCATAATTGCTGCCACTATTACTGCTTGATGGACTATTGTAATTGTTGCTATTAGCGCCATTAGAATTTTCATAACCATCACCGCTACCACTATCACTTGTTTTACTTTTATCATAGATATTAGAGCTAGCCTGACGACGTAAACGATTTGAGGGTGTACCAGCGCCAAGACCAATCATTTCTTTCCACAAATCATCCGTTTTAATCTAAATAAAAATGATCGATTGCTTTGTTCCAACATTTTCTGATGTCGAAAAAATTTTTAATTAGTAATTACTAGAAAATTGAATGGGAAAAAGTCTTAAACCTTAAAAGAAACAATTTCTGAATCTAATTCAGTCCAAATTGATGTAACATCATTGTGTATTGTTGCAATTGCAAATAAACAAATGAGAAGTGTTGCACCGGAAACAATAATTGCTCCAAGTGTTGCACTTTCCACCGACATATTCACCTGTCCGTTTTATTACTTTATAAAAAATTTATTTCCTTTCAAATACCTTAACAAATTAATTTGAAATTAAAATAAATTAGCAACAGGTAGGAATAGTTATCAGCAGATCGACATAATCAACATAATTGTACCAATCACTAAAATTACAGTTCATGACACATTATCATTATCATTTACTTACAACGATTATAATTGCACTAATTAATGCTCCTAATAAAGATAGTTAAGATAGTTATGCATATTATATTAATGGGTTATGTAAAATTAAAAAATGTAGCAGAAATTGGTGTGTGCATGAAATCTATTTCCTGTCGTACCTTTATAATTTATTCAATAGGATGCTTAAGGTATTTGTTGGTATAATGAATATCTTAGTGAAAGTAAGTTAAGTGATACTGTTGCATATGTAATTACTAATCATTGATATAAAATGGTTGGGCAAATGAATAACCTTCCACATTAACAAATCAGAATATCACTGTGAAAAATGCATTTTCTTTGTTAGTCAATGCCCAAAATTGTTCATTAAAAAAGACCAAAGAAAATTGGTACAAAGAAATCGGAACGAATTGGTTAATTTGGGTTAAATGAAACGCTTTTATGGGAATAACGAATCCGCCCCTGTCACAAACCAAATGTCCACTGCCAGGAAATATACACAGAAATGTTTAGAGCAGCAGCAATTTTTTTATCAATACATCTACAAATTCTCCGAAAATCAAATCTTTCGTCTTTGAGAATTTAATATATAAATTGCGAGACAGTACTGAGACATTAAAATTTTTATTCGCAATTCCATTATCTTAATCGAGACAATGAAAAGAGAGATGTTGCATTGACTATTTACAACATCAATCATCAGGTGAGTGCTCCAAATCTTAAATACAAAAAGCATCATTTTACCGAATTAATTTCATAAACAAGTTGAGTCCTTCCATTTGTTTAAAACTGTCGTTACGGTTAAGACCTTTTCTGGCGAAATTAAAATTTAACGAAATGTGCACATACGAAAAATCATATGATCATATATTCTTTCTATCGATCTTAATATCATTAATCCTCAATATCGTCGTTTCACGACTCATCCCTGAAAGAAGTGAAAATAAAAAGTTGATCTACAAATTTGAAAATTTAAGGAATTTTTTAAAAAGATTTCATTGACGGAAGAGTTTATTTACTAAGTGTAAAAAACAATAATCATAAAATCCCATTCTAATGAGAACTTACAGTTAAGATTTCGCACTTTTGAATGATTGATCATCAGATATCTGAGCTGAGGATAAGATGTCGTTTTTTCAACAACAGTGGCATTAACTGTTACTATTGTTGAATGTATCAGTGGTCGACCAAATAATGTGAAATTTTTACCGCCAACTGCTAAAATCTAAAAATTAAAATACCTCATCAAAATTTCTGGAAGATTTTGGTCACATTGTACGTACGAGAAACAGATTAAATCTAATTCTATCATATATACGCTACAAATATTGAAGATCTTATATGAAATGTACACAGCTTAGAAATAATTACTAACCGGGCCAAATATTTTACTGCTTGTTATAAAATGTCATCATTTATTCTTAATATTTCAACTGTGAAAACATCTCATTGATTTCTTCACTGCAGAAGTAATATGAAGTAGTGTAAAAATTAACTGAATAAAATTAATAAAAAAAAGCGATGCAAATCTACCATTTAACAGAATAAAACATAACAATGAAAGTAGCACAAAGTTTTTCTTTTCACATACTCCAAAACGGAATTATTTATATCTATCAACACTTCAGAAGCCTCTAAATTTTAAAAAGTTTTTAGAAGCAACCTTCTCCAATTTGATTTTGTCACCAACATCCAAAGGCACATTATCGTATAAAACAATTAAATCGTTCTCCGACACTTTGAATTGACGTTTATTAATATACACAACTGCAAAAAGGCGGGCATCTTTTTGCTTCCATTCCTGTTCGATAGCATTCACGACCTTAATAGAAATATTCAAATTATTAATTAATGTGATGTTCATAAGTTCATATTGCAAAATTAAACATGTAGCAAGGCTAAAAATTCACAAAAGTGATTAAAACTTGACCTTAAATTAACATTTATAAGTACACAAATTCAGTTTTAATGATAGCAAAGGAAAAATCAAGCAAATCTCAATAATTACGGAATTACCTTTTCCATTTTATGTGCACCAACAATCTCCGCTCTAATAGCTGTACTTGCCTGTCTCATCAGCAATTTGCATGATCCAAGCAGAGGAATGACCATGACTAAACTTATAAAAATTCGATAGATTACACTAATCGCTGGTTAGGTGCATCAGTTTCCTTACTACTTTCACATCATATATTAGAATGTATTTATATGTTAGAAAGTATTTCTTGTGTAAAATGAATATTTATATAACAAACATGAAGGCAGGTTTTTAATATACATTCATTATACTGAAAACAGAAAAATCAATGCTATCAGCGAGAAAATCACCACTAATCCGAATAGAGATTTGAAGTGAAACATCTATTTTTAGAAGCTAATGCATTTCTTTGATTAAACTAATAATAATCTAACCACAATCATGCGATACATCATGCGATCCTTGTCATCAACTCGTATATACAGAACAACAAATATAAGTAATTTCTAAATTTTTATTAAATTTTCAGCAAATACGAACAAATTAAATTTTCGAAAAATACGAACATCTCAAATCATAAACTAACATTTTACAAGAAAACAGTAAAAAGTCATGAACATTTGGCAAGTATATCCTGCTAAGTGGTGCTCTCCTAACGAAGCATAAAACAAATTAGAGAACTATCGGAAACAACAGAGCCACAGGTTTGGCAGTAGAGCATTATTTAGCTTTTCATCTCACTTCAGTAAGACAAGCTCTTTAGACCAAAATACACACAAATTGATCAGCTTGCTTTTATTAAAGATGCTTCGAAAGAATTTTGCCCAAGAGATAAATCTTAAATTTCTGGTTTGAAAAATGTCAAAGTGTGGATTCAAAAAACATTCAAGTCACAAGCAATAAAAACATGTTTAATCTTACAATTTGTGATACAGTTCTTAATTTTTGACAGACCTATTGAGATTTGAAAAAGAAAGCTCAAACAGAAGGCATTGAGAAATTTAGCATAAATGATAAATTCCATTCCTTATAAAGGTCCCGTTATCATGGAAAGGTTTCAGGTTTTTAAAAGTGCAAAATATGACGAAAATTTCGAAAAAACCAATATAAGCTACACATACATCTATTTAGGTTCCTGTTTCTTCGTAAAAACTGATCGACCAAGATTAGCTTCTTGTTCTAATAATTTATTGTAAAACAAGGTAAATGATTTCTTCTCAATATCGGTAAGCGATGACAGAAGACTGTCATTGTCTGTACCAACACCAAGTAATGTTAGCTGTCTGTCCAGCTCACGTTCCTCAGATGATTGGTATTCCGAAGCGCATATGTTTTTTATTTTCTCCAAGTAACTGTCAACATTGTCATCATTATCATCATCATCATCTGAATCCATCATATGGTCAGAACTACCTGGAATATGAACAAGTAAAAAGCCGAGAAAATAATGGAAAGAGATTTGCATATCATCGCGAGAAAATTGCGGAACCCTAAAAAAACACTGCCACAGCCAAATCACTGACTGGTTACATGCTACACTTCTATCATATGTCATACATACAAACTTATCACTTCTTTAATCGGTGAATTTAATATGCTGTTTGGTCATGTGCACATAGCCGTATATACAAAAACATTTTTTCTTTCTTTCAAACACAGTTTTTTCAAATTTAATTTTAAAGTATATTTTTCCATTAAAAAAAAAAGCAATACCTGGGATTTCTGTATCTATTGGGAGATCTTTTACAACCTGTTCATTCATAAATTCTTCAAAAGTTTTCGGAGACTTTTGTGCGTCACCCCTGAGACGCAATTCTTGCTCAATACATTCACGATAAAAAGATTCTGAGCATTCTCGATGTTGTTCACTTCGATAGCATTTCACACAGCAATATGCAAGGCCACATCTTGGACAGATATTTAAACTGTCCAACGATCCGCAAGCCAAGCATGAAATCCTTTCCTCCTGCATTGTTGACTCTACAAATTAGATTAGATAAATCTCAAGGGATTCGGTTCTTGAAACGTAGTCACAATATCAGTAGCTATAATTATTAGATTTTTCGGGAAAATTTTTGATCTATTCGACACGACTCCTCACTATTTATATAATCGAATAGTTTAAGATTGGATCAAATAGTGTAATCAACTGAAGTAATCCCACAAACATTACTATGTTTAATAATCCCAGGATTATTGACGCCAATCACATTTCAATTTGCTCTGAAGTATATTCCGAGCTGCAACTGCGCAAAGCCATGTACGGACTTTTTAAAAAATTCGAGATAGCAGCCACTCAACTTAATTTCACCCTGTCATGTTGCAGAATCCTACTTCAAAGAGTGCTAAGATAAATCTTTTCATTTAAAGAATTAGTGAACTGATTTACACGATAAGATGAGAAAACAGAATCCAAAGACGTTTATTATTCGAAAATAATAAGTACATTATAAGAATACATGGAAAGATTACATTTCATTAATGAGATCGTCGAAAAAATTTGATGATTTTGGTACTTCCTTAGATGAAATATCATTTGACTGTAGTATCGGTATCTGAAAAAGAAGTTTCAGCTTTGTGTCATAAGAAATATGGAATACTACTTACGATACGAAAAGCTGTCACTAACAAAACCATCTAACCATGTTCAGTAATTTCGGCAAACGCCAGAATTTAATAGTTGATTCCAACCAACCCACACTTAGAAGACATTCCCGATCACAAGTAATAGACAGCTGTTGCACGCCACCGACATGTACACCAATATTACCCATAATTTTATTTGGATTCAAATGAGTTATCCTAAAAAATTGCATAAGAATAAAAATAGTGGCGTATAAATGAAAAACAAAAACGCAATAGAAATCGAATTTATAAAAAACAGGAATTGTAAAAAACAAAGGTTCCTATGCAACTTCTGTGAGCTCAAAAATCTAGATCTAAAGAAGAGATACAATCCGTAACCTTAGCTGATCATCTTCATTTGAACCAGTTAACAAAACACCATGTCTAAGAAGTTGCACAGAGTCAATTCCTAACGGATGATCTGTCTTAATCCTTTCCAGGAGATTACCGTATTCTTTTGTTTTGAAAACTTCCAAATAACCGTCACCACTCCCAATGTAACAATATCTAAAATTGATGAGTGTGTTTAGTTGCTAAAATTACTATAAATAAGTGAATTTACTATATTTATATATTTTTTTGTACCAAATCTATCGAAATTGAATATAACCGACGAGTTAAGTTTAATTAGAAATTGACTAAATCTAAATAAATTTAATTAGATCTGTTAATAAAAATTGGAAATAATAACTTATGGGTAACAGCCAAACAGAGAAGTTCACTATGCATCGGTTCCGACCTAACCAATATCTTTTGCCTCCGGAAGTCATATGCTCCAAGAGTTCCATCGGAACTAGCTGCTAATAAAGCATTTCCAGCAATGCCGAAACTATTTATAACATCTTCCTGTTCATTAAAACAGCTGACCAGTGGCTCCCTCGCCCGTAAATCCCATGACTTTATCTTAATAAAAAGAAAACTTGGATGTATTCGCAGATATTTTTATAAATGTGATAGACTTACGAAAAAGTTGCCTACGCTCAGTACATGAATGACCAAAATAAAGAGATGATACTCCTACAACATTTTCAATTACGAACTTGCGTTACATAAAAAAAAAATCTTCATTTTTTAAAGGAAGTGGTATGAGGTCGTGATGAAACTTATGCTAAAACTGATGAGAGTTACCGTTGCCTTTTTCATCAATTTCACCTTTTTAAAAAGAACGATATGAAATAATTTACTTCACCAAATTCATCGCCTGTCATGACTTGTTGATGTTTCATTGACGTATCTGGCAAAACAAACATTGCGCTAGTCTTATGATCATGACTTTTTTGAATGCATCGTGTCCTTAATAGCCAAACTTCACAAAAATTTAATTTCATTTCTTAACTGATTTGCACGTGCAATCAATCAGCTTGTGTCACTTCTGTGCACTTTTTTTAAACTTAAAGTTGCTCTTCTCCGAGATCTCAAAAAAAAGAAGTAGTGAAACACACTCGCACAAAAAGTGTGCATACTTTTTGTGCGAGTGTGTTTCACTATTTAATATATGATAATATATAGACATGTTATGTGGAGCTTCAATTAAATCATATTCGTCACGTAAGTGTGAATGCAATATCACGTCAGTTACTAATGCATTAATCAATCATGTTGCACTAACCTTTTATTGGCCTCAACATCATAAACACATAGCGCTCGATTTTCACAAATTGCAAACAACTGCTCGCCATTATTGGAGAAGGAAAGCTCTCGTACAGCTCTTTTCAGTTTTCTTGTAGCTAAAATCTGAAAGTAATTTTGAAGAAAGTTATTTAAGAATAATGACATCATAACAATTTCTACAAATATCTACCATGTAATTATCTTTGTTTATTCAACTTCATCTTAATATATCCTTCACCGTATACAATTTCATGTTCAACAGAAAATGCGAATTTGCGTTTCTGATAAGCCGAAATATTAATCATAACCTCAATTTTCGCTTCTGATAAGTCGAAACTGCAGAATCTGATAGAACCATCTATGAATCCAATTGCAAGTCGATTACCTAATGAAGGATGAAGTGCAACTCGTACAGGCTTATCCGTACCGAAGTCTTTCTCCATCCCTAATTCATTAGATATTAACATCGAAAAATATGGAGACGAGATATGTGATGGAAGACTAAAAAATCGCCGGATATTTCTCAAATGAACATATTGCCAGAAAAAGTAGAAAATACACTATATACAATGGAATCCCGTCTCCTCCCATAACCTAAGACATCCCATTATCAAAGTAATCCGTCATGAACATACGTAGGAACCAAGTATGAATCTTCTCTCTGTGTGTCGATGACACTCCCTGAAATACGTTCACCACAGAACACAATATCATAATGTCAAATCATTAATCCATAAGGAAATTGTGCATAACTACCGGGAATTCTCGGAACCTTCGAATTTTACCTATTTGGTCACTTCATCTACCTGTCTAATCGGTTCATAGAAACTAGTATCATTTAAGATATGTAAACGGCTGTTTCACTGGATTATTTTTGTTTGTGTCGAAGGTTTACCCGAAGCCAGCTTTTTTGCACATATCACGCGAGTATGAATAAGTGTAAGTGATAAATGTTTGTGCGGTCAACCATACCATTAAACAACTGCTTTTACTTTCAGAACAACAGATCTGCCATAATACCGAAAGCGAGTGCCAAATGGAATCCGGAAACGGTGAAGAAATTTGGGAGGAAAAGTTTGCTACCTTTCTGCCAGAGGTAAGCCACTATTTACTGCTGACGAACAATGTTATTTTTCATTTCTTTTGTTTAATTCTGGTCTTACAGAATCGAACGTAGCTAATATTATTGAGAGGTACAAGTTTTATTGATTTAGCATACTAAGACAGTGAGTCAAAAGTAGTGTTCCTGATACTCATCGAATCTTTCTAAGCTTGCCGTCTGAGCTGCTCTATATTTTAGTAAAGATGTCTTGTTATTCTCTCAGTTATAATTATTTATTTATATAAAGGATATAAAGTGGAATCGAATAAGTTCAAAAGATCGAATTACTTATTCGTAATTTAAATTTTAATTTAAATGAAGATGAGTGGATATTTACAGGATTTGGCTGATGAACTAATAAAGATTGAAGCATTTTCTATCGATAAAACAGGCAAACGTATCATAGCTGAACCTTTAAATTGTGCACTTTCCGTAAGTTTAATTTAGTTCTACTTTAAATTTTCCAATTTTAAGAAATTTCCTAAATACCAACTGACTGCTCTATGCTATTATGCCAAATAATATTGATTTTTAGGGATTTGCAAACTTTTTATGCGGCACAGAAAAAATCGGTCCGAAACGGCTGAAAGAACTCGATTGTGGCTTCTTTCGACACAGAGATTTATACATCTTGATCTTAAAGACGATCATCGTTAGGATACCTGTAAGTTTGTGACTTTTTAATATTTCGGGGTTGACTTTTTTTGCAATTTTCACAATTTTCACTTTTCCAGGATTTACATGAAGAGGTGCAATTTTGGAACATGTATTATTTTTTGCGATTTCTTCCTCTTCCATCCAAAAAACTACATACTGCTTTTTACGAAACAAAAGGTAATTCTTTAAAGTTGATCTTTCTTGTTTCTTCCTGGATCTATAAATCTTTATTTTCGTGTTTTAAAAGCTTCATTCATCTCATTAAGACCTCTAAATTTCAGCCAATATTATAAGTAGGCATTGGAAAGTTGGAAAAGCAAAACGATACTATCAAGAAGCTTGGTTACTATTAATGAAGCATAAGGTATGCAGAATAATTTCTGTGGCTAACACTTTCTTCATCCAAAACTCTCAAACTTTCAATTTTTCAGGAAGTTCCGTCGTTTAATTTGATACTAGAATAACTTATAAGTTTTGTACTACTTATCACTTAATGAACAGTTGCAGATTATTAATCGAGCTCTTAAAAATGAACGGGTTTAGATTGAGCAGGTAAATGATGAGTTTGAAGAAGATAAACCAGTTATTGAATGTTTATGATATAAATTTAATTTTTTAAGCTTCCCAAGCCCTTATTGAAAAAGATGGTACCATATTTGAGCGAACATGTGATCGATTCATTCAGAGAGCCATTTCTTATTGGCGATTTCTTATTCCGTATTTTCAAAATGGGCGAAGTTTTTGCAATACTTTCTCTAAATGGCATTTTCAAATTGGTTGTGAAATATAACTTGTGAGTTCGTAAAAATTTTTTTTCATGCTTGCTTTTTTAATTTGATTTCTCGCAAAAAATTTCATACATATCAACTACCTTTGAGATTGGTTTCTAATGTAAGATACTAATCACAGCTTCAAGATTTTTCTTTCCTTTTGCAAAACTGGAGAGATTTATGAAAACCCGTATTAATGATGGATTTTGTCAAGTGCAAAAATTTCCTAATTTAGTTTTTGTGTTCAAATCTGAACAATTTTTAGCGAGTTTCCAGACTTTTATCAATGCGCTTATGGGTTGGTAACACCAGCTGTATGTTATCTAAATTATCGAGAAAAGTTTTTCACGCTTCTCGATACTTTTCTGTCATCGTCGTAAGTCCTTAATTCATTTTGAAACTGACGTCCATAGTTTACTCTTTCAGGACAACTACTCATTTCCTCATCATTTTCACCATCTATTTTGTTACCATTTTCTATGCAGTGTTCATTAATAATATTAGAAAATCTTTTCTTCCTCATATAAATTTTCAGACATCTTCCGATATATATTGTCGCCGCTTTTGTAAAACGTTTGTCTTGGCTGACTCTTTTAGCACCCGTTTCATGTCAGGAACCTCTATGTGCTTTAATAGGAAATTTGATAATACGACACAAAGATGTAGAATTTCTGATACACAGGGACAATCCAGGTGTTTGACGTTTTTGTTTTTCGATTTTATTGCTTATTCTTGAGCACATGAGCAATACATCCGTCGTTTCTGGACATAATATTTTTCTAGGAATCTATAGACGGTTATAATCCTCCAGACCTTTTTGGGATGTTTTACAAACATCCAAAAAATTCAATTTTTTACAGAAACTTTCTCTAATGATCCCTATGACGAAAAACAAATGGATTTGCAAAAGTGTGGAGCTATGGAAAGCTCACTATGGGAAATGAAGGTTTGCTACATTTTAGTGCCTTAATTTTTTTTGTTCAAGTATCGAAAAACATGCAGAAGCGGAACAGCTTTTGTCTATTAAATTTTATTTTTTCACTTATTTACAGGCGTTACAACGGCATTGGTTTATAGATGTAGCGAAAAGGGCAAATTTTGTTGACAAAGGGATGCAGAGGATGGAGTCGTTTGTACGTTGGAAAAATGACGACCAATATTTTGCGAAATTATTGTCCAGGAAATTTGGAACTGACCTCTTGAAATATAAAGAAGAAGAAAAATTCCGAAGAAACCAGGTGTATTTCATTCTATGAGATCGATTTAAAGGAAAACATTACAGGCTAACTAGAAATGTACATTGCATACAAGCTCCATTTCAAAAAAGATATTTTCGTTTCTTTTATCCTATAATGCATGAGTTTTCCAGTTGAATATAGCAAACTTTAGCAAATGGTTTACTTTTAAATTGACTGAATGTGCTGTCAAGTAAATATTATTTTTGCACAAATTTAATATTGGAATTCAGGAACAAGAGTCTTCGGATGACGGCTCGCAGGAAGATGATGACCATCCAGTTAAAAAGCGAGCGAAACTACTTAGGAATACGAAAGATTGTGGCTACGCAATTGCAATTAATGATGCAGAACCACCAGTTCAACTTTTTGATGATGTTTTCAAGGCAGAGAGTTGTATTTAATAATTTGTGTTGTAGACCAACCACCACTAGAGGCATCGAGTATCTAAATTTCATCACATTTCTGTAAGTTCAGCTTTTATTGCTAGCAAGTACGACTCAATAGAGGTGCTAACATTGATCAAACATTGCGAATGTTTTGTTCATTATTGTTATTGTTGGTTTATTTTCTCAATAAAGTTGAGTATTGCTTTTTTCTTGTCAGTTTTTCGTTTACATTTATACAAAAATGGTGGATACCGAAGTTTTAAACTGTAAATTATTTTCCGTAAGCAGTGATGTTGCAGCGAATGTATATTTTTTTAACAAACCTTGATTGTAGAAGATGTTGCTCAGAAAATTTGTAGGGTATTACTATTACAGTGATACCTTACAAATTTTCACATTTAAGAAGGCTGAAATTTATGACTTGTTTTATCACTAATACCAAACTTTTGATTTGAGGCGGTGAAAGATTCTGTGTAAAAAATTAATATTTTTTTTCGGGAATTTGATTGTTTGAGCTTGCAACCACGGTTGTAGTTTCATTTCAGGTGAAAGTGGTTTGAGAAAAAATTTGCAGTTCCAATACTTCATGCCATCAGCTCGGTTGGTCCGGGTTCTTCCCTTGTTTGGAAGAAATCCACTGAGTCACAGCGCATTGTGCTTCTCCCAGAATGCTTCAGAAATTCCAACAGTTTCGGAAGAATTAGCATTATGGAAGGTCGAAAAAAGCAATCCATTCATCGAAATCCCTCAAGCATGGGTCACAACATTGACCGAAAAAAAGGTTCCCTCCAGTATGAAATTTGTTTGTAATGGATTTAAGCGAATCTTCTTTGAATGAAATATATGACCATTTTTTTTTGTATATAACTTATTTATTGTATATAATAATTTTTGGATAATTATGATTTATAGGAATCTCGAATAGATTTGATCAGTTTACATCCAAATATTTTCCGAACTACACCAAGGATTGATTTGCTGCATCGTAATATCACTTGGCAAGAGAATTATCGAAATTTAGCAATTACGAAGCAACTATCTAAGAAAGAAATGCCCGGTGGTGGACATAAGCCATGGCCGCAGAAAAAAACTGGTCGTCATCACGCCGGTTCAATTAGAACTCCTCATTTTCGTTTGGGCGGGTGCGTTCTTGCAGTATATTTAATAGTTTTCAATAAATAGACTTATAGATCTTCAGCAATTTGCGCTCTGTTCATATTTCATTACCAGCTTTTCAGCATCTTCTTTTTGAAGTATTGTTTTTAGTTTTGCAAATGGAATACGTGGACCAAAGACATGGTTCTATATATTGCCCGATGCGATTAGATTGGAAGGCTTGTGTGTGGCAGTGACTATTAAACATACGCAAAATGACTTAGTGATCGTTGATGACTTCGCTAGCTTGCCCAGTGGTGATGCTCAATTTATGCACGATCTCGCGGATTTTAGAAATTGGGGTTATTCAGTACTATTTATCAACGATAGTTCAGAAGTAAGCGAATTGACTCTATTTTCTCCTTTAAATTTTAAGCTTATCAGCTAACATATTTATTTCATAATGTTACATTTGTTAGTTAATTGTCCGAAATTATGCGCTGTAACAGATATGACATTGTTTTATCTCTTTAAAGTGTGACAAGCTCGTTTTATTAATATTCAGGTACCTGAGAATCTGGCAAAAGTATGCGATGAAATACCGACATTCAACGTTATGCCAGTCTATGGACTAAACTGTTTTAGTTTAGTAAAGCACGCTACTGTGGTATTTTCTCTAGCAGCACTCCAGCTGTTCCAGTCGCGTATACTTTTTCACAAAAATCGAGCACAGACATTACAGAGAAAATATCGTTATATTGATTACAAAAGGACTATTATGAACGAAGCGGAAAAAGAAGTTGATCCAGTCCATGCACCATTTATCTAACAAATTGTGAAGGGGCTCCACTTTTATTGAATGCCATCCTCACAATTTATTAAATTATGCTTGAAAATCTTTGCAGTTCAATAGAAAATTAATGATGCACACTGTGATATTTTCGACCTCTTGCTGGAGTTTGCACGTTTCCATCAAATTAGAAAGACGGGTTGTGATACAAAAGTATGGCGTTCCCTAACAGAAGAATTAATCCTTTTCAGTTTCATCAAATATTAAGTTGTTACATGGTATCTGGGTAAATATGAACAGCAGATGAACAATAGGGTCATGACGCTGAAGAAGAAAGAATCTCTTCGAAATGCTTTTTGTTATATAATTCCAATCCTTATTTTCCATTATTCAATATAAATTTCAAGCACTTCGTTTGTACTTCATTACATCAGTAGGGACGGATGGATCTTGCAGTCTTGGTAAACAGCAAATTTAATTTTGGAACGCATAATCTTTGCAAAAATAAATGCCTAGTGAAGTACTGACATTCGTACGATCTTTAGACAAAGTACTAGGAACGGATAGCTTGATTAGTCCATTTTCAAAGCTGAGTAAGCAATACTGTACGAAAAAAATACAATAAGTATACAGAAATGTAACTACTACAATGGAAAAAGAACAGTATTAAATATCACAATGGTTACCTATCAGCTTCCGAAAAATTCCGAATCAGCAGAAATTGTTGGTAGAGATGGTCAGGACATACTTGAACTGACCTAATATCTAACTATCCGCATCATGTACCCTTTTAACTTGAGCAATACAACCGTCACTTTCAGAAAACCAAATTCAAAAATGCCACTACTGATTTTAATAACCAAATCTGTAGAAATTCCGCTCGTAGATGTCAAATAGGATGCAAAACGGTAAATATTCGTCTGGCTGGTTAGGATTCGAAAAAATCTCCCTACCCTAACTCTTGAAGGATATTCTGTCCACTTCAGAATTCGCGGATTTTTCCAGCTGAACTGAAGGCATGATACATTTAAATCACAACTGAAAGCACGTACTCGAAACAATCATCACTATTAACAACAACAATTAAAGAAGAACAGACATTTTTATTTTTTGAAACCCTTCAAAATTGGATAAATTTGATTGAATGCATCGTCGATATCTTTTTTATATTTAGCACCTGTTATAACAACCTGAAAGAAACATGAAATTTTCTAATTTCACCAAGTCTTTGAAAGTCAAAAAATTAATAGCTTTTTTATATTTAGCACTTACCTTCCCACTAACAAAAATGAGTAATACAACTCGCGGTTTCACCATTCGATAAATCAATCCAGGAAAGAGTTCCGGTTCATATGTAGAGAACTGAGTATGGGTTAAACACAGGCCTTCCAACTGTATGGGAAAGCGCACATCACATGAACCAACCATATTTTGAACCTGAATAAAATGCCAAGATAGACAATATTTTCTAATACTTTCTTTCACAAGTCAAAATCACAGAATTATGTATCATTAAATGTAAATTAAAGACATTCCACACTAGTTTATATCTGAAAATAGTTCGCGTAATTTTAATTGTTTGATTTATCTGAATCTTATTTCACGCCTAATTTATCATGATCACTAACTTTGAATTCAGTAAATTTTGCATTGAAACCGAGCTTTTGTACTATCCTGGCATATTTTCGTGCAGCAAGCCTAAAATCATTGAGCTGTGACACATGAAAGGATTACTGCTTCATTTCAACAAGAAAAATGTAATTGAAATATTGCACAGAGACAAAATACTATTCTGCAACTACCACATACCTGCTTGATTCCTCAGATTTTGCTCCTGTACAAACCATTTTCCCTGATGAAAATATCAGAGCAGTTGTGCGAGGTTCACGAATACGCATTATAACAGCGGCAAAACGCTTTGGATTATATTCTGCATTTCTAGCATGAAGTGCTATTTTTTTCAAATCTAGTGGCACACCTGTAATCGATAACTATAAAAATTATGAGTGTCTTCGGAATTTTGAGATCTCTTCCGATTTTAAAACTCTCACCTAAGTTAACAGTAGATACTATATTTTGAAGCGCTGGCGATGGGATATCAATCAGTTGCGATCCAGGCGTTTGTGGTGGATTTGTTGAAACCATAGGAATATTTGATGCTGGTTGAAAATGGTCACCAGCAAGAGGCGTCATCGGTACTGCAAGATTGCCTGGACCTACCGAAGATGGATTCATATCCTGAAACATGGATAATAAGAGAACTTACATTTGCTATGAATTGTTTCCATTTTGTTCTTTCATAAAAAATCACCTGGAAAACTGATCCAGGATTTCCACCAACATTTATAACACTTGAAGGTCCACCTCGTTCACCGCTGTAGCTCAGCAGTGAGCCTGGACCACCTTGGCTATTTAGCACTGACCCTGGAATAAGCATAACAAGAATATGCAAAATTTATCAACAATTTTGAAGAAAGACTAAATTTAATAATTTCGACAGTGATAATGTAATTCATTTTCTTTTGTAAATATATACAGTGTATATGTAACTAGCCTGGTCCGCCATGTTGCCCCAACATGCTACCGCCAAGTACAGAGCTTGGTCCAGCATTTGCAAGTATTGAACTAGGCCCAACACAGCCAACACTACTCAGATTAGATGTTGGTCCACTCGCACTTCCCATCACTATTGATCCTGGTCCAAGCGTTACTGATGAACCCCCGATAATACCAGCTGAACCTAAGATAGAACTGGGCCCTGATCCAGTAAGTATTGATGCTGGGCCAACAGCATGGCCACTGCTCGGTGTCTGACCACCTAGTGATGTTATCACTGATGTCGACTGCGATGGACTTCCAAAATGATCCATTAACCGATGCTTGTTTTTCTTATTAAAAATCTGGAAAGTTATAAAAATTTGCTTTTCCTTCATCATATACGTCCATTTTCTCTAAAGTTCATCTTCTCTAAAGTTTTCCGATAAATTTAAAATAGCAAATTAACGAATTTAAACTTTGAATAATATTAAAAGAAAAGAAAATTACGCCTGCAAGGCGGCCTTCATGCATCGATGACAAGAAATAACACAATAACATATGAAGGTGCACATGTGCAACTCTGGACGGAAATGCATTTTAAAAAAAAATGTAATTCGGAGTATCGATGAGTAGAAATGATGAAATTGACATTTTGTGAACTGGTAACGTTTAGAAGCGGTTGACGGAATCGCAGGTTGGTTGCACGGTAAAATAAAGGCAAGTTCGCAATAGTGTGGAATGATCAGAAGTCTGTCTCTATGCATAGAATACTCTCTTGGCCCGACAAGCTTTTATTGAATATTACAACTAAGTTACATGTAATCCACCACGGGAAAAGTAGTGAAATATTAATATTCCAACTACTTTCATCATCATCATCAGTACCCGTACTATCAGGACCGAAAACAAATTAATGTATTATTAATGGAGTTCCTTTGCAACGAAAATTCGCAAATCTAAAGTCTATTAAGTATTAAGAGTTCTTCATTTCCTTCAAGTGTCGAAAACCACCTCTCCAGGGTCCGTCATCGTACACGGATATGACGCTCGATCCCAACAAATCGCGAATTGTCTTAAAACCTCTTGTTACTCTGGTATTTTCGTTTAGAAATTGGGGCATATTGAGCAGCTAGAAATTCACCTATCAAAGTTGTGTGACAAGTTCAAGCGTGGAAGATGAGTTCATGCCAGACCTTATTATCTGCAGAGCTGCTTCCAGAAATGGACGAATGTGAGGCTATAAACGTATTAATGAAGTCGAAAAGTTTAGCCCAGCTAAGACATGAATTGAATTGTCTTCCGAACACGTTATTATTACCAGTGGCCAACAAATGCTTGGATTATTTCACATTAGCCAACTATGCTGGATTTATTGGTAATGTTCTTTCGTTCTTCTTCGATTCTCTGATTAATCGGTTTGATGAATTAAGTAATTAAAAATCGGTTTCTGAGATGCACAAATACTTAAGGCTTTCGTTACGATACAATAAAAGTATTTGTTAAAAATTCTCCAATTCTTAAATAGTTTTTTTCCATACTATCCGTCTTTCTGGAAAAAAACCGATCATAAGTTAACCTATACT